GCCTATTGAGCTACTCACATTAGTTGGAGCGGTTTCTTTCCACTGGTAGCTGGCTGTTATCTCCCGTTGGGATGGCACATTGTCTCGATGACTCAGTGTGGATTCTGATGCAGGAATTTCATTTGGGATTGAGCATTGTTCTGGAAAAGACTGTGGTGGTTGCCTCCTAAGACTGTTCTCCATTCCTGGGTACGTTTAGAGCTTGCAGCGCGGATCAAATGTGTATAAAATAAGTTAATAAATATATAAAAATCTATATATATAAGAGAGAGTTTAACTCGGCCTCCGAGACGATGTTTGCTCATGAAAGGATCCGAGACCGCGGGCTCCCGCGGCGCCAAAATCGCTCCACGTCCGTGGAAAAATACGGAGGGTGTCTTCCGCCGGGTCGGACACTTCGGGTCATCCTGATTTTCCCGTACGGACCGGCGATCCTTTTCGTCTATTTTTCGTGACAGCATTTTGCACAGGAATTTTCCGTCGTGTGCGCTTTCACGTTGACTGCCTGGCCGCCCCCTGTGCTGGCTTTTCTGCGAGTCTAGACTGTGCGAGGTCAGCGAGGTCAACGTAGGGGTTTCGTTTACGTGTTCTACTCAGCCGTACTGCCAAAGCGTTCACCAAATTGTGATATGGGGTGACCTTGGTAAAATATTTTTTCTCCATGGTGCGTGGCCACCGAGTGCCCCTATTCTTTCATAGGCTTCGCTTGCCGCCCCTGCGCCGAGTGCAACGAATACTCAGAAGGACTACACATTAAGTATGCCTTGCGCGGTCTGACCAATCGAAAGTCTACACTGCGTAGTATTTCCGGGCTATGCAAAACTGTCGATGGCAACGCGTACTGCAGCCTGCTCCACACCCTGGAAACGAGGTTGGGTCTACGGTGCTCGCTATTTGAAGCGCAAGCATGTGACGTCGCGTGATAGAGTGCTGTTGCTTCCATAATGTGTTTACAGCTCCATGCTTCCACCACCAAGGCTGAGCGTTGTGAGTTCGCTGCCCGCCACGTGACGTATAATTCAGTGTCGTGTTATAATTTCGGGGGCCTGTTTGGGGTCAACGAAGGATCGATGCATTCACAAAGAAATCGACGAAAGTGTCCGACCCGGAGGAAGACACCCACATTTTTCCACGGACGTGGAGCCATTTTGGTGTCGCGGGAGACCGCGGTCTCGGATCCTTTCAGGAGCCAACATTTCTCGGAGGCCGAGTAAAACTTGCTCTTATAAAGATGGTTGAACCAACTTCAATAAAAGCTAAATCAACTTTTTCCTCGAAGACGGTCTCGCAAATTGTAAGAAGTTCAAGTTTACGTTTGTTGAAGAGTCCAATACTGAAACTTAATTATGACCTTCCTCCACTAATCGTTTGTAATTTTATGGTAACACTCAACATTTTCATTTCAAATGACACCTTTACGTTTTATTGCATTATGATTTATTGTCAAAACTGTACAATCAGCCTTCGCCTGTGTACTACGGTAACCTTTTCACTGCGTTTTCCAAATGCGACTGCCTCACAAAATGCCAATTTAACAGACCAACGGGAACATTTACAGACAGTTGCCATGGTACATAATTATCATGTGCGTAAATCGACGGGGGACAGGGGGACCCCCCCCCCCCCCATTTTAAACGGGGGATATTGTTTGGTCCCCCCCCCCACTTTTTCTTCCCCGAATAAAAATTGTAGCCTACAACAATGATTCTATTGCTCAGAATACATGTAGCTGATTCAATTACTCCAAACTCAAAACTTTACAAGATGATCTTTTGCTGAAATTGGTTTTAGTGGTCAGAAATTGCCTCGCATCACACCACAGAAATTGCTTGTCTATAACTGCATGTCTCCTTAACTATATCCCCATTTACATTTAACTCCCCAAATGTTCATCCCCAACACTACGCCCTACCCGATCTATGATCGGGTAAATCAGCTTGTAATAAATAAAAGATAATAAATAAATAATGTTTGAACATTGTCCCTGAGAAGTTTCAAGTGTTGCTGGCACTCATGGGCCTGCTGTTCCCCTTGCAGGGTAGTCCCCTTGGATCATCAGTCTTGTCAAGTTTTGAGGGATTGACTCCCTGCTGGTTCTTGATGCACACAACTGCTCATGTGGCACACTGCTGTTGTGCTTAGAACATTGTTTCAGTGTTACTTGCAAGTGATTGTTGACTACTGCTGACTCTGTTCACCCCTTACATGGATGGCTCATCAGTTACCAGAGAATATTGTTCTTGACAATTTTCAAACGATGAACTCCCTTCTGGTTCTGGATGTGCATACTGCTGCCCTTGTGCTGATGACTCTGTGCCAGTCAGCCCAGGACATTGTTCCTGAGTACTTGCAAGTGACTGCTGGCTCTCTGCTGGTTCTGGATGTGCACACTGTTCACCTTGCATGGATGGCTTGCAGTCAGTCAGACTAGAGCATTGTTCTTGATGAGAACTTGCAAGTGCTAGTGTCCTTGCTGGTTCTGCATGTACATCGACGTGCACCAGAACATGGTGCTGACTGTGCATGGATGCCTTGCTGCTGCTTTGCCTGGAACTTTGTTGTTCCTGACAGCTGTCCAGTGACTGCTGACTCTCTGTGTGTTGTGCATGCCCTTGGCTTGGTGGCTTGCTGCTGCTTGGCCTGGCAGCATGGTGCTCTTGGTCATTTTCTGCCTGTGGAATCACACGAAGCTCAATCTGACTTCCTGGCTGCACTGGTTGGCTGGGAGTCTGTCTTGGACAGCAACGACAGCACAGTTTCAGGCATGAGAATGCCTTGACTACAGCTGCGCGGAAGTCAGCGTTTGTGGCACTGTAGACTAAAGGATCAATTGAGCTGTTGATAAGTTGCACAATTCCGGTACATAGCCTCACAATGAGTCCTTTTTTTGCAAGTTTCAAAATCTCAACAGGCTGGGTAGACACATCTTTATAGACTATAACAATGGTAATGATTGTATTTGCAACATCCAGTGAGTTGAAAATGAAGAAGACAGCAGTATTGATGATTACCATGCAAAGGACCTTGCCTGCTTGCTTGGGACGGTTTGGGAACAGAGCTGATTGATAGCCCACCTTAACCACAATTAAGATGTACAAAACGAGAGTAACAATTAAAGAGACGATATTGGTGATACCAGCAATCCCAAGGATTATGTAACTGAAGACAGCATCTGTGATTGGTAAGAATAGTGCTATCACACCAATGATGATGACGAGCACCCAGATTCCTGCCGATATCTTTGCCGCCCGAGATTTAGAAGCTCTTTCTTTGAATTTTAGTGGACGATGTGTTGCATAGAATCTCTCAGCTGCTATGGTAACCACAAAGCAATTAGAAATAGTTATGAGCACAAATTGGGCAAATGTCATTCCTTTTATCAAGGAGGTGTTCTCTATCGGTGAAATCTGTGCAAGTATAATCAGCTCGATAAGGGTGAGTGAGTCAGCCACAGCCAAGTTGGATAAGTAAATGTTGATGATTGTACGCATGGACTTCACTCGAATCACCGTGTAAAGAAAGACTGCATTGATGAGGAGGCCGATGGGTGCAATGATGTCACTGCTTAATTTGAGTATTTGATCATATAATTGTGACGTAGCCACAAGTTTCTGAAGTTGCCTAGAAACTTTCAAATTTTGTGAAAGCGATCTAGGGGAAGCCATCACCTATTGCTTGTTCACTGTAGTTCATGTACTGTACATGAACATGTAGCATTGATCTCCACTTTCAACATTTGATCTGAACTTGCAAAAGAGAGTCTTCACTATTCCAAGATATCACACCAGTTTTATACTAACAGCCAATGTAAGACAATGAAAAAAGTGTTGGTGAAACTGAAATCTTCTTTAAAAGTTCTCTCCGTATTTTCCTTATCTCAACAAAAGAATTCAGTTTGCCTCCATTGTTTTGACAGGACCGTTACCAAAGCATACAGTAGAGTTTCACAGTTGACATTAGCATGAAATCTGTACGGTTTAGTTTCAAAATTTACTTGGTTTATTGAGGTTTAATATTTTCCCCTGTTTTTCTTTCTGTTTTGTCTTTTCTTCCTTTTGATTAAAAAAGTTTTTTCAGCATTTACTTTATTGACTTTGTTGTTTTGGTGGGTTTGGGTGTTTTTTTTCCTGGTGTGGGTTGGGGTGATATTCATGCATAAGGCCAAAAAAAAGTTCTGCTTCCAGTTACCCTAACTACCCTATTCTGACAGCCCCTACCCTAATTTGTGTATGGGCAAAATGAGGGGGAAAAAACCCCAAACCATCAATTTCTACCTTTTAGAAATTGTGTGCATGGACTTAACTCGAATCACTGTGTAGAGAAAGACTATGTTAAAAAAAAAGCCAATTAGTGCAATGATTTCAGCACTAAGTGCGCCTTTTTGGTTATATCTTTGTTCAATAGCCTCATATTTCTCATTAAGGCTCGAAACATGGAAATTCTGCCAAGATGATCTAGCGGAAGCCATCACCCATTACTTGTACACTGTAGTACTTGCACTGTACAGGTATCATTGATCGCCACATTTGATCTGAACTTGCAAATGATAGTCTGCAGTTTATCAGTATACCACCCCAACTCAGTAGCGAATCCAGCTTTGGATGTCGGAGGGGGGGGGGGGGTGTGTAACCGCACATCCGCACCGAAATGTAGACATGTTTTTTATTCTCTGAACACTTGGCCTCTGTAAATTAAAAAAGCAGGGGGGGGGGGGGTGGCATGGTACCCACCTTCCAAACGTGAGCGCTCTTCAAAACTGACAATTATTATGCATACTGCAAATTATATACCCATTTTGAAATGGTTTTTTGAGCGGTTTTTTTTTTTTGGGATTGATGTCAGAACTCTCTAACCATTTATTGAAATAATTGCTGAACCCCAAAAAAATGGGAAAAAAAATCCTCGGGGGGGGGGGGGGGCCTAATTTCATAGGGTTTATTGATTTGTATGTACCGGTACATGTAAATCATGAAGTGTTCTTTCTTTTTTTTCTTTTTTAGGTGAAGGAGGGGTTTCTGACGATGGGAGTGGTTCTGAGGAAGAATCGGGATCGGAAGATGACGTTGACGGGGGAACAGGGGAGAGGCACAGACACAGGAAGAGAGGTATGGTACTTGGGCATTTGTACTTTGTACTGCATTCAAAGGCTAAAATTTGGCTCACATTTAGTGGGCTTGAAAGAAACTTAACCCAGTCTGAACCAAAGTTGATCGCGGTAAATATTTCCCTTTGCAGGAAAGCGGAATTTGTCTCCCGAAAAGATGGCGGCCATGCAGAAACGCATCGATGAGGAGAGACGGGCGCTGGAAGAGAAGAAAGACATGGAGGAGGAAGAGAGAAACAAAGTGCAACAAGAGCTGGAGCGAAGAGAAGATGATCTCCATAAGGCACAGTGAGTACCCAGGATGAAAAATAATTCCCAACTAACCCGGACAGGAACTGGGGTCAATTCATTTTGTTTGTTTATTAACCAGTTCACGTCGGCTGACGTGTAATCACAAAAAAGTTTTGCGGTATTCGGAACGGATGATGTATAAACACGCAACGAGTGAGGCTGGAAATATCTGTCTGTGACCCGCTTGCAGCGAGCGAGGCTGAAAATATCAGGGTGTGCTACCCGCACATGACGGCCTGAACCCGTCTGGTATCGAAGTTCGTGAAAAACAATCCCGCACCTGGGTCGGTCAGTGTCAAATAATCCCGGCGCAAACTGGTTAATTAATTACTTAATATATGATTATATCAATATTCCACCCTTCCGTCCTCCTTGAAAAAGTGCAAATGAGTTCATATTTTGTACTCGAGGCCAATGGAAACCAAAATATTTTTCAGTGGTCTGGATCGAAAATGGAAGCAATAATATCAGGAGTTTGATATCAGGAAGGAAACGGCCCATTTCTTCATTATCTCCTCTCCACAGGTTTTGTTTAGGCTAGTGCACTCCAAGGCCACTGGCGCTCTTGAGCAATGCTTGGTTTCACAACCAGGAAATTAAGAAAATGATTATTATAATCAAGGTAGCATTAAAGGTAACATTTTGTTCTTGATTGCAGACACGAACACGATGTACTGAAAGACAAGTTGAAAGCCGTGGAGAAGAAAGTGATCGTCGGCGGCGTGGACTTGCTCAAGAAATCGGAGGAGCAGGAGAGGCTGTTGGAGGAGTCGGCACGGGAGCTGGAGGAGCGAGCCAGGAAGCAGGAGAGCCTGCGGCAGGAGCTGGCCGAGAAGGAGGCTGAGAGGGTGGACATTGAGGAGAAATTTGGCAACCTCCAAGAGGAGGCCGTGGGCAAGACCAAGAAGCTGAAGAAAGTCTGGAGCATGCTCATGAGCGCCAAGAGTGAGGTAGGAGTCAAGAAATCTTAAAATTAAGGAGCCATCCTTGCCTCTTCTTGTCAAGGTCTTACCACTCCATGTACAAGTAGCCCCTTTACGGTTATAGAGAGAAGGTTGGGAGGTACCATTGGAAGGGACTCTTAAAAGCATAAACTGACTTTCAACACTGCTTTTGTCTGTCTTAGGTTGCAGATCTACAGCAGGAGCACCAACGAGAGATGGAAGGACTGTTGGAAAACATCCGTCAGCTCAGCAGAGAGCTGCGCCTACAGATGCTGATCATCGACAGCTTCATCCCGGTAGAGTTCCAGCAGATGATTGAGCAGTACGTTCACTGGAATGAGGACATTGGAGAGTGGCAACTGGTACGTACTTTGCTGTGTCCTTAGTCTTTTATTCTTCCCGTACTGGTTTTTCTTTACAGTTTAAAGTTTAAATTCTCTGCTGGATTTCGACTAGGAATTGTGTTTGCATTCTTTTTATGAGCCAGAGTTGTAATTAGGTCAGTCACAAGTGAAATCAAAAGTCATGTTAGAAGTAAGAGTGGATGAGCAGTAGCAAAGGAATGCATCGTGGTTTATTTGAGTAGGTTATCACAAGTGGACACTGGTTTAAGTCAACTTTTGAAGACTTGTGATAACTGTGATTACTTGTGATGACTTGTGATTACTTGGGAGGACTTGTGATGACTTGTGAAGGCTTGTGATGACTTGTGATGACTTGAGATGACGTGTGATGATTTTTGAAGACTTTGTGAGGACTTGTTAGGACTTTTGAAGACTTGTGATGACCTGTGATGAATTGTTAGGACTAGTGATGAATTGTGATTACTTGTAAGGACTTGTGAGGACTTATTATAAGATGGAATTTTGCGTCGGGGTGATATAAACCAAATTAGGTTTTTTGCCCTTCACCGACGTTTAAACACTGTATACTCGGTGTGTTACCTCCTGAGTGAAAGTTGGAAAAAATCACTCGGGTGGGACTCAAACCCACGACCTCCTGCTTTCTAGTGCAGATGTCTTATCACTTGACCACCGAGCTAATGGGATCGGTTGTGAGGACTTGTTAGGACGTGTGAAGACTTGCGATGACTTGTGATGACTTGTGATAACTTGTGATGACTTGTGATGACATGTGATGACTTGTGATGACTTGTGATGACTTGTGATGACTTGTGATGACTTGTGATGACTTGTGATAACTTGTGATGACTTGTGATGACTTGTGATGACTTGTGATGACTTGTGATTGACTTGTGATAACTTGTGAAGACTTGTGATGACTTGTGATGACTTGGATAAAGTCACACAATAAGCTATCAATCACAAGATAAATATTGGACAATCCACAACAAGCCATAGATAATTTCACATGATTGCCTTCTTAACCAGATATCAAGCACAAAATAAAGTATAGCCACATGTTTTATTGATTTCCACAGAAATGCGTAGCCTACACCGGTAACAACATGCGTAAGCAGACGCCCATCCCAGACAAAGATAAAGGCAAGGAGTACGGGGAGCCCGACCTGTCCAACGTGTACCTGGCTTACACGGCTGAGGGGGCAGCTCGAGGATTTGCCAAGATGAAATCTACATCCAATAGGCGGCCCAAGACGGCATCTGGTAGGCAGAAGTCCAGCAAAAGGTCAGTCTTTATCATTCTTCGGTTTTTAGGGTTTTTTTTACTGTGGCGCTGTGAGACAAGGGCAAGATTTCACAGTTTTGCTTATTATAACTAAACAATTGTTGCTGACTACAGCAGTGTATTTAAAGGTAACATGAAGAGTATTTTAAGAATCAACATGGAATTTGGCTCATTTACATTGCGTGCAAGCTGTAAACGAGGATTCCGTTTTGGAAATGTTAGCGCCAAATTTTGTGTCGGCACTGAAAGCACACATTGGTGATAAAACGTGGGTTTAACCTTTTTTTTAGGGTTGCAGCTGGGAAAACAATTTCTGCAGGAAACACAGAATGCGATAAATCAAGCCATTGTTCGTACATCATTTTCCTGGTCACATTTAACCACTTCGCCCCTGGGATTATTTTTGCCGAAAATTTCGATTTTCGCAAAGCCAAATTTTCCAGCCAACTTCTGATACACAGCCAAATGCCACAAATACTGATTCGCAAGAGTCATTTCAAAAGTATTTGTACGATATTTCTTCCCAAAACCTTATATGTTTCAATACTCAGGGTGTGCACTGGAGCGTAAATGGTATAACAATAGGCCGTGCACAACGGCCAATTCTAGATCAACACACTGTTTACCTCCACAGACTTCACAGACTTATGTTTGTGTACAAGAGACACGAGGGGTTAGCATGTTTAGACGTCACCCGGAGGCGAGTCAAGGCATTCTTGATCTCTTAACCCGTCAGCCGTGCCTGTGTATAAAAACAACCAGTGCATGTTATCACGTCCTCCAACGCCAACTGGTTAAGAGTGTTCCCTTATCAGCAGCTAATATAATTTGTTTCTAATTTGTCTTCAGGAAACAAGGTGGCATGGAAAACTCCATTGACTCTTTGCTGCAGTAAAGACAACACAAGGACCTGTACAACTGATCAAGACATCCGCACTAGAAAGCAGGAGGTTGTGGTTCCAGTCCAACCGAGGGATTTTGATCTCACTTTCACTCAGGGGTAACACACCGAGTGTACAGTGTTTATACGTCAGTGAAGGGCAAAACCTAATATTGATCAAGACATGGTTATTTTGTCCACCGAAAATGACGCGAAATTTCTAATACTAATTATTAAGTTATGGAGTGATGTAGTTTGTTGTGTGTAGAACATGTAATATGAATACATTTTTATTAAGGTTTGCAGGTACAGAAAAAGTGGTCATTAGGTATGGAAATATTACTTCCTGCATGTGATGTCAACTTAATCGTAGGATTAAAAAAAACCAATTGTCTCTTCGGGTTTATAAGTGTTTCACTTGTGAAGGTTCAAAGGTTAGCAAAAAGGTCACTTTGAGTATTTCTAGGAAGATATGTGGTTTGTGAGTAATTTGTGAAATCATTGTCAGGGTTTTTTGTGATTACGCATCAATCTCATCAGAGATGTGTAAAAAATAAAATCACAGGAGTACTCACTAAATAGGAAATGAATTGTCTACAAAATAAAGTATTAAAGATTGTTGTTCAGAATGCTTGAATGCAATACAATGTATATAGAATTCGTGAAGTAGAAAATGTATACATTCAATGCAGTCCTCTCCTAGTCAGATTTGTGTGCATTTTGTATATATAAAAATCCTGTAGTCTTTGTAAATATTTGTAAATTTATTGTTTGAAAAATGTATTTGAAATAATGTCAGCTGGAGTATTCAGAGGAAATATTTAGTAATGATGTAATATAGCTCCCTCTGTGGTTTCACGTTGAAGTAACTGTTTTGAACGTCACTAGCTAGGGTCAAATTTAGGGTCCAAAATGTGACAGTTGTTCTCTATCTTTTACTTACAGAACTTTTTTAGTTTGCCACGTGAGTATCATTAACCCTAACTCCCTAGGCATTTTTGCTAGGATGCAACCTCAATCCTGCAAAATCCTCCAACTGCCTCCACACAAAAGTGTTCTTTCAGCAAAACGAAAACAGTTCTCGCACATACCTCTGTGAATTGTTTTTCGTTTTGCTGAAAGAACACTTACCTTTTTGGTGACTCGTGGACAGAACTTTCAAACAGTGGTTGTGTTTAAAATCCTGTAACTTGAAAAGTACATGAGTGATTTGAATGATTCTTGTACTAAAAGAAGGCTTATTAATTGGGCTTTCATATCCTAGATTTTGAAAGTGCTACACGCAGACACTTCGTTTGAAAAATGGTCCTATCATTTTATTTGGGTTCCCTTTTTTTTACTCGCCCTGTATTGAAAAAAAAAAGATCCATTTTATATCCTCTGTTTGGATTGTGTGGAAGGCAGCATTAAAAAAAGTTCATAGGAAAATAAAAACGTGACGTATTCAATATCATGCTGTCCCTCGGTTGTTTTTTCTTTGATTGTAAAACATTTTTGAAGTAGATGAATTATGCATCGAACTTGATATTTGTTGGTTATTAAAGTTGTCGCACAAGAAATTTGGCTAAACCTGTTCAAAATTGGATGAAAAATGATGAAGTATCAATTCTGAAATTACTTCAAAATGACCCCTAAATGACCCCAGTTTGACCTTTGACTGATATTAGTGGAACACCTGATTCCAAAAGGTTAGTTTTTTCTATTTGATTCAAAGAAAAAAAAGGCTAAGAAATCAGTTTCTCATTCCCGTCCACTTTGTTTTTCCTGTCCGCCTCCTTTTTTTCCTTGAAATTCATATATTTGTAATATATTTTGAAAATATATTGTGTCTTTTTATTTGTTTTCAACAAAATTATTTAGAAAGGTGAACAGCTCCTTTGAACACAATTTTGTACCAGCAAAAGAGTCGAGAAAATGGAAGAATTCATCTGCCAAATTGAAAAATCTGTCATCTTTTTTTTTTGGGGGGGGGGGGGGAGAGGATCAGGGTGGTACCTGCCTCATCTTTTTTTTCTCCAAAAGACCGGACAAGAAACTTTTTTTAGAACTCGTATAATAAAGCGATTCGGAATAATGGAGCCAGGGACGGTGCTGGATCTGGAACGAAAACGAGGTTTTGGAAATGGCTAATATTGGCGCAGAACTGCCACGTGAGGGCGCGCTTTATTTGTATACTGCATGCAACAGCAGCAGCAGTGCAGTGGATGATTTCCCGAGATTTTCAAGCATTGCTAGTTGTCTAGGAGGCAACATTATAAGTCAACAGTTTTGTTCTTAAACCCCACAAAACAAGTACAAGTACAGACACAGCTGAAAGCTAGTAAGTAAGAAAGAGAAAGATGATAATTATTACTGTGATTACTGATGGGCAGTTACTTTCTCGTGTTTTCGATTTAGGATTTGGGGGCGGGGAGCCGGAGAGCATGGAGAGAGGGGGGGGGGGTGTTCTGTTTGTAGATACTGAAATCTAGGATTTTTACGAGGGAGACAATGTAGTATCCGTGCACCAGTTCTTTGGTTGTATACAAAGTGTATCAGTGTATGGAGAGTCGAGTGCATTTTCAATGCATTTTCTAACAAAATTGGAAAAATGTTTCTCAGTCCCATATGGCATATTGTAAATTGTAGGGGCCTATGTCTCTTCAACCTTTTGCATTGACTGACCTTCATTGAAATAATGATGAGAGAGTGGCATAACTTCCTTTCGGGGGGGGGGGGGGGGAGGGGGGTTAATGTTGGAATCAACATTTGATACAGATACCAAATGCATTTGGCACAAAAACGTTCAATAATCTGATATAATAATGGTAGGTTCTAAATCTAAATAGAAATCAAGTGTGTGTTTAGCAATACCCTGCCCCCTTCTGAAATAATCTACTCTTGCTTGTACCTTTTTACGCAGCATAGTAATTTAGTATTTTTGTATTTCTTGTTCATTCCTTCCTTTGAAACCAGAGACCCTTGGTGTTGGTACGACTGTATGGAACTGTAGTCTATACATGCAAGTTGTGCATAGCGAATGACTACCAGTAAGATGGCCAGCCTTTCCCGTTTACGCACACGGAATTCACTCATCATTGCTGGACTGGTGGGCTTCATTGGTCTTGCTCTGTATCCGATAGTCGTCTCTCCAATGGTTAACCCCAAGAAATGGCGTAAGTGTTTATGGAAAGAATGTAGTATCCAGGCACAACTTTGGTTGTGTACAAAGTCTAAGGAGAGTCGATTGCATTTTCAAAGTATTTTTTTAACAAAATTGGAAATGTTTCTCAGTCCCAGATTTGTGTTGGTTGTTGCGTTTGGTGCTCCATGTGAATATGTAGATGTAGGTGAAGGCAACAGTACATATTTTCTGATCTGGTTTAGATCTGAAAGTAAGTCGTTTACATTTGACACTTAATCTTTAACTTATTGGTTATAATTTGTGCCTACAGAGAAAGTCCAGAAAGAAACGAGGAAGGGTATAGATCAGGCCGGTATCCAACCAGGCGGTGAGTATTTCAGTTGCAACACCAAGATTTGACAATATGAGTTTTCTTTACTTTGGTCGCAGACCACATACATTTGCTTGAATACTGGAGCAAGATGGCATTTTTGTTGATTTATTCAAGCAAACTGCAGTTTGGTAGAATGCTGTAACTGTGCACGAGTAAGATAAAACTGTTGAGAACTGAGCATGAAAGCTGTGTTTTTTTTTTAAAGTTTCTCATCCTAAGTGTCCAATAGATGAGAAATTAAATGATTCAAACAGCTTGCTGACTTGATTTAACTGAATATAATTGACAATCGTTAGAAAGTTAAAAGCCTGAGGTTTTTCTAAGAGGCAAAACTTCCCTTGAGAAAGATCCTGCTAGAATAAAAAAAAAATTCAGTGCCCACTACTTTGAAACTTTTTGTAGCAGATGAGTTTCTTTCCTCAAGGATATAAACATGTTATATAACCTGACACAAACAGTGAATATTGTTTTCTCTTCTCTAATTATTTGTGCTCTAGGTATGAGGGTCTGGAGTGATCCTTTTGCACCAAGATCGGATAAACCAACAGACAGCAAGGCCACTTAATAATTGCAATGTGATTGTAGAGCTGTACATTTGTAAATTATCAGGATTTTTAAAAAGCCGTAAAGTTGTAGTCTAGGATGCATTTTGTCTGCTTTTCAATCCAGACGAAAGGAACTCCCAATTTTCCATTTATTGTTATGCAATGTACATGTATGTATGTACCTTTGCAAATATTATTCATGGGCTATGGGTGCCCCAAAATAGTGTAGACTTGGTGCATGTACTTGTACATATCATTTTAATGAGACAGATGATCCATGATGTCATGCTATGTCAACGAGATGACCTTTGTTTCTATAAAACATATTTAAAGGCATTGAATATATTACACCTGAAAACAACAATTTCAGGGTCAGTTAATAGATAGTCAGTAATCTGCAAATGAAATGTGAGATATTTCTTTCATCAACTTCAATCTCATCCATTCGACATGCTGATGTAGTTCCTTGTGTTAATGTTTGTTGAAAAGGAACATTCACTTTGGGTCATGTGATAAGGATTCTATGTGCCTTAAAATCACTGTTTTCTTTAAGAAATAAACGTGAGTACCAAGTAATATCAGTGTTTATCTACAACCCACTTATTCTCAGCTCACATAACCAATCATTGCATTGTCCGATTTAAACCTTGTTGACTTGAGATATCTCATCAAGTATAAGAATGAAGGCCAGTTTATAATTTGTCAAAAGCAAACAAAGCAAAATTGTGTCAGAATTCTGCATAATGCAGTTGGTAAAAGGGTCATACTACATCATTGGAAAATAATAAAACTGTTGATTTAACTTTGGACAAGTATGACTCCACAGTTCATATTTGTACTTTTGTGTATTTGTCTTCTTTTTTTTTGCCTGAAAAATTAATGTTTACCATTTTGTAATAAAGAATTGAACTGGGTTGGTCCAATTAACAATTGTTATAGTGGTTATGTTGGTGGTTAAAGTTTATTTCAAAAAGAATTCGAAAGGGAATAATTGCAAGGGGGGGGGGGCGCAGAAGCACAATTTTACAGAGTGTTGGGAGTTGGGGAAACAATCATTTCTCTTTACAAAAAACGGGTGGAGAAAAAAAAGGACTGGGGGGTTAAATTTCCTTTTAAAAAATTGCAGGGAAAACTTGTGAGGAAGAACCCCCCCCCCCCCCAAATAAAGCCCCCCCCCCCCCCCCCAACAAAAGAAAGCAATCTGCACTTCCTATTTGTCGTTGCCTTCATAGATTTATGTTACTGTTGCTGTTCGATTTTAGATACAAAAGGGAAAACAGGACACATTTTTTTAATTGAATTTTGAACACTGGCGTTACCAAAGGCGTTTACCAAATCCCGGCTTCGGTCCGTTCCGGCTCCAACTCCATTGCCGAACTGCATTCCTGAAGCCTGAGTTGGAACGAAGTCGGGGTTTCAAAAACGATCCATGCTACCGTAGCCGATGAGGGCGCTATCATTAGGACCGGCGACTGCAGCTGACCAACACACAACAGGCAACACCTCCTATTTTATGCCGACAGTAACTTGAAATGTGGGGTTAAAATTCCCTCATTCGAGTTAGCAACAGCAAAAACGCCGTCACTGGCATAAGTAGAAGAATGGGGCATGCTGTTCTACAAACAATCCCAGAGGGTAAGAAAGGTTTCACTGCAGAGTTTTCAACTTTTTGGACTTCGCGTATAGTCGAGTCGTCCCCCATTTCTCAAACCAGCCCCCCCCCCCCATTGCCCCCTCCCCATGGCCATGCATCATTACTGTTTCAGTTTAGCCACACAAATTAGTAAATACAATGGAGGAAGGAACCCAGATAGTTGTTAAACGCAATCTGGATACCTTCGGCTTTATAATTTTACACTTGTTTAAAAAATTAAACTTGTGAGCTCAATTTCTGTGCTGCAAATTGCGCACACAAATTTAAACGGAAATATTCCCAATCCCCCATACATATCTGACCCTCACTTTTCACCCTGTGCGTAAACCGTATGAGACTGGTCGGAAAATTTCGAAGTGTTTTCTCAGTAAATATTTAATATTTTCCCTGCTAAATTTGACTTTTAGGTCATATTTTCACTTTCTGATGATGGCTGATACAGAGATTCCCATATCTGGCCATCACTTGTCACCCTGTGCACAAACCCTACGGGACTAGTCTGAAAATGTCTAAGTGTTTTCTTTGTAAAAACTTCAATATTTTCCCAGCAAAATTTTACTTTTAAGGGCATAATATTATGATAATATTTTTATCACTCTTTGATGGCCAGATATGGGAATCTTTCCATTTAAACTTGGGCACTACTCGAACGGCCTATCGACCGAGGCACTCGTCTTTGACATGAACGGCCTTTATGCATTGCATTGCATATGAATACATGGTGCATCATATATCATCTGTCATGGCCTGAATATGGTTCGAGTTGTTTCTTCAGTTTTCAAACGATTTTCATTAAATATTACACTCAGTGTTTACACTATATTGTCTTTCTTGGTTGCTGAACAGGGGGAAAAACCCACGCCAAATTAATTTTCAAAGTATTTTCTAACAAAATTGGAAATGTTTCTCAGACCCAGATTGTTGTCTTTTCAACACTTTTGCAATGACTTACCTTCACTCTAGTTTGAGATAATATATGATTAAAAAAGTGGCATTAGGATGCAACATTCTTTCCGAGGAAAATAAAGCGCACCACACTATTGATTGGATTTCCGTTTTTTAATAGGATTCACCAGTGCCGTGGAGATCTTAAACCTTTTTCCCAAGGATCTTCTTGCAGAGCTCTGCCATGAAGTCATCGCCTTCCTGCAGTTCTCCAAGGGTCTTGTCAGTGCCACGCAGTACCTTGATGTAAGACGGCGGAAATCGATCTAGAATCGTGTTGCTATTTTTGTCAACTGAATGCATCATTACCCCTGACAATTCCAAGATCCTTCAAACGTCACCAGGAGATTGTGAAAGATTATGCAGGACAAGGGGAAATTGTTCTACAATTCAATACAATATAGTCATTTATATAGCACTCTTACTCAAAGATGGTTTCACAGCACTGAACAGTAAATTAATCACGAAAGTTAAGTTAAACCTACAAGGCTTTGGTCGTGCGTACTTCACGCCATATGCGTGCAAACCATCCAGGCAGTGTGTCCCATCCACTGGGCTCTCAAATGTGGCCAAAAAACGCCATATGTTTTTGTTCATTCATTTAAAGGTATAGTCCATCATTTGAAATTAGTGCATTTTGTTCGTTTGAAGCAACAAATGTGGTCAAAATCTAAAGAAGGGTATATTGAACAACTAACCTGATGAAGTTTCAGCTCAGCTTCAGCTGTATATTCCGAGAAAAATAGCATTCTAGGATCTTGATTTCAAATCAAAAGTTGCTGAATCATGTTTTGAATTGGGCCTGAATTCAGCGTCCTAGACACGTTCTCAATGAGCTGATTGCAGCTATGCGATGTCGTGCACTGCTCCGACGAATTATAGCAACTGCCCGGGCGTGTGCATCGTGCCAATGCCTGTGCGCGCTTCGCTGCAAAACAAAACGAACTACTAATTTAAATTTCCTACGGTGCGTCTTAAGAAGCACCGTTGGAAAGGCCTTCTTTTGTTGATTTCTTCAAAATGACAGCTTTCCAGAAAGAATAATTTCACAGGGAGTTTAGTCCCCTTACAATCTTTCAACCAAGTATGTTTTCCAACAAGAATTACGCCAGTTACTTTTTGGATAGCTGCAAATGATGGACTCCAGCTTTAAACACACAAATCTTTGCAGTCACTATACTTCACAGCTGGCTTAAAATTGTTTATTACTGTTCAGGATTTAATTGCCGTCTGCTAACTTTTGTTTTATTTTCCTTTGCAGAAACTGCATGACGTCGATGTACAGAGCAGTGAGCAAGCTGTCCAAGGAGCCATCAATGCTCTAACATTCCTATTCAGGTATCTAGCAATTCCACAATGATATTTTGGGTCTTCTCAGGACCGCTCAAATAACCTGTTCCACAGTTCCTCACAGCAAAACTAACATTTGAAATTGTCTTTTACATGAGGCATATCAAAAAGAAATGAGAGAATGAAGCAAGAAAGTATTAAGGCAAAAAAAAAAATAATTCTGCTTCCGATTACATGGCATTCGAAAATAGGGTAGGTAGGTAGGTAATTTTTTTTTTTTGCCAATTTTTTTGTGTACGATCATATGGAGGCGTCTGCATGCAGTCAAGGGTAAAAGGTAAAAATTGATGGTTTGGGTTTTTTCCTTCTCATTTTTACATAAAAAAATTAGCATAGGGGCTCTCAGAATAGGGTAGGTAGGGAAACTGGAAGCAGAACTATTATTTTTTTGGCCTAATACAAGAATCAGCGACTTACTGTCGGTGTTCACTATGTAGAAGAGTTCTAATCACTTTATTTGGTCTGTTTTGGCTTCTTGCTTAACTCAGATCAGCCGCAAGGGCCAAAGTTTTACCAGATGACCTCGTGAAGGAACTCAGACAGAGCCTTGTATGGTCAGACAGCTGTATAGATGTCATCAAGGAGGTTTGGACAGAAAAGGTAAATCATATAAGGCTGTCAGCTATTTTACATTTCCATAACAATGTGAATGCATCCCAATACTTTCTGATTGCCAGATATGGAAACTCATCATAGTGTCTTATCCATGTCGTCTTTTCTCCAGGGCAAGTCTGTCTGCTCCGCGCAGGGGGTCAACCAACTCCTCAGTGTGGGCCAGCTGGTGGACATGCAGTGGAAGCTGGGCGTGGCCATGACGTCGGACGTCTGCCGCAGCCTCAATTCCACCTTCGTGATGATGTCACTTAAGGTCGCCGACCCCTCGGGCCAGGTCACCACCAAGTCACTGGAGATGACGGTGGCTGAGTTTAAGGTGAGGCTGAAAAAGAATATTACTGTTGTGTAAAATCCGCCTGATTTATATTGATTCCAAAAGAAAAGGGAAGCTCTCTGCAACACATTACATTGAGAGCTTATGAAGGGTGTATCCTGTAGGTGCATGGAGAAAACCCTAGGATCCATGTATTATAAATACAATTATTATAAATGGTTTATTTGTTTCTTAAGACAAGATGTGGCAATCACAGATTGGATTGCATCAAGTCGAGACAAGAAAATAAATCTTGTACACAGTACTAATAAATACATAAGAGGAATGTGTTGGGCCCATCTCAATTCATATCCTAATAAGTTCTGGACAAGTTCCAGACATCGTATCGGGGGTATAACTTGTAGGATTCTGAACAACCTCCCTGCAATCTTCCCACAGTGAAGTTAGTATTAGTGAGTCAAGCAGTTGCTAATGAAAATTTCACCAGGACAAATCCTGAGCTAATTCGTTTGGACAAAGCAAATGATTCTACCTGCAACTTGTCCCGAACTTGTCCCGGGCAGAATTGAGATGGGCACTTACATAAGTAATCTTACCCAACATATTCCTGTCTGGAGATTGTATTTGAAGTTGTATTGAAACATTTTGAGGTTATGAAAACATGCTTTTTAATTAAAAATATTTATTTTTGTTTTTCTCTTTTCCAGAATTTCTCAAAGCAAATACGAGAAATGGCAGCCATGCTGGAGATGATATGACAAGCAACTTCTTGCCTTCTAAGTTCCAACTCTAACTTTATCAGCGGGTGAAATTATTGTCAGACATTTGGACATTTGTGGACTGTTTGCTACATTTGTCCAAACTAAACAATTTGCGCAGTCAAATTGTGACACTTTTTAGTTCATCATACATCTTTGAAAGTATTTGACATTCTGGGGGTTACGAATCTAAGTGAGTTTTGCTTTGTTATTCTGTGAGCGCATTTTGAATGTGATGTCATGCTCTGATGTACATTAACCTGTATGTGTAATGTGCAAGTAACATGATTTTTATGTTCAGACACAGATGATGTACACATTGAAAGTAAATTTCAAATACTTTTGTAGAACCCTTTTGAAAGTGTAAACCATGCCTGGGAGGTTTGCAGTCTCTGATATTTTTTTTAATAATAAGCAAGTATTGTTACCATCATTTAAAAGTGGCCATCTGATAGTTACATGAACCCAGCTATATTTTGTTTATTTCGATATTATGAGGAAAGAAGAGAAAGATGAAGAACACTTGTGATGCGGTCAAGCTAAATGAGTCGTTTGTCGTAATTTTTATTTGGAGATACTAGCCAAAATAGGGCCACTTCATCACATCACCTAATTGCATCTCTTGGTGTTCCAACTTCCATAATTTTTGAACTAAAGATGGTATCAGCATGCGGTTTTCACATCAGTAATGCTGAGATTGTGCTCTTTGCAAATCTGTATTAAAAATTGTTTGACCAGGGTCGACAAAGTACTCAAGTAGCTTGATCACATCAAAATTGATTTGTTGAAATGTTCAATCTAAGGGCAAGTTCCCTTTGAGCACGAATTTGGAGTACCAACACCCAGGACTACTGGTACTCAAAATACCCTTGAAAAAAAAAACAGTACATGTATTGCACTGATTACTGTGTTTGTCAGATATCAGCAAAGATAGCTTCCCAAAAAAATATTTTTGGAGTCCTATAATGTTTGCAACTTGAATCAGGTGCATATTTTGAGCTAAAGTATTGCAGCGATTCGGTGATTTGATTTGAGATTCAGAAATTTCATATTTTTATAAAAAAGAGAGATTTCTTGTGACAATTTCCTTACAGCTTCTGAGAAAGTCTTAATGTGTACATGTATTTGGATTCTTTAAATTAGTCACTACCATGTTAAAAAGAAATGCTAAAAATTCAAAGTGTATTCATTTGTTTCATAATTTGTGTAATTTGATCTTTAACTTGTTTTCTTTTATATGGTTCTGTGAAGATTAATAAAAACTACATAACCCTAATTTCTTTGTTCATCCAGTGTTTTTTTTTCTCAAAGATATTTATACTTGTTTCATTGTCATGTGTATAGTAGTAACATAGTTTATGTCCTGTGGTGTAGTAAGGAAGGGCATGATGCCATGACCCAAACCCTTCGGAAGAGTAAAGAAAAATAGTAAAAATAGGTGTTTCACAAATTTGTTTTACTTGGTATCTACTTGTTCGTGGGTTCCCGTTCCCCTCCCCTCCCCCACCTCAAAATTTTGCATATATCGCACTAGTCCTCTTCATTAACCATAGAAGAATTTAAAGAAGTAATTTAATTAGATGACCTGGATGTCCCTTGAACTATAGGCAAATATTAAAAAATTAAACTTCACCTTAAAACCGATAAAGGCATAGCCAAGAATAAAGTTATGCTAATTTTATTCTGTTCCCCACCACAAAGTTGCAATACAACAAACTCAAAAATATAGAGGTCACTGATGGCGAGTTTCCCCGTATTTTTATTTTTATTTCAGAGAGATGAGGGGGGGGGGCAGCAACTTGTACTTGTCCAAAGTACTGTTTTGAGTGGACGAACATGGGCGTCGCGAGGGGGGGGGGGGGGGCGCTTCCCCCCCCCCCCCCCGGAAAAGCAACCCCAAAAAAGGAAGAAAAAAAAGAGGCGTGAAGTCATAGTGGTGTAAATTTAATGGGTTGGGGAGGGAGGCGAAATGTCCCTGCCCCCCTCTAAAACTGATAATTCGAGAAAATGTTGAGAAATACAGGATTTTTTGGGTAAAAATATGTTTTGCCCCCCTCTAGAAAAAATCCTGGCGACGCCCATGTGGACGAACCACGTGCATGCACTCGTCACACCATGTGCAATTACTGGAGGAGTGAAATCAACCGTCACGTGTATCTATATTGGCTTTCTGCTTATGTCAAGCTCGAACTAACGAACACCGGAATTTCATCGGCACCACGCCAGAGCGGCAGATTTGACTCAAGATTTTTCAACGTGTTTTAACTTAAATGGACGCATTCTTCAGTAAGTTCGACTTCATGGCAAGAAAGGTATGTGCATCGTGAAACAAAAAAGTATCATTTCTATCTACGGTCCGCCCTATTTATGTCGTTTTTATCAATGGTTTTATAGGCCTTCGCATACTTTTCCCTATTTTCATTTTGCCCCATTTTACCACTTCGCCCCAATACGTTACTTCGTCTGTTGTTTACACAACAGTCCACTTGGGAAAGAATATCCACATGTCACTTTGGACAGAATCCGCACTCCACTTTAGCGGTTGTGTACAAAGGCAAGCTAAGTCTGTGGAAAGTCAAGAACATTTTGAAAGTATTTCCTTAAAAAAATGGAGGAAAAAAATGTTGCAACCTGACTCCACTTCCGCAATTGTGTACAAAGTCTACGGAGAGTCAAGAAAATTTTCAAAGTAGGCCTATTTCCTAAGAAAATTGCAAATATTTCTCCGTCCAAGATTCATGTCTTATCATCATTTTTGCAGTGAATGACCTTCATTGAGATGATATATGAAGTTAATAAAAAGTGGCGTCAGGTTGCAACATTCTTTCCACCACTTTTTTGTTTTTTAGCACCGCCAGTATTTGAATTGTCAGTAATCGATATATTGGAAATCCAATATCATGAATATACGCTATAAAGGGCTGTCGATAATCCAATAAAAGTTAAAGACCATAAAGATGAAACTTTGTTAAAAAAAAAAAAATTAAGTACACATTTTTCAAGGCTTTCTCTGGAGCATATTGCTCAAAGTACGTAAAAAAATCTCAGCACGGAGAGTTTGCCCAGAACGGCATTTTGCATTAATGGGGGAGACCGCGAATTCCAGCGAACACAGAGTACATGTACAAAGCGACACCGCTTGGCATTTCACGATATTTGTGTGGTCGGGCACAACCCGACCACTCTTTGGATCTGTTACGATTAATCTTTCGTTCTTTATTTCTTTCTTTTTTTTCTTTTTTTTTCCGGACAATACTTCTCCGCGTTTTTTCCCTAAATGGTATATGGTATGAACTTGTAACTTTCAATATATATTGACCCCCATCCGAAGTGGTGCATATTACTCTGACGTCATGATGACGTCATCATGTGTCAAATTACAAGTGATTTTATCTGAAAAAAATTACCAATTACTTTCACCTATAGCTCTTGAACTAAATAATCAATGATGTTTGTATTCTGTAATCAGATAAACCATTAATTGCTTAACATTTTTTTGTCGTGTACGTAAACTCGCTTGACCTTTACTTCCGGGTCTACCGGAAGGTCAAAGTTAGGGGAATTCAAAATGAAGACGTTAGCCTGGAATCAAAACAAAGCAAAATTTCTTCCTTATGGTTTACGGTATGATCATTAAACCTTGTGTGAACTTGTACCATATTACGAAGATGTTTTAAATTTTGTAATGTTATCATGACGTTTTCAGATATCAAATTACAAGCGATATCTTTTGAACTAAATAGAATATTGTGTTCCATTTTTTCGTGAGGTTGTAGACTATGCCGTGAGGAACATTTCGTGTTCCCGGACACAAAACCGCTTGACTTTTACTTCCGGTGTTACCGGAAGTGCAATAAAAACTTAATATAGCCTAACTCAAAAGCGGAAGCATTTTACAGACAAATATTTTATGAAAGTGTTTAGTGAGGAATGCCAGACACAAATAACAGTGTGACGTCATCATCTGAAAGGGCGCCCCCTAGTGGCACATAAAAAATGTTTCTTTTCTTTAATTTTAAAACCATAGTTTCAAATGTTAGCAAATCCCCCCTTGATATTCTTTGATTAACCACAGATAACTTGGCAAGGTTTCATATTCATGATGACGTCATCAGACCGGAAGTTACTTCAATAAGAATTTGCCAACGATCATATTTTAAATTTAATTCTATCATTTGATCCATGTTGTATATCTTAGCCCAAATAACAATCCATTATAATGTTCACCTTTTGCTTCCAAATACTGTGACGTCATCAAACCGGAAGTTCGGTGTTATGAATACACACACTTATATTTTATAAATTTTCATACGTTATTTAACTTCACAATGAACATCCATTCCGAACGAAATCAGTATTCACTTCCCGTGTTTGACTGATGACGTAATCAAGCCAGAAATAACTTGTATGTGTACATGAATGTTTACTGAAATTTATCACACCGTTAAAGACGCATTTTTTAAACAGAATAATTGATTGTCCTGGAAAGGATTTAATTTTGTGATCCTTTGTTCTTACATAAAAATATTCATAACTCAACTGGACAGTGTTTCATAAAATACTTGTCTACCCGACCACTATGCGTTTGTAACAACAAACGCGAATCTCTAGTTTTATTTTGAGTCACAAGCAAAAGTTGCTATCGAGTTTTATTTTATAAAGGATAAACACAAAGTAAAAGCACAAACGATATATTTATTTTGAATATAATCTGATGCATTTTCGATATTTTTTTTATATAATTCCTCAATATCGACAATTTCGATATTTCGATATGATTAATTAAAAAATTGCTATCGGCATTATCAATATCAAAATAATATCAACTAATCAAGTAATATATCGGTATATTGTCAACGGTGCTTACTTTTTTGGTTGTGCACAAAGTCTATGGAGAATCAAGTGCGTTTTCAAAGTATTTTCCAACAAAATTGGAAATGTTCGATGTCAGTCCCACATTCATGTCATTTCAATATTTTTGCAATGATTCTGTGAAAAAAGTGGCGTCAGGATGTAACGTATTTTCCCTTACTTGGCCCAATAAGCCAATTTGACATTTCACTTGCACATGCGCAAACTCTCATGAACAGTGCATTTTTAAAAATTATACACAAAACACCTCACATGGCCCTAGTCCAATAGATAGCAAGCTTACAGCATCATGTGGGTTTGTTTATCCAAAATTCTGTCCCACCATGCCCACAATTCATTGCTTACACGAGATGTTGATTTCGCTTATTTAATTACCTGTTGAGTGTTGTATTTTTTTGCACATGTCTTAAAAAAATGGTATGCCCAATTTAAGTTTTGAATTACATGTAACTGTTCGTGCACAATTTTGAAAACAAAATGTGCAAAAAAATTTTTTTATGCGAATTGGCATAGGCATGGTAGGCCCTTAGTTATGTTTTGTGCTGTGAATTAAGTAGGCACATGTAGATTCACTTTTTCCAAGCTCTATTAATTAAAGAACTTTCTAGAATTGTTTTTTTTTCCTAAAAGAAGAAGGTATATTGCTCAAAATGACTATTCTTTGGAATCTTACAAATTGACAAAAGAACCATAAAAAAATAATCATACAAGTACGCACAATGTGTGCATTATTTTGGAATGTAATTCTAACCCCCTAAGGGTTCCTCAGGACTACCCTGCTAAATCCAACGGTTACTTCCTGCTTAATCCAACAGAATCCTAACTGTGCCTAATTTTTAGTTGTCTGCTGGATCCAACAGAGTCCAACTTTGCATTATTTATCTCGCAGCTCTCACGAAGTGTCTTTGTTTTTCATGTCGTACGTCTTTTTATTTGCTGATTAGCCTACTGTTCTGTAACGCAGAAGTATTGCTTATGGCACAAAGGGCACTATTTTGCCGAACGTGCCATTACATCACATCAACAACAACAACATTATCAGTACCCAACAGAATCCGACTCTGAATACATGTATGTACATGTATGATAGTTGGATCCTGTTCGATTCAGCAGGGTTAGGGTGAGCTTTAATCTGAGGTCATGTACAAAATGAACGGTCGTAGTGGTATTTATGGGTAATGGTGTTGTCCAGGAATTGGGTTGTCTGCATGTCTCAAGTGTTCTTAGTTTTCAGATCCCATATTATTATTATCATCATGCTGTGTATTCACTACATTTTCTGTCTTTTTTCCCCTGAATCCTCTACAGGTCTGTGATAGACTCTGTTTTCATCAAGCTGCTTCATTGAGATGAAATGCCTGCAAATTACATTAAATATGGATTGCATGAAAAGGTTGGTAATTTTATTGATTCTGTTGAATGTGGATGAAGTGATGAGTTAATACTATGCATTAAAAAAAAAATTTTTGAAAACATCTTTAGCTTTCTTCTTTGCATCATGTTGCCGATTTGTACTTGTTCTAAATTGCTACTCCAGTTTGGCTTTTGTATGATGCAAATCACTTCACCTGCCCTAAACCATTAGCATAGACAAAGACCATATTTGGAGGGGAAAAAAACTTCAATGTGGCCTTTCAAAAATATGGTAATTTCCTCTCAGGATCCTAGAGGGTATTTGCATATACATGTAAATGGAACATATGTGTAAGCCTACCCTTTTTAAATTCTACTACATTGTATTATCATTAGGCCTACAATGCCAATTCTCATCTGTTGACATTGTTAGAAATCAGTTTCATATCTTTATGTACGGTCATACCAGCAATAGAATAAGTTGAATAAAATTGCAGTGTTTCAGCCGTTCAGTCAACGTTGTATCTACGTCCTCCTGAGGATTTCTTGGTTTTATTTTTTGCACACAGATTTTGTGACCCAGCTCCCCCCTGGCAGCTGAAACCAGCATAATGTCGTCCTCAAGAAATCCATGGATGTCAGCACAGCACGCGACACGTACCCGGTGAACTCCAAGCTACAGACATGACAGAAATCTAGACTGGATCTGATGAGCTACCAATAGTTCCTGTCACAGGATATCAGAGAACCCTCAGCATTCACCGCGACTGTTTCCTGTAATTCAACCAGTCTGAGACGAACTGGATTTCTCTCTTGCCTGGATGTTGTGGGATGCCACTCAGCGACACTGACATCACTTCTAAGATGCTCTCCTGAATATGTTGGATCTGCATTGACTGTGTGAGATTCATGAGCTACACAACCACCACTGAGAAGGACTTGCAACAGAACAAGTGGACTTCCTTCAAAACAATTACCCGGAGATCTTCACTTTCAAGCTCAGTGTGCCACAAGATGTTTTAACTTATTGCTAGTCGTCAAAAACTGCCTAGAGAGTTGTCTAGAGAGTCGATTTGAACAATTTCGTGACTCGAAGGATAATCCGTACTTGAGCCATGTGTCTGCACGAGTCTCACCAAACATTTGGAGAACTGCAATAAAACATGCACTAGACAGCATGAGGTTACCGTCAGACCCGTCTCGAGATCATATCTCGGCTCTGAACTGACTGCCAGAAGAGTTCATGATGAGCTGGCCTCTGCCAGCCGCAAAAACACTGGATGATTCACATTGACTGTTGCTGTCTGCTAGAGAGTTATGACTGAGGAACTCTTTTGAAATGAAACTCTGTTGAAATGGAACTCTTTTGAAATGGAACTCTTTCGAAATTTACCTCTGTTAAAATGGAACCCTCTTGAAACTGAACTCTTTGAAACGGAACTTTGTTGAAACGGATCTCGTTGGAAACAGAACTCTTTTGAACCAGAACTCTTTTGAGATGGAACTCTTTTTAAATTGAACTCTTTGAAACGGAACTCTGTTGAAACGGAACTCTTTTGAAACAGATCTTGTTGGAAACAGAACTCTTTGGAACCTGAACTATTTTAAGATGGAACTCTGTTGAAACAGAACCCTTTTGAACCGGAACTCTTTTGAACCGGAACTCTTATGAACCGGAACTCTTTTGAGATGGACCTCTTTTGAGATGGACCTCTTTTGAAATTGAGCTCTTTGAAATGGAACCTTCTTGAAATGGAACTCTTTGAAAGGATAATGTATATTAAGTTGAAGAAGTAGAGGTCTCTCTTTCCTTGTCACTAAAGGTCATCAGAGGTCACCTCTTTGACCCCCATATGTGTAGAAAAGGTTGCCTTGGCCAACCACAATTTGACAGACGTCTAGAATCTTGAAAGGCAGTTGCAATAATCTTCACTCACAGTGTTTGATGATGGAAAAGTGATGTAGTCATCACCTAGCGACAAAGTTTGGGACGAGAAGTGCAAAGTTTTCTATATCAAGAAAATTGTCCAGAAACCTTCAAAACATGCTATCTTACTATGTTGACCCACAATTGATGGCAGTAGTAGTTGAGATCAAACCAAACCATACATCGTGAATATGGAAGAGAGGCCTCTACACACCACACCACAGTGACCACACGTAACCAGCTTCTCTCTGCAAACTCAAAGCATATTTCATAGAATTGATTCGTCTTTGATTTTTATTCAGTACATCCACCAATTTTCTTGTATCAAAGTATCACAAAAAAATTTCAACAAGCAGTGAAAATGAGGAAAGATATAGCGCTGCATTTTATAGTTCTTATTTCCCGCTCTGCCAGTTGCAAAATAAACTGAAATTTAGCCAAATTCACTAAATATTCACTAAAGCTGAGGGCTGCGCAAGTATTGAAGAAAAAAATTCTCTCAGAAAAATCTTGATGATGCAACTTCCTTTGGCATATATAGAGAGAGAGCTGGTTACGTCAAATTAATTGATTTTTTTATGGCATTGCCTGATTGGTAATAGTTGGGTGCAAGATTGGTTTTCCTAGAACAAAATTCTTTAAACTTTGTGTCGACACACAACGCTAATGCACTTATTTGAACTTCATTGCCAATTTTAATCATTGCTTGGTTCAGTTTAAATTCAAAATAATTGGAGATGTCCAAAAATCCAAATTTCTTACTCAAGCACTCATGCAGGAAAACCCAGATATTCGTGTAAATGCGCAATTTTGCAAACAGCTTTCATAATTAGCCATTCAACTTTTTGTTTATACTTTCAAAATTTCTTTCAACTCTTCATAAATGGCTTTTCAAAAATTTTAGATGCACTTTCCAGTTCATCATAACTTAGCTGCGTACTATCAACAGCCATACCAATCTTGTACCCAGCTTTTGTTTTATCAAGTATAGTCAGCACTGGTCCACTGTTTAACTGACAAAATTTGTCTGTGAATGAAAAAAGTGATTGCATGTTGGTTTTAGTTCCACTTTTTCGAAAAAAAATAGCCGAACCCAAAATATTCCATTTCAAGTGAAAACACTGCTAAAAATGCCTTCAAAATTTGTTCTTATTCGACAGTTTACCAGGTGTTTTTGTGGACACACCTTCGTTTAAATACCTCCAGAAATGCAGTCTTTCTTGTCCATTGGTCAAGCAATGTTTTTCTAAAATCCCATTTGAAAAAGAAAAGTAGACAGTATCAAACTGTTGATTACTTACAAACACCAATTACCAATATTTTTAGCGCAAAAAGGAACAAAAGAATTGATGTTCCGGTGCTGGCTGTACATGTTCATTGGAAAATATGATGATTAATTTGTTGAGTAACCCATATACATATACTTGACATTTAACCAACAGGCAATGTTCTGATATACCCGAGCCCAACGCATGCAAGTCCCCCCGGGGCGTGCACGTGTGGTGTTCCCCGCCCGCAGATGCCGGCTTGTCTGGTGAGTCGCCCCTATCTGCATTGACGATTGGTCTTTTGTTCAAGGTGTGTGCTAGCTTCCTGATCTTGTGGTCTGGATAATCGTGGATGACTTGGTCGACTTCAACATGGTAAGGATCCTTTTGAACTTTGACAATTAGTTTGCCTTTCTGCAAAGGAGATGTCTTTTTGGCTGTTTCTTTACCGAGTGTTGCTGTGGAAATTATGTACCATCTATCAATCTGGAGATTGCAAATCTAGAGATCAATCGAGCATCTACTCTTGATGTCCTGCTTGCATTTCAATAGTTCCATGGCATCATGTTGATCCAAATGATCTGCTAACAAATGGGTACTGTTGCTGGTATATCTGATGTTCTTCAATGTGGTAGGATTTTCGGACAGGTGTTTCAGCCGCTATTTATGTGAATAACTTCCATGGTATAACTCTGAAATCTCATTGCCTTTTATTGTGTCATCATGTACAATCAGTTCTCTCATAGAGTGTGTTCAAATCTTAGACATGCACGGATAAACATTATAAGGAAATAATTTCAAAAGGAAAACAGTTAAACCGAACTGAATCAAACGTCAAATCTGCTTCTAAATTCAGCATCTGATGTATCACTTAAAAACTTCAGTTTGCAAATAATATTTGTGTTTTTGGCAGCACATGATTCTTAACATAAACCTGAAAGTATTGACCAAATTTTTGGCTAAATTTCAAAAGTTACATTTTTAACTTGATCAACCAAAATTTACTGACCAAACTATTTTATTAAATTTCAAAAATGCAGCTTCCCTGCCTCAGATAATCTCTGTATAAAGTCAGTCAAAATTCTAAATTCTGGTTTTCATCATAAAAAAAGTAAGTCCCGATTTCAAAGCAACTCTATTAAACATTGTTAAAAATCCAAATGTAAACAATAAGGAAAAAGAACTCAATGAATGGGCCAGTGCGATCATTTTTATAATCGGAAAAGCTGTTGAAAAAAAACTAACATGGAAATAGAAAGTTTTAGGAAAGAAGAAAAAGGAGAGAAGGCCAAACTCTTCAAATTGTAGGGGAGAAGTCCTGGTGTGCAGAGGGGGAGAACCATGCTGCTTCTTGGCCAGATGGAAGATGTGGTGGACAAAAAGGCCCCCTGCATCCTAACAAATAGAAGCTGTGGTGTCAGACACAGGGAGCCAGTCCTGCCAGATGGATCCATGGTAAGTTTGATTGAAGTTTGTAGAATGAATTCATGCACTGTGTACATCCTCATTGCTTGCTAAACCCAACGGTAAAATGTGTATCTCATGGCTAGGAGTAAACGCTATCTGTCTGCATTACAGGAAAACAGTATTGTACATTATAGTCTTCAGTCTGTGGCAATACCAATTAGCTCAAAGGACCAAAAAGAAAAACAAATATCAGCGATTTGGCAATTTTTATCAAAATCGAAATTAAAGGCATTGACATGACAGTTGTACTAGGAAATGGTCAAACAATCCCCATTCAATTCTGATATTGCTGAAGAGATGTCAATACTCTTCTTATGAGTGTCCATTGAGTCCTACAATCATACAGAGATGCAACCAGTGTATTGGTGTGCAAATATCTCACTCAGTCTCGGCAATCTTTCGGGACTTGACACTCACTGCAAGCACTTAAAGTGCTGCTGCCAAAGTCATGGTCAAATGTTGTGACCTCTGCACTCCAATCCTATGATTGGATGAAACCTTGGGCTTCAGCAATCACTGCAGCCTCCCATAGATTCATCACCCACCTGATAGGTGGTTGCATGGGGGAATCCCCCTACCAGGGCTGTCTAAAATGACCTTAAGCAAGATGATGATGTGGTGTGTTCATTAGTCTGTGCACAGTGAAGCCCCATCAAACTGTGCCGCTTAGCAATTTGAAACTAAAGCCTTGAAAATCTAGGCATGAAGCAAAATCAATACCATCTCCTAATTGAAACACAAACTTAGTCATTGATCAGGTTTCTTTCATGCGTGTGGCTCTTCATTTCAGTTTCTTGAACCCAGAATATCTGCCTCAGCAATGTGTATTACTGAGAGTGATTCATTTTCATTTGAAATTTGAACATAATGGCCAACATGCAAGTTTGAGTACTATCGAAATGTAGGCCTATAGCGCATTTTTCCCTCACGAAAAATCTACAACTGTCATTGCCATGCATCGACCAATAGATAATCCTGCTACCCATCTGTGAGTGAATCATACCTTTTAAAGCTTAAAAAGTAAATATGAATGTCTTAAAGAGTCCTGAAAGATCTTCACCATAACATTTAGTAGTTAAAATCGTCGAAATTTTCAATCCGATACTTGTAAAGACGGAAACTCACAATGTAGTTGAAAGTACAAATTCCTTTGGTCTTATGACCAGTTCTTACATATTTGAGAAACTGAGCATCAGTGTTCATGTACGTATAATACATGTATGGCGTCGGAGAGCTGTTGCAAAGAAAACAAATCGTCAAAACGATCAGATTTATTGAACATTTCAAATATCCATCCGTTCTGAGTTGGACCACTTTGGTTTCATTTCTAAAGTAACCAATTCTTCAAACATTTGTAAATGGTTGCTGAAGCCAATCTGCCTTAATATATTTTGTAACACCAGCAAAGCTATTTAAAAAAAATCACCAAAAATACAAAATGTGCAAAGTTATTTGGCACTCAGAACAATTCTTGTGATAAATTGTGAATTTGAGCGACTTCAAAAACAAGCATTCCAAAAGGATCTAAAAAGTTAATGTGGCCTGACGTAGCAAACTTAACAAGTTCTTCTTCAGAGGCAAAAAGGTTGTGAGTTTTCACAAGTTAACAAATTGCAAGAGGATGCCGTGAAATGCCAGCATCCTATCACTAAGATATTTTTGTTACTAAGCTCAATCAAATCTGCAATTGTAAAAAAAAAGTTGAGACGATAATAGGACTGTTGTTTGTTAGTTGTTAAATAAGGTGAAGATCTTTCAGGACACATGTTGGTATTGCCACAGACTGAAGACTAGCTATGCTCCATGCTTTAACCCTTTAGTGACCACACTTCTCTCTGTACAATGCTGTAAACTTGCAAAGAGCAGTTCTTTATCGAGGCACACATTGTGAATTGTGATGTGTATCCAATTCTAAATTAAGTAGCGGAATAATAGATTAAAATGAAATTAAAATGCTGGTCCTCCATTGCCTCTACAGGCAATTCAGTTGTGGTCTCCTCTAGCGGCTTTGGTCACCAAAGGGTTAAAAAGAAAATATGTCAAAGGTTTACCAAGTCATTGTTCGGGTCAATTTTCGATTAAGTTTAGTTACGAAAAGGGTTGTAAGAACATATACATCTAGGGCAGATCTTTAAATCGAAAATGTCCAATCTACATCAGAATTAATTAAAATACTTGTAGTATAAATATTTTTTCAAAAGTTAAACGCTGATTAGTAGCACATAGACAACTCTTCTAAAAGGTGACATTTAGCAAACCTCTGAATTTTGTATTCTAGTGATCAAACCCTTCATGTAGGTCTACATTTACATTTTTTTTAAATAGGCTAGATTGTAGCATATGTACCATTTAATGATTCATCACGTCATGGTAAATATTCCTGAACCCTGCCTCTGAGAAATTATTGATTAATTTAATGTGGTCAACAGTGAATAACAACTTGATGAGATGAATTTTACGAAATTGAACAAAATCTGTGCCAAAAATAAATAGATAACCAAGTTATACAAGTAACCAAGTCATCCAAGTTGAAATTGTTTAGCACTACATCGAATCCTTTGCCAGAACCGTCAATAGAAATACCACTTTGAGGCAGTTTGGTTTTATCTCTCGCAGTATTCAAATCCTGTAGTGAATTAAAAAGTGAGTAAACTACATGATCAAAGTCAGTCCTGACATAATGAAATACGATTTTGATAACTTGTAAACTTTTCTCAGCCGAAAATTTGCATCAAGGTATAAACCAGTGGAATATTCAATAAGAATTTAGTTAGCTTAGTTCGATAAAGACACCTGGCGTGGCGTTGTGAACGAGATCTCGGTTGCGACCTGTAGATGATGATGATAGTTAGAAAAAAAGAGCTGATTGGTGATTTTTGGCCTTAATGGGATTGGTTTCATGTTCTTAAAAAGACCCTGAAAACACACGTTAATGTGATTCCAAATGATTTGAAATAAATTAAGCTAAGAGCTAAATTCGATAGGCACATAAACATGTTTGCATGTAGGCGATATTACAGTGTTCCTTGTTCATGCCTAACTTAGCAAGGGTAGACTCAGAGAGATCTGAAATAACTGGGACTTAGCGATTTTGTTGACGTCACTTGGTTTGAATCTCAGGTCATGTACAGTTTACACTAGGCTGTACGCAACTGCAGCAGAGAAACATCATATATAAAGTTAAGACAGAACACAGTAGCCTGTACAGTTAGTTGTTACATACATGTAGGTTTTTCAATTTCTTTCTAAAGATGTCAAAGGTTCAAAATGTTTAAGATCAGTCTTGTCTTAAGTGTCGTAATGGGCAGGCCCCAGGATAAATCATCAACAAGTGGCAGTTTCAATGATTGAATAATATTATATTACTTGAAAGAGCGTACAAAAATTGTGCTCCTCTATTTGGCGAATTTTATAGCACGCTTGCAATTCACAAAACAGATATGATTTGCCGAAGAAAAATTGGGGGGGGGGATGTATTTTGTGTCACGTGAGAACCCCTTATTTCAGAACATACTGACACGAACTAAATGTTTGATGTGTAAACACAGAAGAAAATAAAGGAACAAATAGCTGTTCAAAACTTTTGCCAAAATACGGTAAGTGTCCATTCACGACACTGTACACGTGGAATATTTTCATTTCATGGCACGCATCAAATTTTGATGATGTTGTACATGTTGTACAAAAAGCACTTATGCATTGAGGACTTTGAATGTTTAAAACATCCAAGAGATGTGCAGATAACCGTGCATAGACAAATCACCACCTGATATTCATTTTGATTACGTATTTTGGCAGTGCACCATGCACAGTCTCCACAAATCTTGCAAAAACACTTTAAAAAAATCCAGAAGAAATTAGTTAATCCAGCTTAAATTCTTTAGAAAAGTGCAGACTTAAAGACATAGTTTTCAATCCACTCCTTTTTGGTCATTCTTGAAACCAAGAAAACGTTTGTCCAATTTTGCGTTGTGCGTATGTAAACGTCACTGAAATTACAAGGTTTTCCCCTCATAAAGTGTCTTATTTCACGATCAATCTTAGAAACTGCCATAAATTTTCCTGGGGCCTGCATAGGTATGCATGTGAGCATAAATGTGCAATATCTGTTGTAATGTAGACATGTAGCAGTACAGGGCGAGTTAAAAAGAAAGTGACCAAATTAGAAAAATTTCGTTTAGAATATGTCGCTTGCTCCATTTTAGAAAAATAACAGTGATAAAGTACATGTCATTGACTAGCAACTGTGAACATTTCACACAATTTGCGTAGTCTTTTCCCAATTGTGTCTATTTTAATAAAAGATCACAAACATCAGCTGTCCACCACTGATCATTTACTATTCTATGAATTGATGAATATATGCATTAAATACAATGAAACATGGAAGTTTTCCCACCTCCACGAATGAAACGAAAACTTGCAAAAAGTAAGACAAAACCTTGCATCACTATATCAAGAATATAAAAGAGTTGACTTGTTCCTCAGATTCAAAACACAAAATCTGACAGAAAAAAGTAATGTTTCAGTCTTGACTCAAATGATCAAAATCTCATTTGTATTTGAATGCAGGTGTGTAATCTATTATAATCACTCAGCTCAGTAGCTTCCAATGGCGTTCATGGACAGCTATCAAAATAGGTTCTTCTGGTAGCCTGGATCAAGTTCAGTAATTAAGACGTATTTCATTGATGTATCAACTTTGATTACTTTTTTAATAAAAACCTCGTTAATCCAGGTCACTTTCTTTTTGACTCGCCCTGTATGTTTACTCCGAATGCCATGATACACATGTGGGTTTAGCAAGCAAAACAGATGAGGATGTATGTTGTCATTGTACAGTGCATGAATTAATGAAAACTTCAATTAAACTTGACCATGGATGGCCATGGCGGGACAAGGCTGTCCCTGTGTCATGATGATGCCACAGCTTCTGAGGATGCTGAGGGGCAGATTGCCACCACATCAACAGTGGCGTAGCTAGAATGAAGGAGGGGCCACAAGAAAACAGGAGGGGACAAATTGAAGCCCATGCAATTGTCCATGTGGGGCCAACATGAAATTTAAAATTATCATTTGAATGTACATGGCTAGTTGTCATGTTTGTGGCTTCCCGTCTGAGTTGGCCAAAATATGGGCCGAGCATGGGATTTTGATAGATCCCATTTTGTCCAATTGGACAGACAGCCCCCTCCAAATGTTAGAAGGCCCCTCCCATCCCCATGAGCTACGCCACTGCACATTAGCCAGGAAATAGCATGGTTCTTCAGAAAGGCACATCAGGTTGAAAATGGGAGTAAAAACAAAATACTCCCCCTCAAAATCCCCCCAAAAAACTCCTTCGACAGAAGTACGAGGAGTCAGTAACTTCATAGGCTCAAGCAATCACTTAGTGTGCAAATTGCGTATTGAAAAAAGAGTTTGGCCAGATGTCTGTAGAAAAGGGAAAAAAAACGATCACTCAGTATTGAAACACTGTGTGAAATCTAGAGAAAGCCAAAAGAAAAACTGCAAATGTGCTTTCAGTCCAACCAATTTCTCTCTCGTAAAACTCCCAATTAAAATGTTTGGGTTGTTTTAGATTGTAACATGTACATCATGTACATTAACATGTACATCATGTACATTGAGTGCACAAATTAAATGATGTACATGTACATTGAGTGCACAATTCAACAGCTTTGTTGAAGATATTTATGATGGCACAAAGAAAAAATTGTGATCACTCTTCTCCACTGAAAGAAACCGTTGTGTATTTGCCCATATACATCAGGACTGTTTGAGACATGTAACAAATTGACTTTTTACTGTACAAAATGTACGTCAACTTTGTCAGAAAAAGGGAGAACAAAATTAAGCGCAAAATTTACTAAGAGGATACCAAAAACTCTATCTTTCAGAGTACAAGGTAGATAAAGAAAAAAGTTGCTTTGAAATTGGACTTGTCCGACCAAAATGTTGGTTGAAGTTTTGGCAGAAAATCTCACTTCTTAAAATCTGTAAATCCTACCAAGATAACTTTGGTAAATTCAACTTGCAAATTGAAACATTTAATTAAATTAAAGTCTAAATAATAACCTAAATTCACTTGGCACAACTATATCTTGTCTGCAAAATCTGACGTTCTTAAAACTAGTATCAGTGCTGCCAGAAAACATCAAAATTTACACTTTTATTCAGTCAAATACATGTGTATCTGATGGAAAATGCGATGTACATGTACAGCATGTACATGTATGTACATGCTATGTACATAGCATGTACATGTACATAGCATGTACATGTACAGCATGTACAGCATGTACATGTACAGCATGTACAGCATGTACATGTACTTACTACCCAAGTACAAAGAAGCTTTCCAAAATTGGCAAGGCTTTAGAGCCTGAAGATCAAATTTGACGATAATACTGTTACCTTCTCTTAAAAGGTTACGTCTGCCTCCTGTTAAACAGTTGCTGAATTGGTTTTTTGGTCTTTGCCAATTCAAGTTAAACGTGCATGTCCGTCAAAACAAATATATACTTACAATTACTTGTGAAAATCTTACGAATAATACGTAATTTGAAATGACACACTCATGAGATGAACTGATCACTGTACATGTTGATGTGATTAAATGGCAGGGAAATTTCAGAGTTATATCGTGGAAGTTATTTACGTAAATGGTAGCTGAGATAAATGTCCTAAAATCTTATTGCGTTGGAAATATCGGAGAAAGCTGACAAATTGTAGCCCGTTTGTATTGCATTTCATTTAAATGGATCAGAAACATGATGCAACAGTGAACGACGGAAATGTCGAGTGAGACAATCATAAGTAGATGCAAGAGAGATCTCTACTTGGGCAATTTTTGGAGTGATAGTTGGTATATAATTTCCATGGCAATACTTAGTAATTGAAACGGTTAATAAGGCATCGACTTTGTCAGAAAAGTAAACGGATTGTTGAAGTTCATAAGGATCCTTATCATGTTGGAGTTAACCAAGTCATTTGCGATTATTTGGACTTGCAAGTTTGGGGAGTTAGTGCGCACTAAGATCAACTGATCATGAGTTGATGTAGATAGAGGGCGACTCGCTGGGCTTGTCGGTGTCTGTGGGTGGGGAACACCATGCGTGCACGCCTCGGGGGGACTTGTATGCGTTGGGCTTTTTTTTTTGGCCACTTCAAGTTCAAAGCCAAGTTCAAGGCCAAGTTCAAGGCCAAGGTCAAATAAAAAAAAAATTGTGACCATACACAGATGTAAAAATAAATTCAAGTTGAAACAATTACTTTGGTACTTTTTTTCATGGTTTATTTCATTAACAGCGCCCTCATTATTTTTACAACTAAAGTCAAATTAAGAAGGGCGCCCTCTTATGTTTATCTTGTATCTTTTTGCCCAAGTCAAAATTTCAAACCAAGGGCGCCCTCTTGCGTTTGTTAAAATACTTGTATCGTGTTTGTTTAAATATTTTTCACCCAAGGCGCATTATTTTAGACGTTATTTTAAATTCAAACATGACACAAGAGGGCGCCCTTTTTCATTCTCAATTTGATTTGGTTTAAAAACTAATGAGGGCTCCCTTCCTTGCTGAAACTATGCACAAAAAGCCAACACAAGAGGGCACCCTTCGTTTAAATTGAACTTAGGAAAACTTTCAACATACAAATGCATGTTGATTTTTTTTCAAAAGTCAAAGGGTGCCCTCATGTATTTTTAAGCTCTTTAATCTAATGTTCAAACTGGGAAGGGAGCCCTCTAGTGTCGTACTCGACTTCAAATACATACCTGCTGTCTATTTTCAATAGAATTCAGAATAATTTGCAGCACATTATCTAAAGCTTTTTTGGCGCAAGTTTGCAGTTGGTTTTGATAAAGAGCTAAAATTATCCGTTTTGTTATTACAATTTCTGGCAAGCGCTAATCAAATGATCACATTTGAGTGTATAGTGGTCATGAACCATTTTTTCAATAGAGCAAACACCCATGCGTATATTTTAAGCTTGTTTACATCTTCATAAAAAAACTAAAACCAACAAAATATGAACGCATTCTTTTGTGCTGCAAACTTGTGAAAATAGACAGCAGGTATGTCAAGAATAAAAGAAACCATCACACCAAACCAACATACTTTTATTCAAGTCACAAAAAAACAATCTACAATGGCACATCATAAGTTATTTATTCATAAGCATTAAGTTGTCTTCTTAATGCAATATTTCTGAGAAAAGAAAAAATGGAATGTTTTAAAATGTTTTATCATCACGTCAAACCAGATCAGTAACAGCATTAATTCTGAAAGTTTTTTTACTGGAATATTCGAATTGATGGACAGAAGTTGTATAAATTCCGTTCTTTTCTGACAGTTTCCAAATATACTAGAAATAAATTTATAAATAAAGTTATCAGACCACATTCTCAAAGTGTGCGATAGACTGCCAAGAATTCATAAAATATTAGGTACATTTAATAAAAATAAGAAACAGTAAAGTTCCTCAACCCGTGCTCTTCAACTTGCATTGTAATCCAATGTTTTCTCTAAGTGAATTTTCAATGTGTCTCTTTTACTTCAATAGAAAAGTCTAGATTTTGGGGGGCATGTTTTAAAACCTCTGAAAATATGCATTTTCTGGTTTGCTTTTGCGCCAATGATACACACAAAAATACGGCCGAGTTATTATTGGGCCTGGTAAAAAGTTAATATATGAAAGCAAATACTCCATCACTAAATATATGGATTCGTTCAATGTCTTTTGCAAAAGAGAATAACATTTGAATTGCAAATAAATAGCAACATAAAAATCAACTTTTAATTTCTTGGGTTGAAACTTGAAAAGAGCACAGGAAGAGAGACTTATTACCTATAACTGTATGATGTGCCATTGTAGATCTAAGTGTACATAATTATAAGCTCATTAAATTTTGGTTAATACATAAATAAGGCTGGATATCAATTTCTAAGTTTTTCAAAAATTTTAACCAGGCACATGTCAACAAATTTGTCCCAACAAGTTTTACAAATTTTGGGGGAAAATTGGACAATTTTCTGACGTTTTAAGAAGTACTTGTGACGTGCACTACGTAGTACCCCTAACCGTCCTGAATCCTCAGGGAAATTTAGCTTGAATGGGTGGCAAAAAGAAGGCTTTGCTCCAAAATTTGGAGAAAAAAGAAAGAGTTGAATTGCAAACACTTTGAAAAAAGTGAGGCGAGTTGTCAGAGTTTGCTTTTCAGTGCATGAATATTCCTATGTCCATATCGAGACTAAGAAATTCAAAACAAACGATTCGTAATTGTGATCAAGTTGAAACATCAGGCCTCTTTAAGATCATTACACAACTAGGTTCTTATCGTTTGGGACACTGCTTGTAATTTGTGACATGTGCCTGGATAACTATAGGTCTCTCTCAAATGACGTCATTTCCTACAGACCAGCCACGTACATCGGCATTTTGAGTGCCAACTTGCATAACGCGCATCGGCTGTGTCATATTTTGAACACATTTCTAGCAACAAGTGCACGTTTTGAACTTTTTCAACACTGCGCAACACGTGCTTGATTACGTAAAATATGCAGTTGCAGTTCTCCTACAGAGATGGCTGTCTTTGAGAGAGACCTATTTCAAATTTAAATGGTCGCATCACGGACGACTTTGTGCAAATCCTCGGCAATGAAGATGGTTCCTCACAGAATGCAAAATGGCAAACGTGGAACAAAAGTTTTGGACTTCAGATCTACAAAGTTTTCTTGCACTGATGCACACAAGGACCTCTCATTGCCAAGGATTTGCTTTTGTCCAACGTCAGCCGCTCCAGGCCAGCCCGAGTCCTCCAAGCAGTCTTGAAAAGGAGTCTGCAGGAATGTCCACCAGCACCAGTGATTCAGTCATATGATCGGTCACCTTATGCAGGGGAGAAAAAACCAAGAGCCATCAAAATATCCTAACTGACGATTCCCTACAGTCCAAGAAACAATATTCGCATGCCGGAACGGCTGGTTTTAACACATTTCTCGTCAATTTTTAAAAGTTTATTTTCCCATTTATGATACATAAATTCTGCTGTCATTTGCACAGGTTTGTTTTCATTATAAACCATAGCAGCTGACCTATGAGTTGTATCTGTGGTCCAAGGAATGCACAAAGTTCCTTTTAAATTATTTCAAGTGCTTTGTACAGGCATGCAATTTTTCCTCGGATCTGCTGATTTCCTCGGTTTTTACTTCTCGTGAATGCCATTACAAATTGAAATACATGTATACTGTACAAAGTCTTGTGTGGTTTGGAGTTTCTTCCTTTTTGTATAAATTCCCAGTTGCATGCCTGTCTGTAACTGATGATCACACAAAAATATTTCATTAAAATGCTACTAGAATTTTGGTTATGTGCTTTGATATAAAGCTTGGAAACTGTTCAAATTGACCGGTCATTTTCAGCCATTAAGCGAGAGGTTAAAACCAGCCGTTTGAAGACGCCCTTATCAATGTGATCAAAATATCATGGTAACTAATGCAAGTAACAGTACACACATATTTCATTCAGGTTCTCTTACTTTGTAGCATGCATATGTTGCTTTTTCCATGAAATAAAAAAAAACAATTAACTGCCTAAACCCTTTGGAACCCTTACCAGCTCAATATCTTAATTCAGTCATAATGTAGGGTATATAAATAAAATCTTCATATGGACAAATCTGGCGGCAGCCATTTTCTGTGGTGGCGCAAGGCTCACCCAATGCATACCACCTCGTCTTTAAGAACGCGTGCAGCTTCTAATTCTGGTCACCGGATTCCGCTATGAACCCTGGCTATTCATCAAGATTGTTGTGCAGTGTGCCAGTCATGATCTCAGGAAGAGTTTTATCAATGAGAAGGATGGGGAGAGAAGAAGATGGGGACCCCTGGCTAATCCAAATGATGTCAGTATCCTGACCATGAATCATACCTTACTAAACCGACCAGATTCAGAACTTGGAATTTTTACAAATTAAGTGTGATATTATTAAAGACTCCATGTTTTTGCTACAGTAATGAAATCAAGTGGATTGATCAGTGGCTTGTGAAGACTGACTGCTGTAACTTTGTAATTTACTTGACATTATGACATCAGTAGACCTAGTTGAAGGCTGCATCAAGACTTTATCTGCCCCAAAACAAAACAATTTTGTTTTACAATTCATCATGACCGTGCAATAAGGTTGTATCTCCTAAAATGGAATGTGATGCCATGTATACGAAACGCAAGTTTTTAATATCAAAAGGTCGTATCTCGCTTAAAATAACCCGTATGTACACACCAAGTCAATGGATGTCGCGATACGCGAGATATGACCTTGTTGCACAGAGTGTATTCGCGCGAGATACGACTTTGTTGCAGAATCGAGTTACAACCTTGTTGCACTGACACAACAAATTTTAGAACCAATAGTTTACCCTGTGATATATGCCCAGTGATCAATTAGTGTTTTTTTTACTCAAAGTCCAGACATCATTTGAAGAGTTCATTTTCAAAACGCGATAAAAGCCATTTTGTTACCGTTTAGAATTCAGCTCTCTCCTGGCTGCCCAAAATCAGTTTTAACAGATTTTACATAGGCTCAGCACAATTCAAGAAGACAGTAAAGCAAAAAAGGAATTTAGGAAACAGCTGTTATATTATTTACATTCTTAAAACTGTGATAAACTTGCACATTGTTTTCACTTTCATTTGTTCAAATGGATATGTATCGCCTTTTGGAAATGAACTCTTCATTTACTTGTAATGCAAACACCTTGAAAACCTAGAGAAAAATTCTGAGCCTAATTTCATAGCGCTGCTTAACAGCTGACTTTGTGTTAACAGAGCCTCCATCTATTTCATAGAGAACGTAAGCAGTAAGCACAGCAAAAGCATACTTTACCATAGAAGAAAAAGTTGCTTAAATAAGTGACATAACAGACATAACAATGGTACATTCATGGCATGAAATAGTGCTAAAACAGCAGCATGAATTTTTTGCTATAGCGAGCACAACTTTTCTGCTAACAGTTAAGCAGCGCTATAAAATTTGGCCCTGGTCTTATTTTCAATATTCAGAAATTCCATAAGAATTCAGTTAAACCAATGAAAGTTTCTCCCAACCTTCTGTACATCACACCATCCAATGTAAATTGTGAGGTCTGCTATGAACTTCAAATGATATAAAAGAAAGAACCATTTTTGATTTCATAAAATCAGATGGTATTCAACCTTCTGTTTTATACAACACTTGTTGAAGGGTTTAAATTTTCTTGCCTACACCCTACTCAATTGCCAACAATTTTTCAGGTATGCAATATGCTGATCGATCTTGCAGACCAAGATAGTCACAATCTTGTTATTTATGTTAATAACTCTCGATATTTTTTTTGAAGAAATACTTTCAGAAATACTTATTGCGAACCCAGTTTTCAAAGATAACACGGTTCTCTCATTGACATCATATCCTGATAGTATTTTACAAAACTTAGTTGTCTGATCAGTTGAATGGCATAATACTGGAAATGGCTACCGTTTCATAGCGCTTCATATACAATATTGACTCATGCGGTATGGGGCTACGCCATCTCCGTTACCAAGGCAATGGTAATTACCGAGGCAACACCCTGAAGTGGGGCTATTCCAAGGATCAGGCATGCCTCCTACTATGACAACAACTAGAAGGGCCAAGAAGTATCTTCCTCCACCATGAATCACGAGGAACAACAGATTTGATGCAACACAAAAACATCAAAATAATGACACTTGGTAATATCTTCTCTGAATTTGAATAATTCAGCAGAAGTGTGAATTCTATCATTTAGGTTGGACTTCAGTGGCAACCTAAACCTCCTGAAAATATGTTGATACTTATGTACAAGTATTAACCTTCTTGTTTAATTAAACTTACATGTGGGCAAAGAGAAGTTAAGGCAACATGTGATTGTGAAAATGCAGGAAATGGTTGTTTTCAGTTCTATAGCCTACTTTATCTCAAACCATTTGCATCTTCCAAACTTCTTTTGAGCATTTCAGTGACAATTCTGACCCACACACCTGTGCCAACTGGGCTCCCACACTGCAGGATGGGGTTACGCCATCTCCGTTACCATGGCAATAGCTACCTAGGCAACACCCTGAAGTGGGGCTATTCCGAGGATCAAGCGCCACCTACCATGAAAACAACCCAGAGAGACCAAAAAAGCATCTTTCTCTCCAATGAATCACGAGGTATACAACAGGTAACATGGACCTGCTATGGAAATAACAATTTTTGTTTCCAGATCAAAATGGATCAAATTTCCTGATCAAATGACAGTTGTTGTGATGATCAATGGAGTAAAGTAACTCATCAGTTATTGACGTCCAGTTTTAGTTTTACTTTCTACTTTTGTTACAAGTGATGGCATTTTCCAGAGATAGACTTACTCCATTACAGATCAGTTTGGACTATCATGCTGATTTAAACAATCACAACCAATCACTGTAGCATCAGAGATAAATTTTAACTGTAAGCCGCCAATTGTCTTATATTCATCTTCCACCATGAAAAATAATGACTCAAAAAACAATCAGTTTCTCTCCAAGTGAATGCTTGTGGTGAACGTTCCAATTGGTGACATCCGGCTGTTGCAATTTCACTGATTAACTGTGAGATGCTTTTCCAATTTCCTTCATTGATCGATATATTTCCAGTGATCATCCTTGACAATCAATTATCACAAGTGGAGCACTTTCTCCACATAAACTTCTTATCACAGGATCAGTGTCTCTTTCAAGACAGAGCGAGTTAATTATATTTCTCCATACATGTATGCGGGATGGATAACCTCAATCTACAATTCTTTCTCCAGCAATGAACTTTCACTACAAACGCCCTACACTCTCAACGTTACTTTTCATTATAGGAAGTGGTTTTAGTTTTCAATCACCACAGATTATCAACCATTTTTCGTAGTATAGACCATGTGCCCTGTGATGTCATATCAATTGACCTATCGCAGTAGAATCGCGTCAACACAGCTTGTGTAATATTGTCCAATTACAAATGGACGCAGAACACGCAAAATCTGTGACAAACAAAACTTAGTGTACAAAAAACTCCATAGGGTTGTCTAAGGGGTGTGGCTTATTCGCAAACGGCGATAGGTCAATGGCATGTTATTTTGCTCATTCTGTGTAAAGTTGTTCTTTCAGCGAAAATCAATCAAGTGACTATTTTCAACAGTTAACAGCTTCCAGCCTACATACAACAGAATTGACTGGCTGTGACTGTTTATGTAACTTGACACAGCTATGCTTTGACTGTAGGTGATTGACAAGCCAGCTGTGCCTACTTCTTGCTTGCTTTTGTCTGTTGACTGAATTTGACTAGTCACAGTGCTTGATCTGATCGACTGTTGGGTGACTATAAGCCTGAGTAAAAGGCATGGCAGGGGAACAGTCTGTGACTGTTCAAACAGCAAGAGGGTTAAACAGTTTATGTCATCACTATAAGACCAATCACATTTCAAGAGAAGAGAACAGTTTGCTGAAAGTTGGAATCACATGTCCACACATCCGTTTGTAAACAAATGGCACATGCTCCGTAACTTATGAGAAATGTTAAGATACACCAGTGTAAAGTAACTAATTTACAAGGGAAGTTTGGTTCTGAGGAAACCCATTCCCTTCCAGTGTTTTGCTCAGCATATGCTCTGTCATCTTCTATGTAGTGATCGATACATTACACAGTCATAGCCATTTTACCATAAACAAAAGAAATCAATACTGTTTAAATTAGGCTTTGTCAAAGGAAAACATATTCACAATTTTCCTCACCAAATAATAAAACAATCTTTCAGCATAAACATTCTTTGTCAGTCAAAATATTTCTACCTTTTTGAGGCACTGAGATTGCTTTTTCACGTATTTGCCTGTGATCTTATTTTATGACAAATTATATTGATAAGTGATCACAATTCCCCAAGGAAGTGTTTTAACAAAGTGGATTGTTTACATTATTGATAAAATTATGGGTTTTTTTTATTATTGACCTCTCAACAAGTTTTTGTCTTATCCAGTAATCTTATGTATTTTCAAACTTATATTTTAGAGTCGCTCCCCAAATATTATGTATCTCTGGTAACCTAAAATAATGCCCCCAAAATTTTGGATGTAAATAGGGTTGGCTTTTTGCAAAAAATATTTCCTCCATTTTTATATTTTGTAGGAGTGGAAAAAAATACCTTTTCAATGATACAATGCAACTACAATATAACCTTCAAAAGCCAAAATTTCTGCTCTTTGATTTGAAATTGCCACAGTGTCTCTGCAGCTCAAATCATCAATTATTTGAATTGCTTAAAATACTGCAAAATTTTCTCAAATAGCTAAGAGGGTTCACCAACTAATTGTGAACCATTTATTTGCTTTAAAATTCACGACTGGTACGTGTACATCAGAAAAACTGTGGCAAGAACTAGTTCACATTAATTTAAACTGACTACATGGGAGCATGATATCACTGAGGGTTCTCAGTGAAAACTTAATCCATTTAAACAAATTAAAAATCATCCCTAATAACAGGGCAATCTGTTCAAGAGTTATTTTAACGTGTTGGAAGGTGGGCTCACAAAAGGTTTAATACTGTACAAAAACAAAACACCCAAAATTGAGCTAGGGTTTTGGTCTTCAATTTTTTTTTTTTATAAAAAGTGATTGCCCATACACCAACAAATTTTGCTAATTTCTAAAGACCAACGATGTCTGGAATTTGATTTGTTTTCCTTTATGTCTCCCATAGATCAAACTCATGCATGAACAGAATTTGTAAAAAAAAAAAATTATGAATAGAAATAGATCTAGTCCCCTTTTCATTCTCATTTCCTAGCAAAGAAAGAACAAACATTCATAATTGTTCCAGATGTTTTGATCTGTGAATGTTCTCGGTGACTAAACAAAGTAAGGTAATGAATCGTGGAATGTTCAGTGAAAAAAAAAATCAGTTTTAAGAAAATACAAAATTCCACTCAATTATAGAGGAATGACAAAAATGACAACTTACAGTATTCATGCATGTGTACGAAGCTATGAAAGGAAACCAACCTTTCTCATTCCCTGTATCTATAATTTCAACCTGGCACTTAACTTATTATACATTTTGATGCAAGCCGACAAACTAAATCACAAATTTTCAATTAAAATTTTATTTGTTACATCAGACAGTTTTCAAAGCTTTAATCCACATATCCACAATTTAATCCACTTATTTGTGATCCGATGGATGGTATAAAAGTCATGCATATGATTGACCAATACTACACAATATAAAATTAGTTTGTGTATAAGTCCTTTTGCCTTTAACTTTGTAAACACACTTTTTAATGAGAAGTACTAACATGATTCATAAAATCAAAATCTTTTCTGGATTGCCAGTCAAGTATTCTTCACAGAAAGAGACTAAAATGAAGCCCCCAATCCACTTTATAATCCAATGGAAACTTGCACCTTTAAGGGGGGTGCGGGGGTGGTTTTTCCCTGGGGTGGGGTGGGATGAGGTGGGGGAGGGGCAATACAAGTTGAGAAAGGACGTTTGAAAGTACAGCTATTGCAAAGTCTGCAGTTCGGTTTGGCTCCAGCTTTGGCCAGAGACGGCAAAAGAAAATACGACTGATGCAGGACAGCCAAGGAAAAGGAAGATTAATGTGGCATATAATTATTGAAGCTGGGGAAAACTGAAAGACGTGATATTAACTGGTTGTCTCAGCCTAGGATATTGCAAGAGTTTTGCTTTGGAAGAAAATTTGAAGAAAAAAAAATATTTGAAAAATTGAAATGCAGCCAAGTGTAATATCAGGGATGAAATATAGGAAGGGAAAGGAAATCTATAAAAAGTTGTAAGGTTTCATTGGTCACTAAGACAAGAGGATAAGACTGGCAATTGCCCATCAAGGTATATGTATATGAGGAAATGCAAGTTGCTTAATTAAGTGGACTTCAGAGTAGCTGAATAAACAGGGGCTAAATCTTCACTGTAGCTACTTTGATATATTTTAAAGTTTGAAATGCCACGTTGGGAAAGTGTGAAGCAGAAGTAAGGAAAAGGCAAAGGCCTTATTCAAAGAGTGATTACCAGGCCAGTAATGGTGGAAAATGTTGCCAGATCAAAGGGAAAATTCCTTGGTTTGTGGGTTTTCTATTCCCACTTGAAAGTAACAGAAAGTGAAAGTAACTGTCAGAAAGTTTGATAGGAGAGGAGTTCCATGGAACTGGGTTTCCAAAGAGAAGGGTAGAGGTGACTCTCAGGGGTGGCTGCTTGAGTGGCTACCCAAGTAGCTGACATGAATACGACTGCCTTATTGTGACCGACCATCAATATTCATCAATAAGATTAAGTTTGCACATGACCGATGAACTACGCGATCGCCCCTATAGATATGCTTGCGGGAGATCTCAGATCAACGGTAATGCCCCATTTATTTCAGCTGGTGAATTTAAATTTGAAGAATGGTTGCTGTAAAAAATGAAACAATCATTTCCACGCCACAAAATTGGGAAGTACTAATGGCAATTTTGATTTTGTGTGTTCAAAGAAACCTATATGTACACATTTTTTTGCTGAAAAAAATGGCAAGTAATTTTATAATTTTGTGATGTTCAAAATAAGGACATAACAACCAAGGTTTAACTTTCCAAGGTGATGCCACAGTCTTTAATCTTTCCAGTATATTTGTGATCCACGCGAAAAGAGAGAACTCCCTCAATATCTAGACAGAGATAAGACCTGAAAGAATGAGACCTGCCTTTATCTTTAATTTAAACTACAGTATTTCGTTTAAAATGTACATGTTGTCTTCCCCGAGAGTTCACCAAAACAAAATTTACCCTTCTTTACAAAGAACTTTTGAACACCTTTAGTGAAATGTTTGATGATACAAAGGAGATTTTTGATGTAAGATTTGAGAACAAATGTATAGTAAGATAAGAAATCACTACAGAATGGCAATGTTGAAAACCATGACAGATGAAGAATAAGTAAGACTCACACAGACTAAAGATACAAGCTAGAGTAGCTAGCTCTATAAAGTGTGGGCCAAACTTGGAGAAAGGAAATGATTTTTTTTCAGGAAATTAAAAGGTAATTTACGGCTGCAAAATAATGAGAAGCAGGCCTATTGTTATCGAATGCAAGGGAGCACCGAGGAATGGTCAGCAATATATTGAAATGGAATCATAAACAGGTCCTGAACCAGACTGGCACCTACACATTGCTTGTATAACAGCAGAGCTTACTCTTAAATTGATCAGCATTTTGATCATTCAGTTTGCTTGCAAATAAACACCTTATCAAGGTGGCAGACACGAGAAAACATGCATTTCCCAAACAGTATAAAATGTCCCTCTCAGAGATTGACAAATGTTCATGGAAAATGTGAAATATTTCCACCCAAGCATCTTTTTTTATCATTTGTTGACTGTTTCAATGACAGCAACAATGTTTCTAGAGGGGGCAATGCACATTATTTCCAAAAATCCTTGTACTTTATCATTTTTTTCAAGAGTTGGCCGGCGAGGGGGGGGGGGCATTTGCCCACCCACCATACCCCCATTGACACCCCTGCGGATGCCCATGTTGTTAAATGTGCATTAGACTATAAAAGCAATATGACTTCGCACCTTGTGTTCTTTTTTCCCTTCTTTTTTCTCCCTTTTCGGCCCCATCCTAGCAATGCCCAAGTTCAAAACACTTGTAATTTCCACTGGCGCAACACAAGATAAATTTTAGATTCTGTAATCTGTTAACTATCTCATCAAAGGACTTACATTTTTTGTGGCCAGCTTTAATATAGGGCAAAGTAAAACACATTTGAAAAAAATCTTCAGAACATTGCATCCAAAAGAATGAGGAATGTGTGTACTATTACCATGTAAAAGACAAAGTACAGTGTAAGCAGCTAAACAGTACAATAATTGGAAATAGTTGCTCTCCCCCGTGCTGTTTTCGAGTTGAAACCCCAAAAATAAATTTTTGTTTTAATATGCTATTTTTCTAGCAATACACAAGTTGATCACTTTTGAATGAGGCGTCGAAAGAAAAATCAATTTAGTTATAGAATATTTACTGTGCAAATTTGGACTTATTTGCAGCCTGACAATAACTCAGGCAAATCTTGTGAGAAAATTTTATGAAGTTGTTGTTGTTGATGTGATACAATGTCACGTTTGGCAACCTAGTGCCATTTGTGCCATAAGCAATACTGCTGCGTTACAGATCAGAAGGCTATTCAGCAAAAATATGTCATAACACAGCGTACAAAAGGACAAGCAAAGACACTTTGCTTTCCAATTAAAATAAAACACAAATTAAAAAATTTGTTGGGAGAAGAAAAATTGAGTATGTTATTTACGAGCAGGGGCAGAGCAACTACATGTATATGTGGTTCTAAGTATCAAATTATTTTTCACTTTGAAATAAACCTTAAAACCTGCTCCATCAAAAACAGGTGCACCAATACTAAGTGAAAGTGAGAACAAATGTTGCATCTCAATGCCACATTTTCTCCTGCTTTCTATCATTAACCATAATAAAAGCAATAATTAATTGCAAATTCAGTTTATTCTCATTTCTGTTCAACAGTCCACTATTCATTGATCAATTCTTTATAATTAGACAGTGACCATTTTTGAGGAGTTCTTTTCTCATTTGTCTTCTTTCAATCGCTCACTGTTAGGCATGCTGTCAAAACACCGAAGTCTGATGCTCAAAGTTATATTCAAGTCATCTTCTTCACACCTGGGTCTTATGCCAGTATTTGTTCTATGAAATTTGAATTTCAAGTTTGAAATTTGAAGTTGTTTGGCACACCATGTGAAAAGTTTTGATGGAGCAGGTTGCATTCTTGGTTTGACTCACCCTTAAGGTCATCCCAGTCACCATGGTGATGGTCATCCAGCCTGCCTTGCCTAGTCTAGGCACTGGTCTGGTCCAATCCAGCCTCAGCATGGTTTGCAAAGGTCAGTCTCTTCTGAGGACTGATTTAAAAAAAAACATCAGTCAAACCTTAATTCGCTCATTTCACTTTTGATTCCACGCATTCAATGAAAATATTTAAAATATTAGTAGTGTACAATAAAAATTAAAAATTCAAAAACACCGTACAAAGTCTTGGAAAGATTGGAGTTTCCTCTTTTTGTGATACTTTTGACTTGCATGCCCGAATCTCATGAGCGGATCACTTTGGGATCCCAGAAATGTTTTAAAAGAAAACTATTCAGTGCTGATAAATTAAATGTGGTCAACAATTGTTGACGCCGTCCAATCTGGAAATGGTATCATTCAATTCATTTTCACCAGTTGTTCCGTGTACCAGTTGGTCCGCATAAGAGTTAGCCACATACGAGCTGGCATGTGTAGGACTTGACCTGTTTCCATAGCGTACGGCCAGAGGCATTCAGGCTTTTAATATAAGTATTTGGCTTCACTCACCCACAGTAGCTATGGCGTTGTTCACATGAAGTGCTGAAGTTTTTACTTGCAGGTTGTATGCACCTCCTGCACTGCTCATGGTCAAGAAGTCCCTCAATGTTACATCCAGTCTTGTGGATTCTACCGAGTACCAGAGTAGAAGTACTGCAGACTGCCACTGTAGAAGTTCAAGCAGCGGCCTCCCAAATCGTCCAAAAGGCTACACTCCAACAATGTACATCAACATCATCTTTGTAATTCAAGTTCAAGATGGAGTGAACTGCAAGCAACTCCTGGAGCAACTAAGTTTGAGTTTTGAAAGTAAAGACCAGTCAAACATCAGTTCACTGATTTCCCGTGCATGTAAAACTTGAGCGCAGTGAACGTGGTGGTCATGGATGTCACTGTCAATCATGCCGGTTGATTTTCAAAAGAGCCGTCTCATTCTCACCAGACTCGTCAACTCCAAGCACTACGCTGGTCCTGGCCCACGATGAATTGCCGAATCGTTGAAGAGTGATGACAAGAAGTGATTGTAGTCCGAGTGTCAAACTGCAATTTGGAGGTGGACTGTGCATAAAGGTCCACACAAAATGTTTTTGCATTTCCTTGTCATTTGGGCCTTGTAAATCAATATTCGGCCAGTTGCCAGATGGACACTTTGAAGCATGTTTTTTTTTGTTTGGCAAAATTAATGGCAAAATAGACATAACTTGGGAATAAGGCATGCAAAACTAGAGTATGCAAATGAAGTGAAATTTTCAGATAAAAGTCAATAACAAAATGTCCTTACATTTTGTGTGTAAAATGCTGCAGGCTAAACATTTTTCAAGTGTATTTCAAATTGGGAACTTTCTTTTGTTTCAATACGAAATTGCATAACGCAACATGAAATTATCACCATCAATCTCCATTATAAAGACTTAATGGAGATTAAAGTTGATAACCGTTCAAAAAGATCCAGTGTACTAGCATCCCCTATTTGACAGCTTTAGTTCAGGAAATTTCCCTTTAACAGGAAAGCTTCCCTTAACAGGATCACCACCGGGAAGGTAGCTGTCATGATCCCATGTTAGTGAAAGCAGAAGGGGGGGGAGCAGAAATTAGATGGTGCGTGCTAGAGATGGTAGGGGTGGAAAAGAGAGGAAAGAGGAAGCAGGGAGGAGGAAAGGTAGATATGAAACGGTGCGTGCGAGTGACAGAAGAAAAGATGAGGGGTGGAGAGGAAGGAAAGAGGATGGAGGAAAGGCAGATGTGGAACAGTGCGTGCGTGCGTGCGTGCGTGCGTGCAGTGAGTGAGTGACGATAGACACGGGATGAGGGCGGGGATGGAGGGTAGGGAAGGTAGGGGGGGTGGGTAGAGGCGGGAGGAAGGGTGGAGGTATGGGGAGGGAATGTACGGTGATGAGCCAGTCAGGAATCACCAAGGGGAGTAAGGGAAAGTCTTGTCTCAACTATGGCTGCAGTGCAATGACTAGCTCCAGCGTTTCATAGGTGAGATGCAACTCAGCAAATGGAAGGTCCATATACTCAAGCAAATGGTTACTACTAAAAAGTCACTGTAAGCTTACCAATAGTCAGTTGGCTTGTGGTACCAAATCAAGAGTACACAATTGAATACCCATTTTCCCCTACCTTTTTGTGGGTGGGGTTGTCTATTCGAAATGGCAAAGTAAATACAAAAAACATGATTCATTTATCAAGACTTCTCGCAGTGAGGTAAATGAAAAATGAAGTTCAAATTACATGAAAACCACAACATTTGAGCAAACTCCCTCTTTTGTGGGCGGGACACTAGTCATAATTAGGGGGTTGGGGAAATTACAAATTACAGAATAATACACTATTAATCCCAACCCGTGTCATTTTTCCCCCTGTTTTTGGCCCTAGCAGTAAGCAGTAAATATAGAAGCACATTTCAAGTGCATTTTTTTATTTAAAAAAAATGGTACAATTTTGATTTTAATTTTTTTTTAGATATAAACGAGCAATTTTGTCCTTGAAATCCATTTTGTATCAAATAACATGTATTTGAGGAAAAGTGTTTAAGATAATATATTTTTTTCTTCAAATAACTCAATTTCAAATAGCTTTTACAAATTTTAACTTACTGCGTACTTCAAAGTTGAAAACCGTGTATTTTCGTCTTCATATTTTCTTGCATTTTAATTTGGGAAAGGCATTTTATCAATTGAAAAGTTTAGTTTGTAAAAGCTGTTGCAATGATGCTTTGGGGCATTTTTTCCGAGGGCTAATGTGAGCACGAAAGTCTTACAGTGACGTTGTGGGTGTGGGGTGACAGTTCACACAAATGGAATTTCTTGTTTGTTTATGTTTATGTATATTAAATCACACAGTAATCAATCAAAAAGGGAAACTATTAATTTCTAGGTCTTTCAAAAATGACTGCCATGACCATTGCTGAGATACTATTTTATGATTTTTCTTTCCTCTTCAAATTACAATACATGTTTTGTCCGTGATGCTGTAAGGTAAAAGTATCAAAGTTCTTTCAATCAGAATGTTGAGGACAAAACTCCAATTCACAAGAATCAAATGAGAGAATGGTGGTCATTTACAAAGGAGGTTCTTAATGGTGCACACAATGTGATGAGTTTTGATGGAGCAGGTTATATTCTTGGTTTGACTCACCCTTAAGGTCATCCCAGTCACCATGGTGATGGTCATCCAGCCTGTCCTGCCTAGTCTAAGCACTGGTCTGGTCCAATCCAGCCTCAACATGGTTTGCAAAGGTCAGTCTCATCTGAGGACAATAAAACATATTAAAAATAACAATTTCCGTACAAGGTCGGGAGAACCTTTGAAAATAATTCTTAAAATTTCCTCTGAAATGCCTGTGCGGGTAATCTGGTAAGCCTTGGTCTTAAAAACCTAATCTTAGGGACAATTTTGAGGGTTTTTTTCTCACCAAAAAAAGGCACAGGTTAAATTTTTGGAAAGAATGTTGCAACTTGACGCTTCTTCAGTGGTTGTGTACAAAGTCTATGGAGAGTCTAGTATTTACTAACTGTCACGTCTAGACCAGAAAAAGTCTAGAAATTTAGTTTGGGCTTGCTGACCTACCCAAGTAAAGGAAGCAAAATAATTTATCACAGACACAAGATTTAAATATGAAGGAAATCAAGAAAATAATTGAATATATGCAAGACAATAATCAACCAATGAACACGGATTTTGAAATGTTTCTGGAAAGATTCCCGTATCTGGCCATCACTCGTCACCCTGTGCACAAACCCTATGGGACTGGTCTGAAATGTGGGAAGGTAGGTCACATAGGTCACAAAAAGTGGCCGAAAAAGCAGCAGCAGCAGGATAGTCCATTCTTTTCTAGCTGGAGTTACCCAACCCTGAGTTTTATCATTGGGTTGTCTATTAGGGCTGGAGCGAATTTTTCTCGTAACTTGTAGTATAGGCAAAAAATTTTGGAAAATGTTCAATTTTGTCCCCGTTACACACTAATTGCAACTGCAACTCACCCCAAACTTGCCTGGAATAACCATTACACAGGTCCTTGAAGTAAAAAACGATCCACGATGAAGATTCAGCCTACAATTGCAGTGAAAACAGGAGGAATAACCGCTAACTTGACAACCTTGCTGGATTGGCCAGGACCGCAATTGGTTTGTGCACAAAAAAAATTGCGTACAATGAATGGCGGTCGATTAACAGGCACAGAGAGCGATCGCTGTCAACTACTCGGTTTTGCCGGCTGCGCTGGCTGTTGGCGCATGACGTCACGCGGAAGCGTAACACCCGATGACTGTTTCATGCACTATTGGTTGCGGTTCCAGTACCAAAGCTGTGATGCGAGTGGTAAACCTTATATTAGTGCATGAAACAGTCATCGGGTGTTACGCTTCCGCGTGACGTCATGCGCCAACAGCCAGCGCAGCCGGCAAAACCAAGTAGTTGACAGCGATCACTCTCTGTGCCTGTTAATCGACCGCCATTCATTGTACACAATTTTTTTTGTGCACAAACCAATTGCGGTCCTGGCCAATCCAGCAAGGTTGTCAAGTTAGCGGTTATTCCTCCTGTTTTCACTGCAATTGTAGGCTGAATCTTCATCGTGGATCGTTTTTTACTTCAAGGACCTGTGTAATGGTTATTCCAGGCAAGTTTAGGGTGAGTTGCAGTTGCAATTAGTGTGTAACGGGGACAAAATTGAACATTTTCCAAAAATTTTTGCCTATACTACAAGTTACGAGAAAAATTCGCTCCAGCCCTAATAGACAACCCAATGATAAAACTCAGGGCTGGGTAACTCCAGCTAATTCTTTTCATGAACTTTAAAGTCATAAAATTAAAAAAAAAATGTGCATAAAGTTTTTTGGAAACTATTTTGTCGAAACTGTGAGAACAAGTATTATTTCAAAGTTCCACCAGATTTAACGTTAGATGTTATTGTGGGCTTTACATTGTTGATATACGTGTTATTAGGGTGTTTGTTGAGGGGGGATGGAAGTCCACCTCCCCCCTTACTCAAGGCCCCGCCCACAAAGTTACCAAAGTACTAATGCCCACGACTGTGTAATTTTTAGGCCTTTATTTTTTTGACAAATTGATTTCAAAATGGTTCGTGTCTGCACTCACTTTATAGTTGGTAGACCTTTGTTTCGCACATTCATCTCATTGACGACCAATAACGGTTATTTTAGGCATAAAATGTGTCTCTAAAATGTGAGCGCCAAACGTCGCATCCTCCGGCATCGTCGAAATTCAAACATGTCCGCCACTCCGCCTTCTGATTTCGCTGGTACCAAGTTTTTAGCACGTAGATGCTATCAGGTTTACGTGCACCGGCGAAACACGTGCGGTTGCGAAATTCAAAAGAATTCGGCGCGTGCGCATCTTTTCTTGTAGACTTGTTTAAAGCCTTTGGGTATACTAATGTACTTTGCAGGCAACACCTCACATACAGGATTAAAAGTGATAGACATAGTACACAGACTTGAGGTAAGGTTAAAAAGCACACAATTATTCAAATTTATTGTATAGAATTGTGGGGGCACTATTGTAATGTTAATTTGCAAGGTGTACAATAGAATGAGCACTTGCACAAAATGCAATATTATCTTTTTAAAATTATTTAAGTAAACATAGCTTTTTTTCATTGCAAAGAACCCATTGTGACCCCAGCCTACCTTCCAATTGGACCTTCGTTATAATCATGGCTGCATATATACCATAGACATAATGATTTTTGTAATTAATGTTTTGCCACCAAAAATTAAAAATAAAGAAACAAAATATAAATACCAAATGAAAGAAAAGACGAAGGGCAACTGTGTGTTTTAAGAATTTCCACAAAGGAAAGTTTTATTTCCCACAAAAGGCAAATTCTGTGCCATCACAGATAAAAATCCACTACAATAACCATCTGCTAATATTCCACATGGGGGTAAACTTTTATTTTAAAGACAATTTATGAAAAAAAAATGTGCACAGTTTAGAACATGCAAAGAAACAGATACTGATCTTTCTTAGAAATGAAAGCATTGACGAGTTGAACTATACAATTGCAATCATGATCGAAAAAACGAGAATCCTGAGAACTTCTGTCTTTTACCAAACCATCTTTAAAACTAAAAAACGAAAAGATGTTAATGTTTCAAATTACATCCATCCATGAGGTTTCTTTTATTATTTAGCTATAGTCGCAACATGTATCTACTGTGACATAATTATATGACCAGTGATCAGACCTGACAATTATTGTTTCATTTATTTGCACAGATATTTCCATATTTGCTAAACAACAACAGACTGAAAAGCTCCCTTTGGACCAACAGAAACAATACATTTTGGGGCAACTTTAGATAAAACACTATGGAAGTGACAGAGTTTGGTGAAATATAAACGTAAATGTAAAATAGCAGAGTTTTATTATGTCATTATGCCAACTCTTTATACAAGTGCCGAGAAGAAAAGCAGATGACAATGATGCGTGTCAAGTGCTACCATTACTGGGGAAGATATCTTGTGCAATTTTAGATTAAATACTAAGGAAGTGACACAGTTTGGTGAAAATTTTTACAGTGTCCCATCAACAATGCTTTACTACTCTGGGAAATCATTTTTAGCAAAGATGGTGGGATCAGTAAAATGACTGAGGAATAAATATGTCTATAATAGTAATGAGCTTTACTTTAAATTGTGAAACCCTTACAAAATATTCTTCACAGAATATTGCGTACAGTAGTTGCATCATGTTATACTCTTCTTGCCCCAAACAATTCAATTTTCCTAAGAGTAAGGCAAGCTGCTATGGACATCAACCAGACACCGTTCGTAACTTCCGTAAAGCAAATGTCATCTTGTTAAACAAGGTAACACAGTTCCAAGTTGACACTAAGGAAAATTTTTAATTCTAAGATAAAACGCTACTCATGAGGATGATATCTGTCTGCACCGTTCCTTGATGACTGATATCAGGTCAGCTCGTGGTATCTGCTCCTGGAAAACAGAAGAAAACAATATCAAATTAGCAGGGTAAACCTTTCAGGAATTACAAACAGCTAAAGAAAGCATAGGTAATGAACACTATATTTTATTTCAGAAATACCCTTACTTTTATTTTTTATTTTCTTTGGTGTGGTAGTCAGATATATGTGATACAATCCAACCATGTGACAAAAACTAAATGACAGTCACGTGTATGAAACTCCAATCTTTGAAGAGACTACAGTAGTCCACGTCAATAGGTTTTACAATTGTCAGTGTTCAAACATTCATACACAGGGAACCTTCCTGAGTCTCTGCACGTTCAGACCACACCGATATTAACACCAGCATATCGATCGCATTGTTCCTTATTGTTCATCTTTTTCCAGACATGAAATTTCCAATGGAACACCAATGCTGAATTGTGGTACTGAAGAAGTCCAAGTTTTCACATTCCAAGTCTCGAATCTGTCAGTAAAACCCGTCTGTGATAATGGGTGAAATGTGTGGAATGCCACACCCAAGTACACACTTGCCTTAAATGCTTCACACCATTTTCACCATGTACTTGTGTGCATGACCAATATCAGTGGAACATCTCTCATGAATAACTGCATGAAGCCTACCCCTAATACCAAACTAAACCCCTTCTGCGCCCCTGCCCCATGGCCTGTACCTCTGCTCTTGTTTCCATGTTTCTGAGTGTCACCGTTCCGTTCTTCAGCTCAGCCTCCCCTATGACAGCTATGAGAGGGATGCCGGTCGTCTCCGCCAGCTGAAACTGGTTCAGCATCTTGGGATTCTTCTTGTAGATCATCTCTGCCTGTGTGGAGAGAGAGAAAGGAAAAATCTAGACATTTAACTCTTTCAGTCCTGTAATCGGGATGTGGACTCTGTTTTCAAGTACCTCCCAGAACGGTTTACAGAGAGAGTAAGATGGGCTCTTGAATACATTGCTGCCATACGCCTGATGCTCACGCAAAGTTGTTATGGGTTTGTGCCAGTGTTGTAGTACTCCTACTCGGTACTCATACTCGAGTACTTTTTTGGAGTACTCGTACTCGTACTTGAATGTCAAAGTACTCTTACTTGAAATGACAGTACACGTACTCGCGCAGCAAAGTACTCGTACTCGACATGTCGAAATTGTACTCACTCATCAAAGTACTCATACTCGAATAGCAGTACTTGGGGGGGGGGGGGGGAAGAATAGCTTGACTTTATATACCACAGCCTTATTTTATCGATACTTTCAGTTTGAAATGGTTGATTGGCTTGTAGAGAAATCAAAGTTTCCTGATTTTCCTCTGTGCACGTCCGGATAAACACATTTAACAGCTAGCCATGAGTGGGTCTGTATATCGGTCTGACTGGGCCTGGGCCAATTACGCACAATGAACCATTTGCAGTATGGCGGGAAATACAAGTAATCGTACTCGTACTCGTACTCGGAAGTACAAGTACTCTTACTCGTAGACCTGTTCTTGTACTCGGAGGTACAAGTACTCGTACTCGGCAACCTAAGTACTCTGCAGTGCTCAGTACTCGGAAAAAAGTACTTGACTACAACACTGGTTTGAGCATGATCAGATGATAATTAGTTGAGTGTATTTAGTGCCACACAAGCTCGAACCTGTGATCCTATGCAGTGTTACCCACGCACATTGAGCTGCCATGAATCTTCACGACATGCCATCTACTATTCATGCCCTGAGTCCATAAGTAAATTGTTCCAAAGTTCTCTGTTGTTGGCCTTGTGACACTACTTTGCAAGCTCAAATAGTTTCTGAAACTGACAAGTTATGTCAACAAGGGGCATGCTGTGGGGAGTCAGGTTGGCGCAGTGGTTACTGTCCTCGCCTTCCACTGCTGTGGCCCAGGTTCGATTCCTGCCTGGACCACATGTGGATTTGGTTTTCAGTCCCTACTTGATGCCGTGGGTTTTCCCCAGAATATGCTTCTGGGGTTTTCCTCCCACCTCTAAAACTGTAAATTTTGTTCACTGTCTTCTTTCTATAGGTTTCTTCGGGCTTGCAAGCTACAGCGCTTAGGGCACTTTTGAGAAATCCTTGATTACCAGAAATGACTAATAATAACATTTAAACACATTCTTACCTTGATTCCAGCATCCCATAGCTCCGTGCAGAGTTTTAACCTCTCCTCCAGCATGTCGCGTTGACCGGAGGCTACTAGTACATCCGTCTCTGTTGTCCTGATCTTCTCTGCTTTTGCCTGGGCTTTGGCCTCCATGATGGAGAAGACTCGCTCGATGCCGATGCTCACGCCGACACAGGGCACCTACAGTCAAGACAAATTGAATTAAAAGAATTAAATGTCATCCAAAGATCTGCGTTTGAATTTAAGTCTTATAAACAGAATTGTGGCATTCAGCCCATGCCTGTAAAACACATGCATACATGTATATTACTTCTTGTGCCATACTCTGCCAATCAAATTGATGTAAAAATTAAGATGCAATGATTACGACGCAAAAAATGATTACAATGCAAACATTTCCATCTTCTGGCACGATCCAAGAACTATTGTGGGTGCCTTGTTGACAAGCTGAGGAAACTATCCATTGGTATTTGTTAGACACTTACCCATTCAGTCATCAGCCGAATAATTTTGCCAACAAAATCTCTGGCAGGTAAATTGTGCACCACTTGCTAACGGAATTCACTTCACAGTACAATTCAAATTGCCCTACCAGCGGGTCAATGTTTTCACAGAGCCATGAGGGCAAAACGGTTCTAAACATAAGTTTACGATTTACGATTTAAGGAATTCAGTAATCTTCTGATTGTACCTGCTTGCCCTTAGGATCAAACATGCCGACCAGGCCATCGTAGCGCCCTCCTCCTGCCACTGACCCCACCCCCACCTGCTCTCCAGTCTTGGTTGGTAGCATCTCAGAACCTGCAAAGAAAAGGGGGAAAAAACAGAGATGAACACAGAATGGCCAATGCTGAACAAGTGATCGCATTGTACCGAGGGTAATGACATCGAGCTGCTTTGTCTGATCACGGACAAATGATTTGTAGTTTGTTTTAAAGTTTTATCTACAGTAAAATCTCAATAAGTGAAATCTGAAGGGAATGGATAGAAAATTTGAGATGTCCGAAGTTCGAGTTACGCAAAGTTTCTAAGCCTATGATCACGTACATAATTATGCATGCACAAAGTATATGAATGGCTTTCATCGTATGCCTGACACATTATTTGGCTCACTTCCCTTCTTTTTATTGATTTTAATGATGTATTGTTTCATTCACAGATCATCATTTTGTTCAGATTTTATATTAGTAAAAGTGTCTGCTCTATGGATAAATATAACAATAAACCACTCAAACTGTGTAACTTTGTGTAGTAAATCTGTTTTCTTGTCGTTTGTTGATGATTAGTCTCTAGCAATCGCGCGATACCGCGAGCACCACGCTCAGTGTTTTCCGATGAGTAGTCAAGTGACTGGTCCTATTTGATCGATAGAGGGCGTGCTATTGTACAAACTGCAGCTGGCTGGGCCAGCAGCGGCGATCAGGCTAACTCAAAAGCCAGGCATGTATTTCCACTCTGGTCACGTGGCCACCGCAAGAAGCCAGCGATTGGACTGCTGGCTTGCTGGTTGCAGTTGGGCTAGCGGTAGCGATCAGGCTAACTTAAAAGTCAGAATTTGTTGCGGTTACGGGCTGGAGTCCGATCGCAATAGCATCATGCACACTGCATCCCTACGTGAAAAGATGAAGTCAGTTTGGCAATAATGACTCATGAAAAAAGTGTCGCGAGCTTTTTACGCAGTACTGGGAGCATAGTAATACTGGGCCCGCTTCTTCACAGGATTGCAACCGCCATTGCGACCGCTTTGCGTCTTCGGCCATCCTGTGTGATTGGTCACAGTTCGCTAGGATTGTTTTCACTTGCACCTTGCACTCATTACCTTTAAGCACAGCTTCATAGATGACACCTGTATAGTAGTCCAACCCTCTGGCTAGGCTGAGGTCAAAGGAAACCTAAAAAAATGAATTAATATGAAAGACAATTAGACAACTTATGGTTTAAGGACCCTTTACACGGTTAGGTGGTAAGAGTGACTCTATCAGCAAGCTTTGCAAACTTGAATGACTTTTTTAATAACTTTTCAAACTACACAGCAGCTAATAAGCTTGATTTTGCAAGTGCAAGGGCCAATTTCACGAAACGTTAATGGCCAGTTTATACTTAATGCGAATGCGATGTGAACTTGACGTCACAAAGCCTTTGCTGCGAAATTCGCCAGAGTTGAAATTTGTTCAACTTGTGCAAATTCGCAGCGTGAAAATTGCACCACAAATACGAGCATGAACTGGCCTTTAGACATGCCTTGGGAAGGGTAAGTCGTCGGATCCTGGGACTCATCCTAGAATCGATTTCACCAAACTTAAGACACGTTCAACACGTCCTTACTTCCTTAGTAATGTGGCTGAACTCGTCTTAACTTAAAGATTGATCTTAGGGCCGTCTTATCTTATCATGAATAGTGTCTTAATTTGTATATCGTCTGGACATTATTGCAATGTCTTCTCATTTAATACTTTGGGTTCTCGAAAAACAGTGATGAACCGGTGACAGGGAGCAAGACGCTTAGTTATAAGGGTATTAATGGCTCTATTATATCTTGTGTAGACCGACTTTGCTTGTGAAACTTAATGAGTAGGGAAATTTTTCAAGCCGTATTAGACAGGCCCCAAGTTGAAACCTGCCCCTCAAGGGGAATGCTTGAATTCTGACATACCTTGTCCAGGACTCCAAAGATCTGGCAGTATTTCAGCAGGGTTCGCATGCCTTCTAGTCCCTGCTTAGCGGCCTTGCTCGTGGGCAGTAGCGGGTCCTGAAGCAGCTGCTCTACTAACTCCAAGCCACCGTTCATCTTGACGTACTGACCGATATTGTCTGCCGTTGCCGGGTCCAGTCCTTTCTCCTCTATCATTTCTTCCCGGACGTCTTCCCAGAATGTCTGTTAGAATGAGAAACGCAAACTCTGTAAGCGTTTACGACAGGACTTTTTCTGAATCTACCATGGGGCAATTCCAACATTGTGAAAGCAAGTGTTGTGTCCGTGACAGAGCCAATTCACCATGACTTCTAATTAACCCTAACATTCCAAAATCCTCTTTGCAAAATGGAGGATTTTGCAGGATGCAGGCTATATGGCAAAAGTGTGTGGCTGATTTCGAAAGATGCACTGTGTCAAGGTCTTGGGCCGGACCTTGTGTTGTATATGCTCAGCTGTGCATAACTTTAGGCCTATATTATTCTTGAAATCCTCCGCACTGCTCCAGGATGTATCTTAACATATGAACAGTGATTGCCGGAGCATTTTGCAGGATTGAGGCAGTGGTCACCCCTCCAAGGACCACATTCAAGAAATGACAGAGCCTTTTGCAGGATTGAGGTTACATCCTATCAAAAATACCTAGGGAATTAAGGTTAATGTTTCAGAGAAATGATCCAAGGCTCCTCGTCTGTAATCTCCTTGACCATTACTAGATGATGGATGTATAAGAATTGAAAAATACATTTTCAGGTTCAGTAAATAAGCCCTGTAAAATTAGCCCTGTCATGGACATTTCATAGCACTGGAATTGCCCCATATTAGATCAGGAATCCAGTGCACATTCTTTTGAGGGCTCTACCATCCTCAATCCTACAAAATCTTCCAAAACCGTCCTGCTGGATTTTCAGGGACCAACAAGAGTCATGGTTTAAGGTGGTGTGTCAATGCTGTTTTGGATGTGCCAGCGGCAACTCAAAAGAAATGTTATAAATGTATTTAATTACGTAATTTTAAATAAGGACGCAATGAAAACAGTGCTGAATAGTGTATTTAGAACTTTTTTCAAAAGTAGAACAGGCATACCAGCTATGAGATCTTTTATTTTTGGATGCATATTTGGTTCATGTGGAACAAAAATAAACAAAAATTTGAGTGTAATTTGAAGACAGCAACCCAGTTTGTATAAACTGTACGTTTACTTAAAACATTACCTTGTCTAGTTTGTCAACAGATGAGCAGATAGTGCGGAACTTGTCGGCAGGCACCCCGCAGACCTCAAACATTCCATCCAGAATCTCTCTGTGATTCACCTACAAGATACACACACAAATGTCATTTTCATGTACCATGTTTTCAAAGTCTATCACACCATGTTGGCAATAGGTCTGCTTGCATAACAAGTGCCCCCTTTGGACATTAAAGGTTTTTGTTGGAAACACCAGGATTTAAAAAAAGTCAACAACCTTTTTACAATTACAAGTGTTTTCTGTTTTTTTTTAATGAAAACGTGGAAAGAATAATAACTGAAAAGAGTATTTTACCTCACTCCAGAGTTTACTCTCAATAAAAACTTTCCTCAATTCACATTTCGCAAGGTAATCACACATGATCCCCTGACGCTTCTTCTAAAGTTACATGAAGATGTTACAAAAGGCAACAGCAAAAACTCTTAAAGCTGTAATCTAAAGAGTGACTATTTCCCAACAAGAATTTACCTTGATGACAAAGTCTCCCAAGCCCAGGTTGGTGAGAATCTCGTGGACGATTTTGACGCATTCTGCGTCAGGTATCATCGGGTCATACTGCCCAGCTATATCAAAATCCTGTGAGGACAGAAGATTCATAAAATCAAATCAAGATCTGAAAATGTGACTTTTGACTCAAGGAAGTATTCAAACGTTTAACATCGCTGGAAGGAGTACTTTGCGTCACAATTACAAACATGAGTACAGCTTCTTAGTGTGATGAACTATTGCAGGTAGCATGGAATGATTTATTGCAGGTTTCAGCACACAGAAATTAAAATATCAAGAGGATGGATTCTCTTTCTTGTTTGTTACATTACTTCATTTCAGGATTACAAATAAGTTTTGAAATATTCAAAAGTTGATCGAATATATGATTATTTGTTACTACAGCCCTAGAGACAATATTAAAATACAATGCCAATTTCTGTTTCTCAACCCAAACATCAGTTGTCCTAAGACAAACCGATCTTCACAAGTTGTCCTTAGTAAAACAACAAATTACATTTGCCCATGGTAATCTGTAAATAGGGCTTTTTCCATTTCTTTATTCACTACCGTTAAATTTTTTTTTAGTGGCAACAACTTACACATTGGTAGAATTCTCTGTACCTTCCGCGTGTCATGGCAGGGTTGTCACGGCGATATACCTTAGCGATATGGTAACGCTTAATCCTGTTGATTTTATTCATCGCCAGGTAGCGTGCAAAGGGTACCTGTATGACTCTGTTAAGGATCACATTCTTTTGAAAAAAAAAAAAGGGCTTATTTGGAAATCTTTTCAAATATGTTAATGCACTGCGAACTCACGGGGCAAAGAGTCAATTTTTTTTTCGGCTCTTCACAAAATTGTGAAAAACAGATGGATCTTATCAACTTTCTATTAGGTGTAAACAGCCCACATTTGCCGAACTTGCTTTGCATTCAGAACACATTACTTGAAATTTCATTTCATTTGATTGTCTATTGAGTGGTTCAAGGATACAGTCAAGTCGTATCTCAGCGACAGCAGCTCCCCTCCTTGGTCCTTGAGGTCATAGATCAGCTTGGAGTCCTCCCCATACTTGCCCGTCAGGGTCTCCTTCAGCTCAAAGACGGGCGTGTCCAGTGTCTCTGCCCCGTGACGCTTGAAGCTGTCTACAATGGTCTTGAAGACGCCCTCACGTATAGCCATCTGCTTGGGGTTGTAGTCCCTGGTCCCCTGCATGGCGGACAAAAATCATTACTTATAAGAATTACCTAGATTGATCCGTTACCAGTTGATCATTACAACAAAGTCCCTAGAGAGTTATACATTTTGTTAATCAGTTTTAGAACATACAGTCCCATAATCGTAAGTGGGATATGTTTATCAAAGTCAGTGGTATTACAAATGTCAACTTTAATGAAAAGTTGAATTGTTTATCACATACTTTAAAAAATTACAAGTATGTATATTAGTGAATTGGGAGCCAGGTTGGCGCAGTGGTTCGATTCCTGCCCTGGTCCACATGTGGATTGGGTTTTCAGCCCCTACCTGATTCCGTTGGATTTCCCCCAGAATATTCTTCTGGGCTTTTTCTCCCACCTCTAAAACCCTTAATATCTTCTCGTTGTCTTCTTTCTACAGGTTTCTTCAGGTTTGTGAGCTACAGTGCCAAGGGCACTTTTAAGGAATTCTTAGTTTCATTACCAGAAAAAAAGAAATAAAAGTAAAAACAAATAAAAATAATTGATGAATTACAACCCAAATTTTACAACTGAGTCTTTTGGAGACTCTACTTTGGAAGTAGAATTTTGAATTTCAAATTCAGTACGGACAGACTTTGCATCATTTAACTCACTTGAATAACACAGGGTTCAAATCTCACTAATGATGTAATGTACATGGGACTCACCTTTGGGGTTTTGAGGATAAATTTTTGATTTGTGCCAACATCTCCGATTTGGGCTTTCAGCTCTAGAAGCTTGGCAACCTCTTCCGCAATCTACATGAGGGAGGAAGGTTGTTTTAATTAGTAATGCCCCAGTATGGAATGCACACACTTGAGCTAAAAGAAATCAACCAAACAAGCCACAAATAAGCTTATCATTCATTAACATCTGAGTGAATAAATCTCTTCAATGTGATTTTTAACCCTACCACTGAATTTACAATAAAAATTACCCTGTTCTTTTTTAAATGCATACAGAGTGAAACACTTGAAGATTTTTTTTTTAAAGCAACACTTATCAACCCAACTCCCTAGGCATTTTTGCTAGGATGTAACCTCAATCCTGCAAAATCCTCCAACTGCCTCCATGTAAACATTGCATACAGCCTCAATCCTGCAAAATCATCCATAAATTCTTGAATGTGGTCAATGGAGGGGTGACCACTGCCTCAATCCTGCAAAATCCGCCGGCTATGACTGTCAATATGTTGAGGCAGAGCCAGCGACATCCTTGAGCAGTGTGGAGAATTTCAAGTATAACATTGGCCTAAATTTATGCACGGCTGAGCATAAACAACACAAGGTCTGGCCCAAGACCTTGACACAGTGCATCCTCCAAACTCAGCAACACAACTTTTGCTGTGTAACCTCAATCCTGCAAAATCCTCCATTTTGCAAAGAGGATTTTGGAGGATTTGGGAAGGTTAGGGTTTCAATTCAGTTTGTGGCAATACCTGAATGTTAGCATCATTGCACAGGTGTTGCGCAGCCACAGATAAGGGAGACCAGCGGCAACCAAGTCGACGCAAAAACACAAGTTTGGTCCACGTCAGCGCCATAGCCAGGACGGTCCAGCAGGAGCAGCGAGACAGTTCCAATGAAGTGAGCACACAGATTTTGGGTGGAGGATGTTGGAGAAATCGATGCCAATGATGCGGTAGAGTCCGAAGAAGATCCGTTTGGGCAGAGAGATGAAAGAAAACTGTTGAGTTAGGCCTAGGCCCAGTCACAGGGAAGGGGAACAGAGAATAGGTAACTTAGCCATGAATTATTAGTCTTTTTTGTCTCAAATTTTCCTTATGTTCTCAGTGAATTTCAGGAAACTGGACAAGTAGGAATTTCACTGCGTTGTAAAACAGTCTACATTTCAAAGTTACGGAAAGAATGCTATACGGACAACGCCTTGTTCAATAATTTTTCAAGTATAGGCCTATTATTATTTCCTCTATTTTCCCTCCTCCACCCTCACCCTTTTCTTTCCTCTTAGACTTATATAATTTTAGGAAAGAATTCCACATACGTATGGCACTAGTTTTTCCCTGCCATGACTCAACAACCGTCAGAGAGGGATAATTAACATGTCCTAAAAAAGTGAAATTTAGCACTAGTATAGCAGGAAAAATATTGCAGCATTAGCCTAATTTAGGCCTAGTTGGAAAACACTTACTTAATTTTTCAGACCAGTCTCAATATAGAGCAAATAACAAACCAACCTGAACTTGTCAATTTCAAATTATTCCCGGACCATATGTCAAAATAATGAAAATGATGTGAGACTGAATCATTTTGTATGTTCACACAATATATTTTTTTACAAACCTTTTCCTTATCTGCTTTTTCTGCCTTTAATTTTCTCACGATTTCTCCTTGTTTCTTAATCTCTTCGACAACAGCTTTTTTCTCAGCATCTGCCATGGTTAAAATCTAAAACAGGCCTGAATGATGCAACTTGTGCAAGGAATCACACCGGCATCAGCAGAATCCAGCATGCATTACTGCGCCCTCTTGAGTTGTAATTCGTGCCACTGATCTCCAAAGTTGTCTAGCACGCCCTCTTGTGGTTAAAAAAAAAAGGGCATCCTCTTGTTCTGTGTCCTGCATTTTTTTTCTTCTGAAACCAATACTTTTCATCAGGTCTCTGAAAACAAAATTCATTGCTGACAATTAGGGGGTATTTTTTTAGCTGTGTATTTCATTACATTTGTTATAAGTACGTCTTATGAATATTTACAAACAGAGCGTTGATTGGGTTTGGGGAAAAAAGTCACTAGAGAAAAATAACAATTTAAAAGAGTACTGCTTATGTCAATTTTCGATCCTTGATTTTTTTTATTACAGTTATTCACACATATATTCTTTATTTTGCACACATTTATAAATGGAAAATAAACAAGAAAATGGCGATACTTGGGGATAACTAGCAAAAGGTAATTTCAATTATCACATTAAGTTTGATAACGAATTTTACAATGTCACATTGACAACAAGTTTTTAAAAATAACAAAAATATTTCTGCAATGATTAAATAAAAGAAAAATCCACAATTACAGCTTTTCTATAAAATGCCTTTGAGGTAAAATATTTATGTGCCCGTAAGGCAGTGAGAGGCCACAGAATTCAAACAGCCATGTTGGTTTGTGATAGGGAGTGGATATCCAAGCATTTCTTCAACTTTTGCCTGCTTGTTTCACTCTTTTTGTCTTAAGATGGCCAATTCAAACTTCATTTTCACACCTTTGTTCAGGTTGGTGTAGCGGTTCTTTCCTTCTACTTCCACTGCTGTGACCGGGGTTCGAATCCCGCCTGGGCCAACTTGTGGATTGGGTTTTCAGTCCCAGCATGTTTTTATGTTTTTTTCCTCCCACCTCTAAAACTGTAATTTCTTCTCATTGTTTTCTCTCTACGTTTTTTTCCTGGCTTGCGAGCTGCCATGCCTGGGGCGCTTTTGAGGATTCCATGGTTTCATTACCAATCAATAAATAATAATAACAATAAGAATTTATAATTATCATCATAGTAAATAAATAATAATAACATTGTCTGAAGTGTACACTTCATACTGTGTTTGAAGTGTTTATGTTTGGTCGTAATGAAGGAAAATTGTCTTATTTCACCTCAGCTTCCAGATAACTGAATGCAAGAAGAATAATTTGAAAATCCCCTCGATCCTTTTGGTCTCATTTGGAAGGTACAAAACTATTCAACCGAGACTGTAAAACCTTGCAGAGACAAAGTCAGTCACAAGTCTAATCTAGAGGTCAGATCAAAGGTTAAATACCTTGTCATTTGACTTGATGACTAGTGACCACATAGCTATATTAAATTACTAGAGCACTAACACTCTTACGCCCGGAGATACGTTGAATCCTTCCTGCTTGCAGATGTTTTGAATTCATGTGCGTGTTTGTGGAACATAATGAAATTAGATTAAGTGAATTTTGAAAGTGTACCCTAAATCCAACACGCAAGAACAACATACGCAAACAACTTAAGCGCGCCATGCCCACGAAGGTTAAAAAATGTCACGGCAAAAATCATCTGCAGCGGATATGCGCACGAGTTTGCGTTGTTTGAACAGATCAAAATGAAATGCTCTTACTGATTGTGCGTTTTGGTTTTGGATGTATCAGCTTTGATAACGCACATGTATATAATACAAATGCAGATATGCAAATAGCCGTACAAAATTTCTAGTTTTCCATGGGTTTGTGCACAAACATGGATGCGCACAGCAGGCATCACTTTGTACATCGATTCAGGGCTCTCGTAATTTAATACACCTCTATGCTTGTGAATGACTTGTGATTGTGAAGACTTCAATAAAACTACTGAAGATTTAAGTAAAACTAGTCCACTGAGTGATATATATTTCGTCCTTTGAATCTGTAGCAATGTACGGCACCAGGCTATGCAATTCGGCACTTGCTTGCGTCAGAACTCTGCTGCTGTCGCGCACGTGGTTGCTCCTGCTGAAATAAAAATTCACAGAAATAAAATCACTGCAGAAAGTGCACTACTTTGGAATTTACAAAATAAACTTGTGACATAAATAAACAGGGTTCGCAACATATTTCACTGATATTTCCCTGAAAATTTCCAAAACTCCATGAGAAATATTTTTTCACTGTAACGAGGTTGCTGGGAAGACAAGAGGTGGTGAAGCACAGCCAATTGTTATTGTCTGGAGAGGTGTGTGATATTCACACTGCATAAACACTAAAAAGCCACCACAGCCAGTCAGTCAATGGGCACAACTTGGACACACGGCACAAGACGCACATACGCCCTAATTGAAAAAGAACCTAATTCCTTGAGTTTTCCTTGACTGGACAAAATGGAAACTCGTTTTCCAGGTTTGTCCTGATTTCCGGAGAAGCTGAAAATCCTGTATAAATGCAAATGGATCCTTCCTGCCTGCCAGTCAAACAGCATTGACCAATCAGATCACAAAGTTTAGTCAGGTGACTAAGTCACATGCACTTTGAAAAATGTACCCTAAACAAAAGTGGGCAGGGATTACAGCCAAATCTAGAACCGTCCATTTAGAAGGATCGTATATAATGATACAGTGTGTCGACCTCAAGCCCGGTGGGTTGAAGCCATCACCCTCGGGCAGCACACTCATTTTCCGGCCTCGCTCGCTGTGAGCTGTCGCCGACAGATATTTCCGGCCTCGCTCCCTGCGTGTTTATTCATCATCCATCCCGAATACCACAAAACCTTTGCATGAATACACGGCCTCCAGCGTGAACTGGTTTTGTAAAACAGAGGGCACTCTGGGGTTATTATTTTTCTTTTTTTTGACACCCTGTACAATACAAATTTCTAGTCCTACCTGTCGTCTCCTTTGTTGCTCCTCCCTTTCACTCTCCTGCAGTGCTCGAGCTAACGCTAGATCTGATGCCTCCTGATCTTGATCTTGTTTACTGCTTGGGTCCTGAGCCTGCTGTTCACTTAATGACATCTGAATTGCACGTCTCATGGCTTCATCTTCAGACTGTAAATGCACAAGATTGACCACAAAAAGATATTTAAGTAACTGTTTTGGTTACTTACTTCACAAGTCCTTTCATCCCACAAAGTATAAAAAAATTCAATTTTTTGAGCGTGGACACTGATATGAAGTATTTACACGAAATGACTCTGATTAAAATCATCTGACATACCAGACCAGCTTGTAGATTTGTTGTGAGCTGTGCTGAACCTTGTTGAAACCTTGGGGGTGTGTGATGACTCGGTCTGTCAAAAGATATGTAAAAAAAAAACCCCACAATTTTACAATTGAATCAGAAATGTAGTCAAGTCCATCACAAGTCCATCACAGGTAAATCATTAGTCCAATCACAAGTCCAGTCACAAGTAACAGTGGATGAACAATAACAAAGGAATGCCTTTGTTAAAGCTCATTTGAATAGCTTGCGAGTTGAATTGGGACTGGAGGACTTGTGATGGACTTGAATCAACATGTTGTTAGTTTTCTCTTGTGGTGAAAATATTGGAAGACATTTGAACTTCACTGGCTCACACACGCTGTTGATCGTTTTATTATAATCTTTTTCACACATCGGGGCGAAGGCCGACTGGTGCCCCGTCCCTCCATTATCTGACTTTCAATGATAATGGAAGCAGTAACCAGTCTAGATATGCACGCATTTATGTCATTCCCACTTACCTGTCCACATTCCTACTAGATGTGGCCTTTTGGGGCACCGTAGATCGGCCTGTAGAGCTAGCCCCACGCTGTGCTGCTCTGTTCAAAGCTGCCATACTGTGAGACAAGAAAAAAATTATTATAAACAAATTCTGGATTCACCCTTCATAATTGGAAGGGTTGCCTTTGGTAGATCTGCAGACGATTTTACGACACAGTGTGAAACTTACGCCATGCGTAGGACTTATGCACCAAATTTGTTGCGCAGCTGCGCGATAAACTTATTTTTGATTTTAAGAAATGTGGCACAGCTGTGCAACATTTTAAATAATCTAAACTTCTAGGAGGAGAATAACAACATTTCCGACGGCTGGCTGTGTATGATTTAGCTTGGTCACAAAACAGTCGTTGAATCACCTCTAACTGCCATTTCTTCAGAATTGTGTAGCAACTCAGTAAAATCGCAATTCATTACCTCAACACACAGCTATGAGTGTCTTGTATCAACCTTGATAAGTTGTGCAATGACAGGTTCCATGACGATCACAATTTGCTGGTAAACTAGTTAATTTTCAGTCGCTACGCCACACCTGAAATGCCACAACTGAAAAGTGTTGCGCAACTTACGCAATAAATTGTGGTGCAAGGGGAGTTATGCCGTTGTGTAAAGCTTCGTGAAATCGGCTGCTGGTTTTCTTTGCAACACTTTGAATAATATTCAAATTTTTGTTTAATTGTTTGTGGACTATAATTTAGGACTTACCCTGGATTTGCAACAGTGCGTCCACTCCCTTGAAAGCCCTTACAATCATGGTCTGTCGTGTGCCGATGACGAAGACAGTAATTCTTCTGACAGGAAGAACATAGAACTGGCACAAGCTGAAAGACGAAAAAGTAAGCCACTCATCAAAACAGAGTCTATGGTTAGGGTAAACGGTGTGGTAAAATATTACTTCAACATGAGTCTGTAATCCTAGTCTGTTATCTCCTTGACCATTACTAGATGATGGATGGACAAGATTTGAAAAAATACATTTTCAGGTTTTTTCACTGAGCTCTTAAAAGCTCTGTCACGGACATGACCTAACGTTGGAATTGCACCTAGATACTTTTAACCAGTTCGCATTGGAGGATGTGATAAACGTACTGGCTGCTTTTATACACAGCTGACGATTAAAGATGTCAAGATTGCCTCGCCTCGCCTCAGGGTGATGTCTAAACATGCTAATCCCTCAAATACTGCTGAAACTACTCTCGCAAATCACTATTTGTGGCGTTTGGCTGTTTATCAGAAGTTGGTTGGAAAATTTTGCCTCTGACGAAAATTGAAATTTTCGGCAAAAATAATCTCGGCGTGAAGTGGTTAACACGAGGTCACATGAAGCTCACCTCTTTCTGTTTGCAGCCCTTCAGGGAACATTTATTGGAGAACACTTTCCTCTTCTCTTTGGCCGGATCTGACTGGCAGTCGCTGTCAATGTGCTGAGACACTCTGATATCTGGTGGTTCCCCTCTCTTGACAGGGATCGGTTTGTTGCAGAGGGGACACACAGGCACTTGTACGTCCTAATTTGAACCAAACAAAACATGATGAAAATCTTCTACGGTCACTCCCTTGATCAAGTGGATATTGATTCATATGTACATTTGTAGATTCTGAGAACCACAGAACAGGCATGCAAACTGGGGAGTAACAAAAAACAAGGACATTCCAAGCTTTCCAAGACTTTATAGGGTGTTTTTTTAATTTTTAATGGCATAAATGTGAAGTGGAAAACGAGGAAATCAGCTGATCCAAGGAAAAGTTGCATAACTGACAGGAATATATTGAGTACATTATCTAGTGAGAGAAACCTTAAAATGCCTCTACTTGAAAGCGAAATAGTCAATGTTCGTATCATGCATAATTTGCTATTGCTTTGCTAGGGAAAAGGAAGAATTATCAAGCAAAATATTTGTTTTCAGTCTCAACTACATGACATTAAAAATCACTGGCAAACACTTTTAAGCAGCAGGTGTGAAACAGTTTGAATCACTTCGTTAAACTTTGTATTGTACAAGTTTCCGAAAAGATGTAAACAACATGCAACATGGATTGTTCTACCATTTAAACAATAATTAATTTCAACATTCCACTGAAGCTCATGAATGTTTGCCACAGCTAAGAATACTTTTCATGTTAAAGAAGTTCTATCACAAGAAGAACTTTCAACCCATCAGATTACAAGAATATCATGACTAGTTACATGCCAATCACTTTTGTTTCCATTGATAATTTATCCAGTATGAAAAAACCCATAAAACTTTACCTTTTTGTAAGCAGAATCACACTGGTGTTGGGAATACTGAATGTGGTCTTTGCTGCACAAAAAAGAAAACAAGATGTAATCAACAGTTTTGAGTAAATAAAGATTTTCGCAGTGGCTATCGTTACGGCAGCCGTAACGCATTTCCCATTTTCTATCGTTACGGTAGTACTGCAACTTTTATAAAAACATGAGAAGAAAATATAAAATTAGAAGGAAAAAAATGAATTTGAACGTTATGAAATTCGGACTTTATTTCCCTTTTTAAAAAAAATCCTCCAAAGCCTCAGGTTAGAAAAGGAAAAAAAATCGAGTGCAAAACTGAGTTGCAAACCCGCAACCTCGCGGTGCAAAATCCTACCCTCTATCGACTGAGCTGTCGCACTGCTCGCTAAAACGTGGGGAAACAAATAATTATATACCTGCGTGCGTAACAAAAAAGTATCTTAGAGGGCGCTAAACAACGGCTGCCGTAATGATAGCCACTTCGAAAGATTTTCCTCCATTTCAAATCCATCAATTTGCAGTATTAACAAGGAAATTGCTTACAATTTTTGACTGCAAGTACAAATGGCAAAGATAGACGAAACCTTTCAGTTTAAATTCCAATCATGAAATGTCGCAAAATAGCCAAGCTGTTGAATTTCGTATTGCCTATTGAATAGCAAGCTCACCACAATATTCTTGAACATGCATCACACTTCATTGGCAGGAAATCTGCAAGAAAGGGGAAAAAAAAACATTTTCAAAGTCGCTTTCACCGAGAAAGGCGAGAAGGAGCGATTAAAATATGGAAACTGTTGAGAAACAATATCAATATACACTGCCAACAGTTGCTTGCCACTTCATTACCAGTTGTTTGATACTTACCTAATTGCTTACACGTTTTTACGAAACACTGTTCTCCAAGTTTTGGAAACTCCATGATGGCAAAAACGACAATGCTGAAGTTACACTATACTACAGTATTGTATTCGAGTTACGTTGTTCCGCCTATCCACAATCATAAACAATCACTCAGACGAGTATTTCTGTGTACGTTTTCGACAATTCTTACAGTCTAAAATATACTAGAAATCACAGAATGTGAAATTAACAATCCTTCCTAAAGAATCTGTTTACTACTGCTATTTGTACCGACTGAACTACTTCTAGAAACATCAGGCAGCCGGCAGAATGACAGTGCAATAGTTCAATTTCTTGGTAAAACAGTGAACTCATCATGCATCATCCCATCGGTCATTTAAACAGCGCCACCCAGAGTTAGATAGCGTCCAACTAAGTAGTATGAGCCGAAGCCGCGAGGAAGCCATAGTTTAGGAAATGGCCAAATCTGTGTGGAAAACCTTGAACCTTCCATTATTCGAAATTTACGAATGTATTAACTTTATAAGGCTTTCTGATGGGTGCACCAGTTAAATGGCTATTTTAGTCAAGACTTCTCCACCAACTTACTGATTTTTCTCTCGTAGCTGATGAGGGCCAACCAACTCACCAATGTTCACAGTTTTTATAATTGTTTTGTGGAATCAAATATTCAGTAGGCATAGTTGTTCAGTTCAAGTTACGCAGTTTGCCTTGAAGAATAGAACACTTGGCGGGCCCTCCGGACTCGGAGCTTGAGGTTTGTAAACATGCCGACTCACCATACCAGGTCCGGCCGGATATACAGGAGTCTCTGCTGGGAGAAATTTGTGCTGATGCGGGGCATGTAAGGTGGTAGTTTGGAGACGGGAGATGGCTGGAATTGGTGAGGGGGAAAAGCAATCTGAGACCAACGGAGGCCGCTCGAATCGGGTCGAAGACGTTCTTGTACTATACAGAAGATGCAAAATTAATATCGAGGTGCAAACTCTCTGAGATTTTCTTTCGTTGAAGTTGTTCATCTGCGAAGTGATATGAGATACGAGTGACAATATGGACAGCTTCGTGTACTAGTATTCCTCCGCACTTGATATTTTCACGATTATTAGGCTTCAAGTATACACATTTTGGAATAATAAAATGCATAAATAATTAAAGTCACGAATGCGGTCATGAATGAGAACAAAAGTTTGAAATTTCAGGTTTATGGAAAATATTTATTTGATCAAACTGGAGGACCTACTTTTTAAGGAATGAAAAATCAGACATTAAAGGCTGGTGATGACGTAATGGGAACGGGAACTTCCTATTGGTCAGAAGTGTGGCGAGTGAGCGCAGCTTGTCAATCTGATCAATTTGATTGGATTAAAACAGTGTGAAAATGCAGCAGACGAAAACACAAGTGGAAAAGGTCACTGCTTTTGGCGGGCAGAGAAATGAATTATTTGACTCGAAACCGGTTTCAACCGCTTCCATAGACTTGTCCTGTCGCAGCTTCATCCAGAAAAATGCAAATGACGGTTGATTTGATAGTAACGGTAATGAAAATGGAAAGGAAAATACATCTATTTTTTTTACAATGTCAAATACAACCAAATGAATGTAAGTTTTGTGAAAAAAAACCACCAAGATTAGATGCATATTTATTTTAGGAGTCAGATTGTTTATCATTGTTTTCATGGCTTGGGATGCCGTATAAAAAAATGTACTGTAAACCCACAAAATAATATTGTGGGGAGTGAATTTCGGGGGGGGGGAGTTGGAAAGTTAGGAATTTTTGTATTCACGTATGGGTTTTTTCTTTTGCTTTTTGACAGGTTAAAGCTGGAGATGGAGCACCATCTGAAAAAAAAGAGGTTGGAATTTCGAAAAACTCTGGAATATAAGGGGACTCTGTCTAGCTCAAGAAAGGGCTGTATTGAACTTTTTGGACAAGGACAAAAATGCAAAAATCATGGACCATTGAGCTCTTGAATAGCGCCATCTACGTTTATACACGGAGTAACGTACGTCTAAGTAGTCTGGCACCACCCCTGCGTTTTTAACCTTTTGATCATAGAGTGAATAGGGCATAATACTATTAATTAGGTCGCAATGGTTTCTGGGTGTGTTGGCAAGGACTCCGCGAACGTTGGATATATCCATGGAGGTAGAATTCCTGCGACACGATCGGAGCGAATGGAAGTTATGTTTTGGTCAAGAGATTTATTTCTTTGCCTAATTACGGACCGGTGAATGCGGTGAAGAGTGGTGCAGAAAGTAAGTAAGGTAGACCATTTTATTGTCGTACTAATTGCTGTTCTTATGTGTGTTTTTTGTGTGAAAAATACCCCACTGCAGTGGCTTGCCAGTCGTTTAGTTTTGAAGTTATGCTGCTTAGCCTAGGCCCTATTTTCATTCATTGTTGACAATTGTGATTGACATGATATTTTTTTAATGAATGGGTCGCTCATCATGCTTCTATAATTTGGTAATCCTTAAATTGTTATCTTAAGGACCCTGTTCCTGTAAGGTCAAAAGTCTCCCCAAAACAGATGACTAGCGAATGACACTCAAAAAGACAAAAGTGACATTCTGATATTTCTTGACACATCTGAGCTGAGCAGCTGCCTTTGGCAGCTGGTAAATAACACTTTCTTGAATATCGAGTAGGTTTAGTTTTATGGAAAGAGGGCAGGGCTTTGATTTATGAGGGTAATAACAGGGTAAATGATGACGACGACAACCAGAAAACAGGCTCGAAATCCAAGATGGTGACAGAGAAAGCCCGATGCTGGTTGGCTTATTAACAAAACAAAAAAACTTGTCAGCCAATCAGCATCGGGCTTTCATTGTGTCAGGCTTTAACGCATGTTGTGAGAACTACAATGTGCGCATTTGACTGCTCACAATTTCTTTGAAAAAGTATTTCAAAATTACAAAAACATGAGTTATTCTGAAGAAAAAAGACTGCTTTAGCCTGTAAAATTCACTTCAGTCTTCATGGTTCAAAAGTCAGTTTTGAACGGAACTCATAAAAATTTCTAAGAAACATTTCTAAATTTGTTAGGAAATATTTCGAAAATGTTCTTGACTCTCTAGAAACTTTGTACACAACTGCTGACATCTGGATATTACATTCATGAACTAGAAAAATGACTGTAAGAGTCTGTGAGTGGTTCTCTTTATGTTTGATGCCGTTTGCTAAAGAGTAACATTAAATAGTCAACCGTTTCATTTTGCTAGACCCGTAAAAAAAACGTCATGTTTCGTAGCTGCTTCAAAACACTTGATTTACATTCATGACGTTTTATGAGTACATCATGTATCTGCATGTATAAGTACTTAGGCTACATGTTAAATCTCCAGTGGCCCCACAGGATCTGTCATTCCCAGGAAATTTGCAGAAATTATGTGATCCGGTATGAACGTGTATAAGTTTTGGTTTATCAGAATTTCTGAAAGGTCACGCACATGTACCCTGAATCCCTAAAGTGCTGTATGTAAAACAAGTGTGTAGGCTACCCTATCAAGCCACAGAACCACTTTGGACTGATGCTCAATTTACAAATTAAACAAATTATGGATAAATTTGAAAATCTGTAAGTAAAGCCATTGGAAAACCTGTTGTTGTGGCTTCTGTTACAAGGCCTACAGCAACTCTTTAATTAAAAATGTTCTTGAATGTTTAAGTAATTTGAATCCTCAGGTTCATGGAAGGTTGAATGAGTGATAGTTGAGGGTGAAATGACAATCTTGTCATATTTTGCACTTGTTCTGTAATAAAGTTATTCCTACCATATTAGAGTACTTACTATTATTGTTGTTTCTCCATATCTGCAGCAATTTGACAGTTTACGCATACTTGGACCATTACTAAGAGGTGACAGGTGCATTTGTGTGTTGACATTGGAGCCCCCAGTACTCTGACCATGATCTGTGCTTCTGAAAGATCTCTCCTGGAATTCCTTGAAAACCCTAATGAATAAGTACGAAGTTCTCGGCATTGTGGGCGAAGGTACGGTTGTTGGAATCAATTTTATGTTAGATTTTTATTAAAGGAAATTAATGTTTCAAAGTTGAACAATGAAATTGACTGGAGCGGGGCTTGAACCTGTTACCTCTGGAGTTGACCGTTCCTTCGGATGGTCAAACAACAGAGCTAGCTACATGTAGCCATATGTTGGCGGTGAACTCCTCAATTTGTCATTATACTTGTTCGTTGGGCGCTAGTCAGAAGTTTTGTCACAGAAACTTAGAAGAAAATAATATTGGTTTTAACCGTTGCATCTTACGTAGGACCATATTTCCACTTCAGGTGTGCTGATCAAATGCATCTAATGCAATTTTGTTCAAATTGATGCACAACTTTTTTTTCTGGGACAACATTGTTGGGTTTTTGTGGGTGTGTGCCACCTATGGTAATTTGGTATGCCGGAGAAGAATGCATAAAAGCCAACAAGCATAAAAGTGTACAAAGTAAGTAACACTATTTGTTCATACAGGTTTACGCTGCATAAAAATGTACAAAGTAAGAAAGTAATGCTGTTTGTTCATACAGGTTTACGATGCTTAAGTTGTTCCGTTTGTTTTGCACAGCCTGTTGCGATCCCCACAATGAATTTTGTACTTTGTGCAAGAACCATAAATAAATAGTACGACAGATTATCAAGCACTGGCTAATTTCGCTTGTGAACACGTGTTGATCATAAAATTGCGGAGTAGTGCGGCAAAGATTACGAACGCCAACGGCGCTTTTTTGGGGTTTCATTTCTGGGCAACCAGTTAATATCACTGTCACCGTATAAAACTGCGTTATGACAGGCTGCAACCATGTACCGTCCATGTACAGTCCACTGCTTGGGATTTATCACATTTTGTAATCTGTGCCTGTGTAACCAGAGCCGCTGATAAAACATGATAAATCAGTTGTTTTTGTGACTGGGAGAAGTGGTTGAATTCATTCATAGATTACATTGTCCGTCCATTGTAAACTTAACGGTACAATCCAGGAAATGTTTGATGTTCTTCAATTTAATTTTTGTTGGGTGATAAATAGCAGCGGACTATGGCCCTTTGGTCTAGCTCATACTTTGACTGTGGATTGGAAAATAATTTTTAATATTTCCTCATCAAAAGATGTTGACAATCTAAGTTATGGTTGGATGTGTTGGTAAATGTAAGATTTATGATGAACCAAAAGAATACAGTTCCCAGACATGTGATTGGTCGAAAGAAGGTACTCATTTAAATATTTTCATTATAATTAAAGTAAAATCTGTCACGAGCCAATATAGCCCATCAGGCCGGCAGTTATCTCCGGTTTCAGTAGCATGAAACAACTGAGAATATCTCTATTCCCCCTGGATGGGATGCTAGTCCATCACAGGTTACTCCCCAGCTAATGCCAGTACCCATTTATACTCCTGGGTGGAGAGAGGCAAGTGGGGGTGAAGTGGCTTGCCCAAGGACACAACATATGACCAGCAGCTGGATTCAAACCCCTGACCCTCTGATCATGAGTCACTAACCACTAGGCCAAATACCGTCATCAATATTTTCATTATGAAAAATTGTTGTAATGAAATCATTTTTGTATTTTACACAAAGAAATCTCATACACATTGCAGTAGTAACACATTTTTCGTTTTCGTTATATTGAGGGATGCGAAAAATAACAATGTATCATTTTAGTTTAATGCATTTTTAAATATTTTTAACCAACAGGGGCCTATGGAGTTGTGCTGAAATGCAGGCACAAGGTAAGGACGTTAAATGATTATTGTTTAAATTTTCTTTTGATTGTTTTTTGTTCTGTACATTTGGTTCATTGGAGTGTCGGGTAAACAGTGGCCGATTAACAGAAAGCTTATTGAATTTTCTACAATCTACCACATACTATTTGTCAAATGTGAGGCGTTCTAGCAAAATGAGAAGGAACTGGGCACAGTCGTAGTGGAGAAAAGTACCCCAAAAAAGAGAAAAGAATTGTTGCGATTTTTTTTTTATTTTCAATCTTTATTGATATTTGTAATCTTTGATATGTCTACTACACGTACCGGTAGTTTAAAGAAATAGTACAAAAACCAAGGAGTGAAAGTGTTTTTATTGAAAAACAATTTGCATCTTTCATATTTTTTTAGTATTTTACTTTTTGAAATATCATTAAATGCAATCTTTAAACAGCCATAACTTGTCAACGGAATGTCCGATTGAAGTGTTACAAGCAGTAAAGTAAAGATAATTTCATTCTCTTTCCTAATACCCGTAAACCCCCTTTTTCGACCTCTGCCCAGTTCTGTCTCATTTTGCCAGAACACATCACAAATTAGTTATTGTGTCATAGTTCCAGCATGTAATTGTCGTTTCAAATCACAGTTAAAAGTTTCAATTTTGTGAAGAACTGTATGCATTCCTTTTCCCGGTACCAACTGCTAAATTTCAAAGTTTCCACCCTTGAAGAATACAAATCCAACAGCCGGCATACATTTTTGTCGCTCCACCCTTCAGTGAACTTGAAACAGTCCCCAAACTACAACGCCTCTCGCATACTTCATGTTAATGATTAACCGGCCACCAAATGCCACACGGTACTCGTCAACTTGACCAAAAGCAAACAGAGATTTCAATAACTTTGCACGGCTGGGGCCATGTCATTGCCCGGGAAACCGTCCAGTATTTGGCAAACAATTTGTCGCCCGGTTGAAGCACTTGGTCTGGTCTGACCCAGTTGGGCATCTCTCTGGATTCAGAGTGGGATTGGAGCCAAACGTGTTTGTTGTTAGGTGGACCAGTGTCAGTATTTTTGGACTTTCTGAAAATTAAAGGCAAACCAGATGCATCCAAGGGTCATTAGATTAGATTAACGGTCCGAGCTGAACAATACCGTTTGGTCAGTATTGGTGCAACCGACCAGTTAGCAGTTCAGTAGAGGGGTTAATATGTAGTATGTGGTATTATAGTAACAGACTTCTGCCTGCTGTGTGGTGTATTTTGTAGTTTTTACCCAACAGCAGTTACAGTTAGTACCGGGACCAATCCCGTGAGAAATGTATTTTAGAATAAAGGTATAATAAATAATAACGTGGTGCTTTGACCAGCTAAGCGCTTTATACCAAAGGTCTCAAAGCGCTTCACAATTATTACCCCTGTTCATCAGGCCATAAGACCAGTTTCTGCAGCAGCAGCTCAAGATCATCGCATTCTGGTCTCTACCTTCTCAGGTACCCATTTATACTCCTGGGTGGAGAGAGGCAATTGTAGTAAAGTGTCTTGCCCAGGAACACAAGCACCATGGTTCGAAACCCACGTACCACGGCACGTGAGTCGAACACCGTAACCAATTGGACCACAGCGCTCCAAAAGTGTACGCCTCGGTGTTGATAACGGAATACGTGTTGGTATTCTCTGTCGTACACTTTGAACCAATAATGTCTGAAATGTTTTTGTTCCGGACAAAATGTCTGAACGTGAACAATTGTGAGCATTGTTCAGGTTCAGACATTTTGTCCGGAACAAAAGCGTTTCAGACATTCCTGGTTCCTACTTGATAGCAATAATTGGCATGCAGCACGCGATTTTAGGAGGCTATAAGTTATGGCAACAATAAAAAAATTAAAAACAAAAACAAACGAAACCAAAAAACCCTAACAGAGCATAAAATGTAACTGATAGTTGTTGGATATTTTTTTGAGGATCCAATTTGGCTTCTTCCAGTTATGATTTCTCAACGACTACTACTGAATGAATCAATCACTGAACTTGATGATGCAAAATTGATTTCAAACACACCATGTGTGTACAGCATGCAAACAATATCAGTCCGAAGTGGCTGCTTCGTCTGATGAATGTTTACAGTTTTTGCTCGAAGCTAAATCACTACAACGCTCCAATTCCTGTTAATCAATTGCTGTTTTGCACTACTGGAATTGAGACGGTCAACACATCCCGAATAGAAATGCACCGATCAAATCACACAGAAACACTGTTCAGTTGACTCTGTATATTTACTGCAGCTGGGCAGAACTTGAAAATTTTATACAAATCCATATCAACTTAGTGAATGATTTACTCACAATTTGGAAAAACATCATTTGAGTGCATTTGTTTTTTGCACTAATACATGGATTTTCAATTACAAGTGGAAAAACTAAACCCCAGTATAATTGCACTTGAAAAATCACTCGAAATTGAGCCCATTCGGAAATTGTTTGCTTTTACTGCTATGCGATCTGTCAATCGATACTGTGGAATGCTTGAGGCATATAACATAGTAAGATAGGAGGTTTACATTTACACGTTGAGTATTTTCTAATGCTGCTAAGGTTTGCGTAGCATTGATAACATTTGCACAGCAGTAGCTAAACTATAAGTCAGGGGTGAGATCGGTTAGGATTTTTCCTGATGTCAGGATTTTTAAAGAATCCCTTCTGAAATCTGGCATCCCTGAGGTTTGCTCATTCCATAAATGTGGGGTCCAATTTTTGTGTGTCTCTGTTTCATCTGACATGTATAAGATTTTGTAAAGTCTGGACACATTCTTTAATGTCTTTTATCTCCAAGAGTGATGTAAAGCAAAGTACCTGCCAAAGTGTGAAGTCAATTTTAATGATACTTGCATGGTACATTACACAGGTCAGGCGTAACAGGGACACCCCAAAAGAGTCACACTTTTGGACCCAAAATGTATAGTTTGACCTGTTTGTCTATAAAGGTGCTTTTATTTATGACTCAAGAAAAGAAGTGGGTATTGTAAGGGGTGCCTTTAAGCAAATACAAATGTATCATGCACCCTACATTGCTCTGGGGCCCTTGGTGACACTCAAAGCCCCTGTAGATTTTCTTTATTTTCCCCAAATCTCACCCCTGGACCCAATTTCATAGCGCTGCTTAACGGCCGACTTTGTGCTTACCGAGCCTCCATCTATTTCATAGGGAACGTTAAGCAGTAAGCACAGCAAAAGCACGCTTAACCCCAGAAGAAAACTTTGCTTAAATCAGTGACGTAACAATAGAAATCTCCGTGCGCGCACAACTGTTAGCATGAAATAGTGCTTAAGCAGCAGCACAATTTTCTGCTATAGTAAGCACAACTTTTCTGCTTACTGCTAAGCAGTGCTATGAAATTGGGCCCTGATGTGTAAATGGCTTTGATTTTACATATTTTGCACATACTTACAGAGTTTGCCCAAAAGTGCAACAACCAGAAAACAAAATAATTAAAACTGTTTAATGTTCTTTCTTCAATGAAATTATATATTACATTAAAGCCTGACTGTTTTTCAATCCACTCCTATTTACTCCATTCCATTTGGGTCCATAGATACAGAAATACAATCAATTAAGTGAAAGGGTGTAAATTTTACTTGGGCCACTCTCACCTGGACTTGCTGAATCTGGGTTAATTGAGCATTGAATAGGCATTGAGGTTGGTGACATAACTGGTGAGAGTGGCCTAGAAATTATGCGTTGTGTATATTTTCGTTTAGCTTGTCCTAGTGTCAAAAAATGCAAATTTAACAATTAATGAATTGGTATGCAGTCTTGCCAGAAATTTGATTTTTGTTTTGATTGCCATCTCTGGCTGGTTTCTGACTTTAGCAAAATTTCTTTTTAAAGATTTTGTGTGTGCAGAATTTTCTCTAATTTCATCCCTTCTTTTTGGATTTGCTTGACAGGAATCCAGTCAGATAGTTGCTATTAAGAAGTTCAAAGACAGCGAAGGTGAGAGCTTAGACTCTTTTCATAACAGGAGCGCTTTCATTTTCAGTTGTGTTTAGAAGGATTTATCACCCTCAGATTTTTTCTAAGCTGTGCTTCCTCCATGTGAGAAACATAAGGGACCATGTTGAAGTTCTCTCGTAGACAACAGTTGTTGACTTGCCAACCAAGAGGGAAATAGACTTGCCGATCGCGATGTTCCTCCATAATCCATGGAAGCATGGACCCTCCAGTAAAGAGCCCACGATATCTTGAAAGAAGTCCATTGTAAGTCTCTAGTCAGCCAGTGGACGTCACTTGGTTACTGCGTTTGGCACCCTGCGTAGTCGGTCCATTCTCTCTCATGGCTCTACCATTGTGGATGCTGGGAGACGTGTCCGCAGCCTCGTGCCTGAGGGGCTTCATTCATGCTTGACTGACTAGACCCTGGATTGATAACAAACGGGGATTAACAAACGGGTGATGCTAAGTCAGGGATTATCCTGAAGCCTGCTACTTCAGACCAGCACTGCTCCTGAATGGTTGCTGGGACAGGCACAGTGCACATACAGCATTTGTTGGTCCTATGTGAAGGAAACAGAACCCCATATTTTGCCTGCAGGTAGAAAAATGTTAACAATGGTAGCATTCCATGGGGGTTTTTACTGGAAGAGATTGATTGATTTGGGCAACTTGGTTTTTTTTGTGAGAACCCGAAGAGGATTAGGGTATTTCAGCAGGAGTGGATTACTTGTGATAAATCTACGTTAGTGTGCCCCCTGCTGCCACATCAATATTGACACGTACAATAGCTTGGGGTTGGGAATTCACAAAAGATAGGCAAATGGCTATGTTATGGTTTTGTTGTTATGTGCGACTCGGGTAGTTCAACACGTGCGAATTAAATAAAAGACGGAACTTGGGAAAAGATTTGATGATAAGTGAACTTTTTTTTAGTTTGATTCCTTTTTTTCTGCTTGGAATGATGCAACAGCAAAAACTTGTTGTCACAAATAAATCACTTACAATAAATTTGAAACAAAATTTTAAACAAGCCAAGAGGGAAACAAGTCACTTACAAATCAAAGCTTAAAAATAAAATATCCAATTTGAGGAAATAGTTGGCACAAAGATAATTCAGGGGGAAAAAGACTGCAGAACTCAAGACTTTCCTTTTATATTACCACCTTTTGCCAACAGTTTAAAATAAAGTATTTTGAAAATATGAAAGTCTTCCCGATACAAGTTTTTGTGCGTGTCATTTGTTGATTAAACAGGTTAATTAAAGAAACTTTCAAAGATAACCTGAAGTACACAAACTTAGTATAAAAACTGACGGATAACCATTAAAAAAGTCACAAAATAAAACGATTCGCCTAAACTGGACAAAATTTAGGGAGTTACAGTAAACACACAATTTTTTATTTCGGCCTTATGGTCAATTGAGTAGAGGTGTAAGGAACAGGATGAAATTGAACAGAACATTAACTGAAATACACTCTCACCACAAGAAACAAACTGAAGTTATACCAGCCTGAACATATGAAACAATGGAGATTTTAAGCGTATTTATGTGCATCCTATGATCAATAGTTTGGGGGGATTTTGGTTACTGTTGTGTTCGTTGTTTGTGTTGCAGACAATGAAGATGTCAGGAGAACCACCCTGAGGGAGCTAAAGGTGCTCAGGCAGCTCAAGCAAGAAAACATCGTGGAACTCAAGTAAAAACATTATCTCTCTCAGAATTTAGAATTTGATTGAATTTGATTCACGTAGGCATGTGCAATACTACCAGCGAATCAGTATTTCATGCTCCTAAATTCACACTACACCGGTACATCTGTGTTCTGCACGACATGAAGCATTACGCGCGATGCGCCAATCTCCATATAATATATATATGCTGAACAAAATCATTGGAAATTTATAATTTTTGACTTTTTTTTTACTGGTGTGGACTGAAAAGTTTTAATTTTTTTGGTTTAAATATGTACTTGGTCAGTATTAAACATGCCTTCGGCTTGGGTAATTATCAGCATCCAGACTGCAACCAGTCTTAAACAGAGTTTTTAATATCTCCCAATCACACCTTTATTCCCTTATTATTGTCTGTGATGTATTCTAGTTTCCTGAAGGATTTTCATACAAAAATATGCCAACTAGTTACATCGATCCATAGGCTTTTTTTGATTGCTGCAGCTTATTTCAGTTTGGAATTACAAAAAAGAAGAGTAATGTGCAATTCCAAATAAAAAGTAAACATCCCGATGAAAAATGACCAACTACACGACAGAAACATGTCCGGCTTGGAACTAGTTACAATCTTGCTATCGGAACCAATGTGTCCTGCCTGTTCATTTGTATGATAATAGAGTACACTAATGATGCAGTGTAATGTGGCCTGCGGGCAAATTAATCATGATTCTCCTTGACATTTTGCCTGATTGTCTTGCATTTATCACAGGGAGGCCTTCAGGAGACGAGGCAAGCTGTACTTGGTCTTTGAATATGTGGAAAGGGTAAGAGTGTTGACAATAAGAGATAAGATGTCAGACATGTTGCGGCAGGTTTTGTTGCGCTGTGTTGAAACTCAAACCATAGAGCTAAATTAAATTACTAGAGCGCTAACTCTCTGTACAAATTGGTGCGTGCTGGGCGCATCCATGGTTGTGCACAAACCTGTGGGAAAAACTTGAAATATAGTACGGCTATTTCAGGCATGCAACTTTTCCTCGGATCCGCTGATTTGTTGATCAGTCAAAAGTGGGGGGGGGGGGGAATTCATTTTTTTTTTTTTTTATAAATGAATTCCACACATTTTTCAACTGAGTGCTTTTTCCTTTAGAATGTTCTGAATTTTTTTTTGCCTAAAAACTCAAAAGGAAAACCGTATCAAAATATTTTGTTGCAGTTTACCTTCACTGTTGTCTGTTTGAACTCTAACCACCCATCATTCCTCGCAGAGTCGAACAATTTCTTTTTATTATGGAAATCGGGGTTTTTTTTTTGAAAGAAACTACATAGGCAAAATGACTAGGTGCATTATACTCATTTATTAAAGTAGAACGAAGAAATTAACTGGAGCGGGGTTTGAACCTGCGACCTCTGGAAATTTGTTTTAAATTTGAATGAAACAAATTTTTGGAAGCACGTTATGTTGCAGTCAAACTGTTTAACAAATGAGGACCATTTGAGATTTTATTAATCAAATTGTTGTCAATGTTACCTTAAACTGATTTTGTAAACTGACATAGCAGACTTTATTCTCAACTTTAAGTCATAATTTGTATCTATTTTGTCTTGACCAGAATATGCTTGAGCTGTTGGAAGAGATGCCCAATGGTGTGCCTCCAGAGAAAGTCAGGTACTCAAACTTCTTGATTTTTCTCCCAAGTTTTTTAATTTAGTTTTCCTTACTTTTTTTTTTACTCAATCTACTGACACTGACTAAGCAACTTGTACATGCAGTGAGTCAGTGGTCATGAGTTTTCATTTTGTATTGTTGACTCTCATTAATGTGTAGTAAAGATCGATTTGTAGTGTTAACTAACATAAATCCTTGCATTCGTATTTCTGTTCCAGACTCAAAAAGTTGAAGTTTTGGATAAGAATGATGATTTGTTTTTCAATGCAGTTGCATGCAGAGGAATTGTAAGCAATTCTTCTTTTAAGAATATTCGTATAACTACAGAAAAGATATCGATTCTAAAGATGTGTCACAAAAAAATGTTTTCAATTTGTATTTTGTTTTGCTTGTGATGTTTGCAGGAGTTATGTGTACCAGCTACTCAAAGCAATACACTGGTGCCACCAAAACGACATCATCCACAGAGGTATATCCAGTTTTATTTTATACTGTATAGAGGCATATATGATACACCAGGCATTGTATACTCTAAGGCCATTGCATTGACCTTTTTTAATCCAGTGAGCGTTCCGAGCAGGTTTAAAAGTGGGTTTCATAATAATTTGACATACTTTGGATTTGAAGCCAAAGTGATTTTTCTATTAATAAGCTCAACATCGCCTGAAAAAATGGAAAGGATACTGGCATATATATTTGTGACAAACATTTATTTGGAGCTCACTGAAACTGATTTTGTTGATTTTGTTGTTTTGTTCCAGACATTAAGCCAGAGAACCTTCTAATCAGTGAAGGTGATATCTTGAAGCTCTGTGACTTTGGTAAGTGGACAATGGGATGTTGAAATCAACCTTCAAACATTTCTTTTCTTTATTAAGCCATTGAATTTATTAAGCCAGTGGTTGTTGAGAAATCGTAACTGGAAGAAGCCCTTTTCTTGTCTAACCGGGCCCTCCAATAAAAATGACCTTGCTATCGTGTTAACCGTTTTAAATTTTTGTTGACCAATAGGATTTGCTCGCAACTTGGGCGGCAATGGTACGGCTAACTACACCGACTACGTAGCCACTCGGTGGTATCGCTCCCCAGAACTGCTCCTTGGGTATGTGTCATGTTAAGAGTTCTCAACTAAGATTAAATTAAGCAGACTTAATTTGTGTGTTTGTTGACCAGTCACCAGCAGATGATATTGTCTTGCTGCACATATTTTTTGGGCTTGAGCCCATGCGTAGATTCAAAACCATGGATTCTGTGCTTACATAGTCAGCCCAGAATTTGAACCTACATTGACATATAAGGACAGATTGGTGATCATGGTTGGCAAAGTTGGTCAACTGGGCCGAATAAACTCCATGCAGGAACAGGAGCTGGGGCTATATCAGGGTCGCCCTATATTTTTTGCATGCCGCCTTGCTTACATGGGTGTTGTGTAAAGTACATGAATGTGTGACAAGTTTTCATCTGAATATACACATGCCCTGAGCTTTTCTGCATGGGCTCCTGGCTCTCGGCTCTAGTGGAATTCAAGAGCGTGTCTCTCTTTATGTCACCATTGATGGGATCATTGTGCACGGACTAAATAATATTCCTTTTCGGCTGTTTGCAGTGCCCCATATGGCAAGGCCGTTGATATCTGGTCCATCGGCTGCATTCTGGGTGAGCTGAGCGACGGACAGCCCCTCTTCCCCGGTGAGAGTGAGATAGATCAGCTCTACATCATCCAGAAGGTCCTAGGAGCCCTGCCCAACTATCAGATGGAGCTGTTTGAGAAGAACCCTAGGTTCTCTGGGCTCAGGGTAAGTGCAGCTGCAACATTCATTCCAGGGGGATCAAAAATGATGGCTTTGTCTCCGCTTCAGGCTCCAGTTTTGTGAAGTTGAATCCCAACATGGGAAACACAGGCTCAGTATTAGAACCATTTTAAGTATCAAGTATCAAGTCAGAATAATATCAGATCAAACATTATAGAGTGTGTTTTGGGTTTAAAGAATTAAATAGTCTTACATTTTCTGCAGCTGGAGATGGCGCCTTGAGTTTAAGACCCCCTTCCCATATTGTATGACATCATAGTGACATCACCGTGCTTAATCATTTCTTCAAAGCTTACCAGTTACAATATTTACAATATTTTTTTATGAAAGGAGAAAGATTATTACTTCACTTAGATGGATGGAGAAGTATAATTTTTTTTTGCATGATTAGTTTTGTTCACACATCCAGTCAACAAAATCCTAGAAAAAAAATTACAAAAGGTGGAAAACTAACCAACCGATACTCAGAACAAAAGCGTAACCTATTTTTGTCAGCCACCTTTCTGTGTTGAAGAGATTTACATGTATGTGTTGTGCAGTAACTGTATAAAAACTAGCCCTTGTAAGTGTACTTTTCTGTAACCTGCGTCGCCACCTGTCATTGGTTCAGTTCACTTAGTTGTACCACCACTTCAAGTAGCGGTGGGACAAGTGCCCAGACCTGCAACCCTACCTATCAACTATTCACTGGTGTTCAGGAACTCATTAACCAAACACTCAATCAGTCGTCAGTGGGCATACCCCTCCACCAGTGTAGATAAGAGGAACCCTCTAGTTCTAGTGAAGGGGCTCAGTGGACTGGCGCCACTGTTGGCATGTGATTAACTACCTTGACTGACATAATCCGGTCATTAATTTTAAATACTGCTGTTATGTCAGAAAATTTTAGCAAATGACTTTCCCTTTTTTTATGCTGTAGCAGCGGGTGTGTTGTGGGTGGCAGATCTGAGTAACTCAACCAAAAAAGGAGGTCCCCCTTTAATACTTAAGACTGATCAGTACAGAAATTCCTTAGCAATCCAGCCACATTCTTTGTTTGGCCCAAAACAGTGATAATGTGAACAAAATTATGCAATTTATGACAAATGGTACCGGAAAATAGTTGCACTTTTGTATACCTGCAAGGTGAGTGTGAACCACTCCGTGCACGTTTACAATGCTTTTTTGGCGAAAAACTGCTAAGAAAACCACTAAAGTCTCTTCTTTCTTTACCAACTGCCGTATTGAGTGAAATTACCTTATTTTTATTGTATCCTTAAGACTACCCCGTTTTAAAATGTTATTTTCTTACTACAGTTTCCTCAAGTCTCTGAGCCTCAGACTTTGGAGAAGAAGTACTCAGGTATAATCAGCAGTGCTACTCTGGACGTTATGAAGGTAAATTAACGTGTCACTTTTACATTTTAGTTGTTAGCAGAATCCTTATAATGCAGATGTGTTTCCAAAATGTCTTTTCTTTTTTTACTTCTCTAACAATTGTGGATCAAGTAATTTAGTAAATCAAATTCCTTTTCATTCAGAATGTTCTTCGGCTAGAGCCGTCCGATCGCTTCACCATCGAGCAGTGTTTAGAGCACCGAACCTTCCACACTGAGAGGTTACTCCATCGGGATCTACCCCGTCCCAAATCAGCCTACTCATCCAGGCAGTTGGATGACAAGTTTCCTTCCAAGTATGTGGACAATTGTGATGATTTTTCAGTTTACAGAATTGACTCACAAATTTTGATATTTTCTTACTACAGTAGGATGCCATGGTCCAGTGGTTAAGGTGTTCGACTCATGTAGGATGGTACGTGGGTTCGAACCCAGCCAGGAACATTGTGTTTGTGCCCTTGGGCAAGACACTTATCTACAATTGCCTCTCTCCACCCAGGAGTATAAATGGGTACCTGTGAGGGTACAGGACCGAATGTGTGCTGATATCGGCTGCCGCACAAACTCGTGGTCTGATGAACGGGGGAATAATTGTAAAGCATTTTGAGATTGTTGAGATGATTGAAAGCGCTATAAAAGCATTACAATTTATTTAAATGGAGATTTTGTTCCTTGATCAAATCCCTTGAGCATTCTCTTTCTTCATTGTGGAAACACTTAATTACACCACCTTTGAAGGCTATTTATAAATGAACCAGCCAAAGTAGTCAATATTTGTATAGTACACATTCGCAGATGCTTGTAGATGTGGGTAATCTGAGTGAAAGTGATCTTGTGAGTTTTGATTCAGTTTCTGTTCTGCTCAACAGGAATGGACCCAAGCTGGGATTTGTCAAAGATCCCAAAGACAATGCCCTTTCCGGCAGCGACCAATTCAAGAATACTACATATCAGACTAATACGCCAATGCCTGACAACACAAAGGCCTCGCAGGAAAGCACGGCAGTCATTGATGCGCAAGCCCCAAGTTTCCTCGTGCCGGCCTCCCACATGAAATTCCTGAAGTCCAGCAAGAAGAAACAGCAACAGCTCCAGGCAGAGATGGAGAACAACACAGTCAGCTGGCAGGGCCAGCAGAAGGCATCTCCCATCAGGTCACCCCCGGTCCTGTGGGACAAACCGCGGGACCATGCGGGGACCCCCTCGCCAAGGGATTCACAGGAAACCACCTCCTTCGACGAACCGCCACGGCAAATTGAGACCCAGATGGAGAGAATAGCCAGGGGGGAGAGAACTCAGGAACCCCGGAGCGAGAAATCCTTCAGCCTGATCAAGTCGGCCCACAGTAAGGAACCGTCCGGGTCCTACGCCAAGCATCTCGGGAAGTACGCCAATGCAAAAGTCTCGTCAAAGTATTCAGGGTATTCGGACAAGAACAGGGGAGAAAGCTCACAGGAGAATGCAAACTCGCCAAGAGAAGAAGTTAAGAGGAAAGAGAGCAAGGGGGAGGATTTTAGTCTAAGGATAAGGGAGGACACAGATAAAGAAAACACCATCCCGAACCCGATGGGATCTAACATACCTCCGTCCAAGTACTTCAAAAACCATACAAAAACTAATGCCAATAGTGGTGCTGTTTCGTTGTCCAAGTCTAGTGCAGACGTCAATGAGAACATCCAACGCTATTTTGACAGTGAGCCTGTCCGTTCAGATGGCAACAGCTTCGTTTTGTTCAGCGATCCCCGGAATTCAGAAGCAGAGTCCAAGGACCTCCAGGACAGTAAGCACAGGGGGCCTGAGACTCGCCCCTTGTTCGGGAATCCTGATCAGGCTGCCACTGCCAATGTGTACTCCGAGGGGGAGCTACCCCTCATCTCCACCTCCCAAAGCAAACTGAAGGGGGTCTACGAGGGCAGCAGACACCCTCTGTCTAACACCACGGAGACCCCCAGGTATCTTGTTCTCAACCCAGACTCTTGCCAAGGCAGCAGCCAAAGCGGAAGCCGTTCCCATGGAAGCTCACCCAACATTTCACCCAAAGGTTCCCCCAGGGAGCAACCGGAGGTGACAAAGTCTGCCATCATCAAGGCAGTTGATCTTAGAGACACTAGTAGTAGCCAGGACACCACAGATAGATTGAACACACAGCTCACAGAAAAGAAGAGTATACTCAAGGTAAGATTCTAATTCACATTTAAACTTTAGCGTACATGTACTTGAGCTCTGTTCATATATTTACAAAGTGAGGCAAAAAGTATGAGCTTTTGATATAGTCTACTTGCTCTATTGTTAAGTTTGTCAGAATAAGGGGAATTTTTTTTTATGACTATTAACGAGGCGTAGGTTTTTCCAATCATTGTACATAACAATGTACCAGAAATGCATGACAAAAAAATTTAAGGACATTTTACTGGGTGCGTTCGAGTTATCTCTGACGTCATTCTCGGGGCTCACCCGGGTCAGCCACCACAGCCTCTGCTCATGGGGCAGAGTCAGTGGAGGAAATACTTCCCACACATGCATTGTTCATGTTCAAATATGGCGGCCGGACAGCGAAAATCTCAAGTGGACACAAAAATCAACTATATTTGAAGTCTGAAGGTATTTATTTATATGAGTTCATGATGACTTCTGAGGCTGTTATTCCAGCCCCACTTTTTTTTTTAGAGTTTTACAATTGACTGAAAGCAGTAAATATCAAACTGAAAATAGAACTCAAACTAAGCCCCAGCCGAAACTGGCGTTTTGTCAGTGGCTACGGTTCACGATAACAGACATCACATGAGGATCTTGATGGCGGGCAGTTGAGTGTTCGATTTATAGGCCAACTGTCGTGGCTAACCCCTCTGCCTTTATCCGAGCCACTAAAAGGCACCCACTGATCACCAAATATTCAGAGAAACTTCAAAGGTGTGAAGCTTAAAAATGCATAAAGATTGGTGAACCGTGATGTTTCTTTGTCAGAGTATGTATTTGATCTTGTGCAGTGTTTTGCCTGACGGTTACTCGCTCTCCCTTGTCACAGGGCTTTCCTAGCAGTCAAAATACTCCACCTGAGCCGGACGTACGGAAACCCAAATCAGGCAAGAAGAAGCAACCGCAATATGAGGTCTCAGTGGCATACAAAGGCCGCGTTATACAGACTGCCAAAGCTGAGGAACAGGAGGTAGGATTGTATCACTCGCAACGAATGACATAGTTAGTTGTTTTGGAGCAGTTTGACAGTTACATGTACAGTAAACTCCCGTTAAGTCAAATCTCAAGGGAATGGATAAAAAATTCAAGGTATCCCGAGGTCGACTTAAGCAAGGTTGCTGATTTTTCTACGGTCATGCCATCTGCACGTACGTGAATGTGCATGAGCAGCTTCCGCCGTAACTCGCTATGAAATGGACACGCTACTTCTTCAATTTTTTTCATTCTAATGGTGAAATTTTTTTGTCACAAAGCATCATTATACTCAGATTTCATATTGTTCTTCCCTAAAACATGACAATAAACCACTCAAATTGTGTAACTGCGTGTAGCAAATCTTTGTTTCGTGTCATTTGCTTACCGGTATCGACACACCATGCAGTGCAGTCACATTAATCGATGGAGTGCGCTTCAGCTGCAACTGGGCCAGCGGCACCAATCAGGCTAAAACTTACGTGATTTTCCTTGCAATATACTTGCTGCAGGTCAGAGAAACCCAGTCATTCAGCACCAGAGAGTACGAGCAGCTGCAGCTGAAACAAGAACAGCAGACAACAGAGAGGCACCCGCAGCAGGCTACATATGCAGAGAAAGCAGGGCACAGCACAGGCCATAGTGCAGGCCAGCATGGCATGGTAGCAACATGGCCTCGCAGCAAGAGCAGGGGGCAGCAGTACACTGGTAAGTTAGCAGACCATGTCGACATGTCATGCAATCTCATGTCGACCTGTCATAGCCAGATAGTGAACTTGTCAGATCACAAGTAATAGAAGGACATGAACAATGAAGAGGTAGCTGGTTGCTTGTCTCGGGACTGGACTTGCAGTGTGATTTATGATGACATGAATACAATTGGTTAGTGCTGTGTTACTTTATTATGTTGTGATTATCTGTCATGTTCCTTTTACCAATAATTCCTGGCACTCAACCTTGAGCCTGGTTTATAGACTAATACTGCAAACAAGATCAGAAGCAACTTTGCCGCGTAACCACTTCCGTGCGCATGCTGCATGCGTTCTTTACAGACGAGACGACCAACTATTGGTCGAAGCAGCCCGAACTGCGTGTGTTCTGCACAAGTGCAAACGTGGTTCTCTTTCACTGATTGGCACTTCTTAGGTTGTCCTAGATTTATGAAAATTATTTCTGACTTCAGAAACATTAAACGCATTGCTTGTATCTTTGTTTTCAAATTACAGATCAGAATCCATTCATTGAATCAGCTTACCTGCCATCCGGCATCTCCACTGGTTCCTCAGACGTGCCGAGTACCAAGCAACAGAGTGATCCCTATGGGGACAGTAGGCACACCAACCATAGCAATGTGGAGAATAACTCATGGTAAGAGAAACACGTAACGCATAATAATAATAATAATAAACACTGAATGCTATATTACGGTGACTTTCCCGTATACTTGTGCACAAACCTAAAATGTCACCTAACCCAAGTCTACCTTATCCTGCCTCCACGAATTTCGGTATACTTATGTTTTGGACAATGAGAAATCAATCTAGACGGTTTGCGATGGACAAATTCCTTCTCCTAAGGGTTGTTTTAACAAATGGGTGACACCAATTTTTTCGTCCCTATAAAGGTGTGTCGCCCTCTTATAGCATCAATGAGCAAAGTTTGTCGCCCGTACACAGCATTCAGTAGTTTAATAGAATGGGTGTTCATACACAGCTTTTAACAAAGATCAAAATATTTCACATTTAAACAGTCCAAAGGCCCAATTTCCCATTGCAAATTTAGATTTGTTGTAATACAATTTTGCTTAAATACATCATATCTCTTGATGAATCCTCTTGATTATTGAACTAAATGTTCGTTATGTGTTTGCTCTAATAAATTCCTTGAAACATATGAAACATTTGATTTTCAAATGAATTACAAAGGAAAACTGACTAGGTGAATTATAACATTTTTTTTTTTTTTTAAAGTTGAACAAAGAAATTGACTGGAGCGGGTTTGAACCAAAAATCGTATCCTCACTGAGTGATCCCGGTATGCTATTTCCCAGGTTTGCATCGTGACTTTGGGCCTGATCCCTGGCTGCTTGGCTTATACGGGTTTATGGCTTCTGACTAGCGCCCTTTGAAAAAAATATTGACAAATTGGGGAACCGCCAACATAGGGCTGGATAGCTCAGTTAGTAGAGCACCGGAACGGTAATCCGGAGATCGCCGGTTCAAACCCTGCTCCAGTCAATTTCTTTGTTCAACTTTTCAAAAAAGAAATATTTGATTGTTTAACATCTTGGAGAAATTTGTTCTTGGTATCAGACCACACTAGTTAAAACCAAAACAAATCTGACCTTTTATCGGCTCTTTCATTGAAATTGTGAATTCAAAATTATAAAAATATTTGTGTCTGATTTGCAGGAAATCTGTGAAAGATAACACTGCCGATGGCCAGTGGAGGGAAGTCCAGTCGAGTAAGAGAAAGAAAAAGAAGAAGAACCAACAGGTAAGAACAGTGAATTCCCAAAGGGCACGGTCAAGTTCACATTTAAAACAGCGAGTGTCTCTCAAACATCCTCGTCTCCTGGGTTTTTTTTTTGGGGGGGGGGGGAGCTAATCGTCCTTAATCGCAGCTGAGAAACTGAATTTGCGAAGAACATGGCTACAACGTGGTCAAGCCGAAGGCATGTCAAGGTGCCTTAGGCTGCCGCCATACGACCCATGTCTGACAACGAAGGACAGCTACAGATCGAAAGTGTTGATTTTTGCAGAGGGAGGAAAACCAGAGAGCTCGTAGAAAAACCCTCGTGCCACAGGAGAGAACCAACGCACAACTCTACTCACATATGATCCGAGCTGGGAATCGAACCCGGGCCACCCTGGCGAGAGGCAAGCGCTTTATGCATTAGCCATATATGGGGGTGTTGGGGGACTCACATTCAAGATCCATTTTTCCGTTGAAGGTCCATTTTTTTGCTGGTCTCTCTGCATAATGTGCTTAGTGCTTTTGTTGTACCTTTATTAATTTGGGTTATGGTTTTAGCTGGCCAGTGAAGTGTATGGAGATGCCTTTGACATTTTCCCCATTTCTGTTGATTTAAAAAAAAATATGTCGGTGAAGGGCAAAACCCAATATTGTATTTACATCACCCCGACGCAATTTCCATCTTATGAGTAGTTTGGTTGCGATACCCACTGCTATGTCAGATTCGAACCAGCCAGTTGACCCCGGCAAGCTAGGTGGTCGAGTGGTAAGACATCTGCACTAAAGCAGGAGGTCATGGGTTCAAGTCCCACCCGAGTAATTTTTTTCTCACAATCACCCTAGACAACACTGAGTAGTTAGGGTTATTAAAAAAAAATATGTCGGTGAAGGGCACAACCAGATATTGAAGTGATTAAGTCTCTTTCTCGGAAATAAATACCTTGAAATTCCTGCAAATGGTGGACACATGGTTATCGACTCGTGAGTCAAATTGTCACGAGCATGTTTTGCAATAGTCATGTCGTAACATGCCAAATTTGGGACACCCAGACTGTTAATTCAATTTAACTGTTTGCACGCAAAGGTTTTCTAAGAACCCATCACATAACTTTGGGTTCAACAGGTCATTGCCACGGTGTGTGTTTGAAATGCCCCTGGTAATGTAAGAGCGTCTATTGAAATCATGAGGATACTGTAGGGTGTCTTGTTTATCAATTTATTCTCGAATTGTAACAGAGAATTTCCACAACTTCTTCTTATGTAAGCATTCAATGTGCCATGCTTCTAATTCATTGTGCCTTTATGTCTGGTAAATTTATCTTGTTTCTTCCGTCAGTTTTTTGTCACGGGAGAGGTTTCAAATCCCGAGCGGCTCGCTTTTCAACGGAATATCTACGGCAGTCGAGAACAGCCCAAGTCACTCAGGAAATTGAACCAAACTCCTACAGCAGACAAGGTACATAATTGCAGATATTCACAGTACGCATCGTATTTAAATTTCACATGTATTCGTAGACAAACATGTAAAGGACAACTGGCAACCTTTTGGCCAGTTCGCTCAGGGATTATTTCGATTTTGACCGGACCCAGGTTTGGGATTGTTTTTCACGAGATCGATGCCCGACGGGTTCAGAACGTCATCTGCGGGTAACTCAGCCTGATATTTCCAGCCTCGCTCGCTGCGAACAGATATTTCCGGCCTCGCTCGTTGCGTGTTTATCCGTCATCCGTTCCGAATACCGCAAAACCTTTTATTTGCGTGTATACACGTCATCCGACGTGAACTGGTTAAATGAAATGAAATGTTTGCTATTTTGTAAAACATAAAGTTGTTGCTATTTTAAACCCATGTAATGTGGGTAAATTTGTACTCATCTTCAGTGTAAATCCTCATGAAACTGATTAACATTTCCTCCCCCCCCAAAAAAAAACTTCACCAAAACAGCTCGTCAGATGTCTATTTAGTAATTTTCAGTTGTAGTGATTCCGTTATAAACAGTATACAGCGCGTCCCAAAATACCAGCAACTTTTTTTTGCGAGGTTCTAGCGTCGGCATGGAAACACGTACCACCATTATTTTAATACCATTTCAAAGCTTAGAATCTGAACTTTATCCTTGGCAAGTATTGGTTTGACATTTAAAAGAGTTTTAAAATTATTCGTGTTCAAATAATGGCATGTGTAAAACAAACCCAACCGATTTCAAGGAAAATCGATGATGCGGTACATCAGATGCAAATTCGAGTCACACTTAGAGCGCGCTTTTTGAATAGGTACATACTTGCACGTGAATTTCAAAATTGAACTTGAAACGAAGAACAGTATTGTGAATTCATTTAAGGTGTAGTCTATGTGGATTAAAAAGAATAGGAAACACAGAAAGTAAAAGGTAACGAGATCGTCACCTCATGAACATGACGAACCATTTCCATGTTTGAAAAAATGTGCCTGCTTGATTTTTCCTTGAAATCGGTTGAGTGTGTTTTTGACATGCTCTTATTTGAACACAAATAATTTCAAAACCCTTTTGAAAATCAAACCAATACCTACCAGGGATAAAGTTAAGATTCCAAGCTTTAAAACGATATAAATATAATGGTGGTACGTGTTTCCACTGCCACGCTAGAGCCTCAGAAAAAAATGTTGCGGGTATTTTGGGACGGGCTGTACAAGAAAGGCTTGTGATCCTGCTGTCCATTAATGTGATTTGATTACACAAATCATGAGATCTTACACTCAGCATTGACTGTTTATTTTGTTGGCAGAATCTACTCTCTGGAGGCTTGCACCATTCCAGAGAGCCCCGCCTTCACCCCATCCAGAAGCAACTCCCTTCCCTCTCGGCTGCAGGACTACCAACCACGCCCCTCACCCGCAAAGTTTCCCACGAGTCCGACGTGCGCATTTCGCACCACCAGCAGCAGCATCATCATCACCATCATCACCATTACAGTAACCCCTACGCCCACCACAAACACTCCAAGTTGGACCAAGACGGAATCCCCGACCCGAACATCGTCAGCCATTGGCAACAGGGTGCGCCCATGGATGCGGGCGTGGCACCGGACAGCAGGGCCACACCCGGCAAGGGTCCTGGACACACCTTGCAGCCGGTCAAGAGTGCCCGAGGAGGCCGGCTACCGAGCCTGCCGGATTTCAGGGATGCACCACTCTGAACTGTCAATCAGGTTTGGGATTGAAACAAAGGTGCCAGTCAGATCTCATGTCTGAGTAATATGAAATTGTACAGCTTAACGCACAGAAGTATTTGACTCCAGTGCTAATTCTGTTCCAAAAATACCACTCATGCAACTGTTTACTTATCACAAGTCCTTCCCTCACTGGATGGTGCATGATTATTTTGTCGCCTAAACAAAGTTTGGGGGACACTTCCGAGTCCTAAATTCTGTATGACCGTACACACCAGAGCTACTTGTGGGTTACTCATACAAAGTAAACGGTACCCCACCAGTGAAATCTTTAGAAAAAGTGATAAAAAGACAGCACTGCTCTTACCCCATAACTCCCATCCGCTGGAACATCCATATCCCCGTTTGACCGTACATCTATCCCCGTATGTAAATGTTAAGGTTACGTTTTTGGAAAAAAGTGCATAACTTCTACATGCTTTCATGGATTTGGATGAAACTTGGATGCAGTGACCCTTGGGTGGGAAGACACAATTCGTCATCGGATTACTCTGGTCAAAGGTCATGTAGGGGTTACTAGAGGTCGTTTAAAAATGCACACAATTTTACTTTTTTAAACAACACAAAACATATAGGGATCGATCGTGAAACAAGGCGGCACGTGCGATCCGCGGCTCACCTTGTATTTTATTTAGAGCAACTGCCAAACAACGGCATCTTGGTTGTGAAGACTATTCACTTCCCAGGAGGGTGCTACCCCTATTCCAGACAATCACCAATGATTTGTGGTTCCCTGAACGTCAGGCCTACTATATTCAGTGGTCTGTACAGAGTTGTTTTTCTTATATTTTTGTGACGATCCCTTCTGGAAACTCTTTTGCAAGATGTTCTCCGAAATACATCTTTTTTTTACATGCAGTTGATCTTCCCGTTGCATGTTGAGAAGTTTTTGTTGTAGAAGCAACAATGCGAAGATTTGTAATTGGCAATGTGCAGTGCAAGACTTCTTCCATGAAACTTTTGCGTGTACTTTCAGATTCTTTATATCTGACAAGTGGTCCACTTGCCACACCCCGACCAAGTCACCTATGCTCAATTTGCCAGTAAAAAAGTTACAAAAGACAGAGTAAAAAAGAAGATATCGATTAATTTTTAAAGATAGAGTAGAACATTTGCAGTTATCCAAAAGGTAACTGACCAAATTATTGTGAAAAATCCTACTTAGTTTAAAGATAGTAATGACACTAAACTCCCTGCAGAATTATTTCTTCTGGCATGCTGTCATTTTGAAGAAAACAATAAACGAAAGTCATTTCCAAAGATGTGTCAAGTGACACATTTTTGGAAATTTCCGTGAGTCCGCCCCCATTCGTTCCGATTTGTAGTTGGTTTTCAATTGGGCAAATCCATGAATGGGTGACAACCAGCCGCATGAGAATCGTGCTGATTTTGGGATTGTGTCACGACAGGGCACAGACTCGGCAACTTTGGAATTAGAATCGAGATCCAAAATATTGTTTTTATGTTAGTTCTGTTTTCTCGGAATACACAGCATTCACAGAGCTTAAACTTCATCAGGTTAGTTATTAAGCGTTGTCTTCAGATTTTGAGCACTTTCGTTGGTTCAAACGGGGAAAAAAAACACAAATTACAAATGGTCTACTCTACCTTTAAGCTAAACCATAAGTTGAAATTTACTTCTATTACTATGGTTATGGAAGTAACTGGCCTTTTAAAGGCACATAAGTTTTTGTGGTTTTTCTGAAGTTTTTATGCGTCACTTTTTTACATTCCTTCCAGTTTTTCACTGTTGATATGTGTGTCTATCCAAAAAAAATCTTCACAAATATATTCAAGGGTTGCCAATTTCTGTTCGGTTCGCCTGTATGCAGACATATTTCATTATATATCGAGGAACAGTTTATTTTTGCAGTGTCTTGCTCTGTTACATTAAGACCGGATGGGGTCCACAGTTTCTGCTGAATTATTTGACTCCTGTTTCTACCCACGTTCCCAACTATCACGGATGCTCCCCCTCCCTCCTTGACTCTTGTAAACCATGCAGCAGCAGATCCTCTAGATTCACATGTCAAAAAATCTTGGTCAAAACTTCTAGTAAAATACCTGTACATAGAAAAAAAGCAGAAACAAAACTGGTGTCATATGAAAATCGGACTCCTTTGAAAAATCTTACTCCTTTACCCTATTATTGGTGACACCCTCTCACGTGACTGGTCACACTCCTAATTATCATACTTAGGCATGCGTAATACTACTACTGAGTTGTTTTTCATGGAGTCCTAAATTCACGCTACACCGGTCTGATTTGATGTGAGTAAATTCCAAGAAGAAGATGATTATGCATACTGTCTCCCTCGTGTCTGTGAAATCCAACTCTCTCTTTCTCTCTCTCACGCGACAGGTCTTTGTTTTGCTTGCACTCGATGATTGAGTTGACTTCCCTCAGAATCCCTGGCTGACTTGCAGTGCGATATAAATCACATACAGAAAACGCAGCGATAGCAAGGGTAAAGGTTCACCCAAGCTTTGTTTTGACACCACCATCTGTATGTTTCTTTTCCTGGAATAATACCCCAGCTGTTGAAAACGCACTTCCTCAAAACTCTGCTCTCCAAGAATTTCCAATTGACAGAGTCTTATAAAAGAAAACAATCAACCAGGACAGATAAAAAAATTACCTGTGTTGGTTTAAAGATATCTGTGATTAAACGTTTCACCTGTGGCAGGAGCTTGTATATGTCACTTGGTGGTCGGTCGGTCAGTTGGTCTGTCTGTCTGTCCCCGAAAATTGATCAAAAATATTTGACCAAAACTTGACCAAATGCCTTGTCGTGGTCCTATAAATGCACTCTTGCGGGAAGTTTTTGGAAGACCGGTTTTGTTTTGGTCGATGCACATGCACATATTTTTCGCATATGAAGTGAGACATTCCCAAACTGGGCCAGAGCTTACTGTGCACTCGCACTTGTTTGTTCTCTAACGACCCAAGCAGGCGCTCATGGAAGGTACTTTTTCTTTTTTTATTGCACAATGAAAAAGCAGAGCCATCAGTTCACGGAGGAGTGGCAAAGTGAAGAGAATGAAGAAATGTAACTAGAATTTATGTACATGTACCCTGAAAATAACGGTAACCAACTTATGAAACGGAGTTGAGAGTTAATGTGTCAGCTCTTTAGCTTATGTTGCGTCCCTGGTACAGTGTGGTCCTCACAGTGTCGCTGGAGTAGGACATCACCAAGGTGTCTTGTGTCCAGGCTTCTCAGATTTTATTTAATCTCTCTGACTCCATTCTGTTTAATAGGTCAGTGTTCCATCTTGTTGGGTATTTTCAAAGTTTATACATTCTGAGCTTTCCTTGTAAATATTTTCTTATCACCAACACTCAGGACCTCAATATTTTATGTCTTCAAAATATAAGAATTTGTATATTATTTATATACATACAGAGTATTTTCTCATTTGACAGGTTTTTTTTCCTTTCATCGTAGTTGTGCTATATACATGTATGGGTCATGTCATTTATTTATTTATTGAGTGTGGGTATACTTCAACATTAGTAATGTACGTAACGTAAAGTCTGTCACAGGCCCATCGGGGCGAAGTTTATCTCTGGTTTCAGTGGCATGTCCATCGCAGGTTGCCGTTCCCAGTTTATGCTGCTAACCATTTATACTCTTGGTTGGAGAGAGGCAAGTGGGGGTAAAGTGGCTTGCCCAAGGACACAACATATGGCTACCAGCTGGATTCAAACCCCTGACCCTTTGATCGTGATTCCTGAACCCTAACCGGTAGGCCACATGCCCCCCACTTTCCCAATTCAACGTTAGTAGATCAATCCGTGTTTTACAAGTAGAAAATTGATTACATGTAGCACAAAGGGAAAAGTTGGCCTTGTGCCATGCTGAATTACGAAAATCACAAACAAAAGGGTGGAAGTATCAGATAAAGTTGAAAATTGTCATTATATAGTCACGGTAACATGATAAAAAGAACTGTTGAAATTATCTGAAATACGAAATGTGTGACGTAAGTAAATTGACTGCCTATAAAAGTGATTGTTCATACTAAAGATTTTGTGCAGGAACCTGTGCTATTACTCATGTTTTGTTATTCTTCAAGCAAATATACGTGTATTCGTCTTCACTGAAATAAATAATATCAGATGTTATTCACGCCTCTTGAGATGGACCACAACTGTAGATAATGACAAGCAATATGGATGACATTAAAAATTCAGCAGAAAGACATCAATTGAGACACTTCATACTTGATCTAAAACCTTTGTGAGGCAACTTTTGCCTTCAATTATTTGCGCGGTACATTATGTTTTATCTAATCCCTTACATCAAACATTTGTTTTCAAGCGTGTTTATTGTTTGGACATTGTTGTATTGACTAATCACTTGTGTGTGTTTTCCTATTGCCTATTGAAACCTATTAACCTATTGCCTGCCACGTTATGATGAAATCAAGAGTGGCTCAAAAAAATTTTTCATAAATTCTTACACAGAGTGTCATGATCGATCTTGTCAGTTCTAATATGTTGTACGTAATTTGTAATTACCTGTAATTATTTGTACTTGTATAGAGCAATTCAGATTTTGTATTTATTGGATTTCATTGTGTTGTATATGGTATTAATACTGTGAAAGAGGAGAACTTTGTTTTCCCCTGAAAACAGTTGTTAAAGAGTGTGTAAATAATCAGTTACATTCAACGAAATGAAACGCATATCTGGTTATAGTTTTAAGTGTTTGGAGTAATCGAGTGTGGTTGGTGTCGTTGCCTCTCTGCCTGAATTCACATTCTGATAATTCATCATGATCATTGTGTTCCCTGGCCTTCAGTGATTAATTTACTTCCGAGGGATTATGTCTTACCCCATTCACGTCTTTAACATAGAGAATTTAACAGCTGTGTTATTTTTTTTCCCTCTGAATGTGCTCTTATGAAACCCTAATTATATTTAGATGGTACACCTGCTGTTCACATGACGAGTATATCAGTCACACCGTGCAATAGTTACCCGCCCCACCCTGGCCCAACCCTTAATATCACGAAGCCCTCTGGATTAATGTTAAAGACCCGGACGCCTGGCCTCTAAAACCGCGAAAGGATGATATCCAAAAATGATGATATAGACGGACTTTGTTTTAATACACTAGGGATGAACAGAGATCTACTGATGAACAGTGCACACACGTGCTCTCAGAATGAATCAGGTGCTGTGCCCATCCCATCAAAAGGCCATTCGGGACACCGTGGGGTCGCAAACTTATCGGGAAAGGGTGGGTCAGCGCCGGATAAATTGTTCCCGGCCCAAGGCACCAGTGTTCCGTAGGCCTTGTACTCCCGCACTATAGGCACCAGTACCTGTTTCAAAGTTTCGCATTACATGTTGATGCTAAGCTAGCTGTTGGCACCGTGTGCTGTACAACGACAAATTCACACGTAAATTTTATACGTAGGGCCTACATTACGCAGCTAATTCATA